TGATAGTGACAGACACTAATGTCACTCATGAATCAAACCAATAGGATTTCAAAGGTCATATCAGTGGGATTATAGGTTTCCAGACCATAGGTGTTACGAACTTCCTGGAATAATTTGAGCGCCGAGTCAGATTGATTCATTATAAATTATTTAAATTAGTCCCAGCGTATTTAAGGAAATTAAAACAAGATTTTTCTGAACGTCTAGCTGTGTAAGCCACAGCTTCTTCAGCAGATTTGTTCGGATTTTTATTAATCATCAAGATACATTGTCAAAATTTTTGACACAAATTGAAGTCAGTTTATTTGAAGGTCATTTGTCTATGGACATTTGTACAAATAGAAATTATTCCAGGAAGTTCGTTACACCTACGGTCTGGAAACTTACAACTTGATGATAGTTAGAATTATTTTTCTTCAAATCCACTGTAGGTGTAGCGTTTGGATAAAAAGTTTCTGACTGGAAGAGGTGAACACTTTACTCAGCATTATCCTATAATGAAATGTTTGTAAGAAGAATGTTGATATGTAGACAGATAGAAAAATGGATTATCTTCTTTAAGTGTTGGCGACACTGTGGTCAAGGTCAGTCTGGAGATGAACCAATCAGAATCGGCCTGCATAGAATAACGCCCAATATTTCAGTGATCATGATTACAGTCTTCTAATTGACATATCCTTCCTAGGTGGCTTTGTGAATTGTGCATTATAGTGTAAAATATAGTGTGACTGCAATATACTTTCCGACTGACTTCGTTGTGTGTTCTCACTTGAATAGACCGGGCTGGGGAGTAGGTAACTGTCGTGTAGGGTTGTTGGCGTAGTCAAGCGGTATTCGTGATTGGCGCGTCTTCGTTCAACTCACCATCCCTATTCAAATTTCAACGTATTACGAAACATAACAGAAGTAAGCGATCATTGTAAGTGGACATAAATGTTTAGACTGACAACAATACTATTATTGGCGGTGATATTTCTTCTCATTTTAAATAATCACATGATCGATAGTCAAACTGAAGAAAGAAAAGTGTTGATTAAATATGCGAATTGAAATATTCCCGTCCGAAATTCCAAAGGTGAACAATGTTGATACAGATAAAGTCGCAGCTAATGAAACCTCCTAACATCAGCTTTACATAGTTTCGCTACTTCTTGATTACTGATCAATGTAACTAAGGTCTGGTGCTGAGTCACTTCGATTACATGTGTTCGGTGGTGATTTAATCAACGAGGGTTCAGTGATTAGGTTGTTTCACCATCTAACAATTTCACTTTTTAATACTTTTATCCTACCTCAGCCTATTGTGTGATGGCATATGCGTAGATTTATGACAGTAGCCGACTATTTGGTAGATTACTTGAACTAGAGAAGTCCACCATTCCAAACTCCTATTATTTGATTGGCCAACTGACCACGATCTAGTTAGTGGTTTGACATATATGTATCTGAAACCATAGTCACAAATGGTATTTAGTGAGTCGTATTAATTTTTGTAACTGAGTCATTTGGGTCGTGAGCTAAAAGTGTGAGTTGATACGTTCGAATGACATCCTAATTCCGGGCTTACTAATAATAATCCTAATTTCAGATTTAGATATCCCGCCTTTATGTGGTAATAATAATAATAATCATGACTGAGAAAACCCACTGATCATAACTCAGTTAATTGATTTCAAGTTCCTTCTGTAAGCTTAGTTGTACACGATTACGTGATCTTTCTTCCTGTCTGTTTCTGGTTGATGAGTGTTTTGTTGTTGAGCCATTTACCGAAACTTCCCATATCTCCTTTCAAACTCATGATAAATAACTAGATTCCTTTCATGTCAGTGTTAATATTGCACTCATTGTGGTTTCCCTAAACAACTGTTTTCACCCTTAGATTCTGCTGAGTATAATAAACGTGTAAGGTTTGTATTTCACTCATCCTATTTGTATTCTTACACTGTCCGTACGTGTAGAGGAGCTTCGAAATATAGTGTGTTCATTTCATCCTGAACATGGTGTTCTTCTTGCTTCGACGATTAGAAGAATCTGTTTAGTTTTTGAGACATGACTGGATCAATTAAAACGAAATCGCGTAAACTGTCATATCGGTTTAGGGCGGTATTTTCAACATTGATGACTGGAGATCTATAGCATATTTGAAATGTATATGCTGAATACAATGCTGCGTTGGAAGAGCCGAAAGTACTTACCCATGACAGACTGCCTTGAAATAAAAAGAATATCGTAATATATCTCATGATGAACAATTTTAAGCTCCCGCCTAGAATACTGTTAATAATGACTACTCTTTTACAGTACACTAATGTAAATCACATTTTTTTGTCACTTATCCTAGTTGCTACTGAGTCAGCAGACTTCGATATGTATTCAAGACTAGATAGCCACAGTGGTCATCAACTTGTTACATATCATTGCTTTATACCAAGTTGAAGCAAATGTATTTCAGGTAGATTCTATGACGAACGGATATCACACAGAAGAGCATTAAAAAGACGAAGGGAAAGATAGTTGCGGTGGCAGGTGGTTGAGTAATCAACAATTAGCAAACGTAACTTCAGTTTGGATCGATGCCTGCACTATCAAGTTACAAAATGAGGACAGTACCGTTTAAGACTCTGGTAGAATAGGATGAGCGATGCGTTCCAACTTCATTCATTTCGAGATATATAGTGCAAGCAATACACTGCTGATCATTTCTAAGTCATATCTTCTCAATTTCACGAAATAATGCATAAGCTTAATTCTGCACTTTGATACGAAGTGCAGTAGAGACATGATTGAATAATCACACAAATACTGAGCATCAGACCACCAATAAACCCCCATTACGTGTTATATTTTTACAAATCAGAGTACACTTAAAGTGGAACACTGTGTCGTCTAGGAGTCTGACGCCACTTTCTTTAAGGAAACAGTATCGATCAGACAATACTTTATTTAAGTTTACTGTTGAGTGACGGGTTACGAGTGAGAAGAATACTGTCGTACATACGATGCTTCCACTACTGTTGTAACACCGCGAGGAGGATACTGAAGACAAGACTAAGATTTGAAGATTTATTCTTCTGCAAAAGGCCATTTATTTTACGAGACACACAACTGTCAAGTTTAACAGAATAAAAACCACCTCCTGATCTATTAGTTATTATCAACAACATGACTTTTCACTTAGGTTAAGGACGAATATTTAGTCTGCAACTTACACAGGAAACATTGGCTAACAATATTATCTTTCCATCCTTTGTGACAATAATCAACACAGATTTCAATTACTGTAATAGAATGATGCAAAACAACTGATACAATTTTTATTTGATTTTGAGTTTTCAGTATCTTAACTCATAGAAGTGATGAGTCGAACAATTCGAGTATCAAGACACCTATTAACTGATGAAGTCAAGTGACTGTGCGAATATCTTACAAATGGAAGTCAGAAGGTGTTAACGACTGAATTTCTATTTGTTGACCGGATTAGTGCGGTAATGGATACGATGTCGCTTGTAATTTTTAGTGCACTCTATTGGAATAAAGGCATTATTAGTGAGGTGTTACACATCAGAATGAAATGACAGTCCAGTGTTCCGTAGTTCTCACTGATTATCTAGCTAGCGTTCAAACCAGAATCTACTTTTGAACTGAATTTATACAGATCAGGAATTATTATTGCCTAACATCCTTTATTCCATGTATGCATTTTAAAGCACTCTAGTTATGAAAGCATGAACAGCTCTGGACCATAGCTCTATAAGATGAACAATTCAGGGAATACTATTGATAGGGTTCACTCCTAGAAAAGTAAAGTAGGTGTCGGGTGTTTCAACCCAACCGACGAGAGTCTGTAGCATATATCATATGGGTTGTTATGTTTACATTCTTGGTGCCATTTACAGCATGATGCAGTTATGATGATGAAGTTATTAATACTTAGAAAGAGAAATTATTTTAAAACGGTCTTCTATACTTCCTCCAGCACACTGACTGCGAATGAAATCACAGCACTGGTGCAAAGTACCTACTTAGCTTGAAATAAAATTAAACCTCTCTGAATAAGGTAGACAGAGTGAACATAGAGACTAAGCAGAGTAATTGACACTCACTTTTTTAGACACATGAATTCCAAGTGCATTCTTTTACCTGCAACGCATAATACACCTAGCGAAATCGGTCCTTTGTTGAATGGCTAGACATCCAGTGCCTAACGAAAATAAAATGTAAAACCCTGTCAATACCGACAACAGTTATTTAACACTTGCTACGGCGTCGGTGGCACAGTGGTTAGGACTCTCGCCGACCATGCACATGGTCCGGGGTTCGATCCCCCTGCCGACGCACACCCGATATCTATGGTCGGCCTGCAAATGTATAAATGCCGTTACCTTATTTCTCTGCACAAAACTGTTGGAATCAACCGGCGAACAATGGTTTAGCCACACCATACACACAAGCTTAGATAGACTGAACAGACACACCACAGTACACCTGAACACAACAAGCTTGTTACAATCTGAATTGAATGAATTAAATGAAAGGGTTTTGGGTAAGGCATACCATTAGCTTAAGGAAGCAATTAGCACTGCTTGAATTCTTGGCGAGTATGAGTATATTACATGAGTTTGCAGGAATAAATGACTAGAGCAACCAAAACTTAGACACAGAGATGACTGTCCATTTTATTCATGTTTATAATCTGGAAGATAGGAATAATTCCGCACTGTGTAAGGCAACTTTTCGATTATATGAATATATAACAAAGTAACTCGTCAGTGGCATAGATAAACAGGAATCGAAAGGTGGCATGAAAAGAAAGCGCTTAATAAATTATTAATGGATTCTCAAAGGACTTCTGTGTATACACAGCCCTATCTTTCAAACAGATGCTTACAACTTGAGAGTAATAAACTAGACGGAAACAGCTTTCCCCTACTTATTAATATCATAGTTGTTATTATTCTGAAAACGTTTCCTTCTTTCAAAGCAAATCAAAGACAAAATTGTACGTAAACGTGTGTGCGTGTATTTTATTAAGATGAAATAGTGAGTATGAAATTACAAAAGGCATAATACAGGAACAATACGGAAACAAAAGGATAAAATCATCACAGCAGAATAACAACAAGAACAGCAAAACTTGAAGACTTAATGCATATTCAAATGCAATATATCATTCAGCGTGCAAATTTTACATTGAGAGGTATGGTTATTATTTGGTTTTGTTTATTTCACTCTTTCCTACTTCTTCTCCTTCAGATTTATCACGTCTATTAACAGATTTAACTGTACCATTTCTAGTATTCTTATTGTCCAATGTTTGTTTAGAAGGTGTTTTCCCATAGATTTGATCAAGTAGTAAACCAGAAAATACGCAAACAGTTCCAATCCATTGACGATTTGTCATTGTATGACTGAATAGAATAATTGAGAAGAGAACTGTGAAAAATTTCCGTGTTGTAGTTACAACTGAACAAGTTAGTGGGCTGAAATTTGTGATCAAACCGAACAGGAATAACTGAAAAAAATATATAACAATACACAAAGGGAAATAAGTATTATATTACAAGGATAAAGTGTCTAAAGATATTGCATCATGCCTGGAAAGGATAGTAGTGTTTGTTTAAACAAAAAGCTTAATTTATCACTGAATACTTTCTTCACAATACAACTTACTAACTTGTTAAGAATTTGTTAATGATCTCTATATGAGAATATAATTGTACCATTCGTTTTCTAGGAGAAAAATTTAAGCCTAGAACGGATTGCATCTAAGTTAAATGCAGAAACGAACGAACTAGATACCACTGAATCATTGATTTGAAATAATTTGGGTGAGAGACACGATCTCAGACTAATCAACTATAATTCTGATTGTACGCTTGTCAGCTATTAGATCGAAGAACACTGATTTCAATTAATTTCTTTAAATTCAACATTTTTAACAATTTATTCAGCCATCCTATACCTAAATAGATTCAGTTTTGTGAAAAGTTATCAATCGGTTATTCTGCATACCTGGTACAATGAAAAGGAGAATAAACCTTATCATAGGGTATCCAACAAATAGCTGCGATCAAAGATAAGCTATTATGGTATCTGATAAAAATAAGAAAAAAATAATTTGAGTAGGAGGAGAATCGGGCGTCGGTGGCACAGCGGTTAGGACGCTCGCCAACCATGCACATGGTCCGGGGTTCGATCCCCGGCCACCGACGCACTCCTTTACCTCGCTAAGCCAGAATAATAAAATGAACACTGCTAAAGAAACTTCAAGCCACTAGCTTGAAGCCCTATGTTCCACTGGGGAACGCGAAGGAAAAAAAAGGAGAAATCAGCTTAACTTTATTAATTATTGCCATCTGTCAGCAATTTGAAGTATTTAAACCTTAGAATATAGTACGACTTTATTACGATTTACTTCATCGATTAGGATTCAGTGGCAGAAAAATAAGACGTGTTGGTGACGCTAGTGAGATATCCTAAAACATAAGATAAGCGTCAAGTTTTATCAGAAGTCCTCTGGAAATTAGGAATGATAGGAAATCACTGGTGATGATTAGAAATCGATGCTACCAACAGAAAGTAATGTGTATATGACTTAGTTCTATACAAAATCTGAATACGATTCAAATAACCAGTACGTAACATCCCTTAACACAGTTTTTGATAACCATGGGTTTAGATCTCTTAGAAAATCGAGTAGATTAGATGTCTGGAGTGAATTAGCAGGAAAATTACTCAATATAGACTTCGTGATTCTTAGGACTCATCAGTATGGCTTATCTGCAGCTTCAAAACATCTATATTCCCCTTCTCCGTGATTTAATATCTACTACTCAATACAGAAACCTCGCCTAGATTACTAGTCACTAGTTTTCTAGCCGGTCCCAAGCCCGGACAAAGAGGGAGGGTTGGAGCGTGGTGCTAGCAACTCCACCCCCAAAACTTAACCAAATTGCTACAGAAACTTCAACGCACAAATATAATAAAAATACTAGAAATATAAACAATAACCTTATTTTTCGCTGGAATCGGAGAAGTGAAATGACGTAGGCTGGTGAAAGCCTTCGGGAAGCCAGTCAGCCGATGTGCCTCCTTTCGATGAAAGCAAAAATAAGGATGGGGACGTGGAATGTTCGTACCATGTACGAAGCTGGGAAGGCTTCGCAGAAATGAGAAGATATGGAATAGAAGTGTTGGGAATCTGCGAGAGCAGATGGAACGGATGTGGAAGGTGCCAACTGTCAACTGGAGAGACAGTAATCGAGTGGAACCCGAAAGGGAAGCGACGAGTGGGACATCCAAGGGTGACATGGAGGAGATCGTGTGAAGAGGAGTTGAAACAGTATGGAATAACATGGATGCAGGTGAAAAGTACGGCAGAAGACAGAAACATGTGGAGACGTGCAGTTGAAGCCCTATGTTCTACTAGGAACCCAAGGGAACAATAATAATAACTCAATACAGAATTCATAAACTTTACTACTGTTATTCTGACGGTCGCCTGTAAGAATTGATAATGTATACTAGTTAACCGCTAAATGATGGTAAAACCAACTGTTTAGTCTGGAATTGGTTGGTTGAAATCTGTCAGTCAAGTGTGAGACAGAAATTTCGAAGGAAACAAGAGGCTGATAGTCTTTTCTGTGGAGTAGCGGTTATGAAATGTAGCAAGGTTGATTTTCTCACTTGTAGAACTCTCGCACAGACTCTTTTCTGCAGATATTCACCTACCCTAATAGGCATTCGACTTCAATATTTCTTTAATTTATTGTTTGATGGGATCAGTAAAACATAATACCTAATCGACCTAACAACTTTTTAAAATTGTTATGTTTGCTGAATCTTCAAACAAATAAAGTAATAATAATAAATGCTTGATAATTTCCCAGTAGATTTTCCCTGACTCGAACTGGTGATTTCAAAAACACTTGCACATTTCTTAACGGCCGAGTGAGAGGTACTGTGGTTACAAATGTATAATTACAATGGGCATACGAAAAAGTATCATGGACTAGTTTTATGCTACAACAATGGGTTGATCAGTGAGCCGCAATCAACATGGTGAAACCTCATTGGTAGTTATCTGATCAATATTCAGGAGTTTAACGGTGTTGGAAGCCTGGTATAGGAAATCAATATTCGTATAATTTAAATTCTGACTGACAGATTGTCGATCTAGTCTGTGGTTACCCACAGCAAAAATGATCACCTCTTCTTTAAATATATAAGGGTTTATAACAGTAGTGAGCACTGCAGAAAATGTTTCAATTAAGACGTATAAACTATATGTAATCCAACCATTCTGGATTTTTCAGTAAGTCTATGAAGAAAGTTCACACTGGATAAACAATGAGTAATCACAGTAGAATAAACACCAATGTTGATAAAAATAATGATGCTAAGAATCAATGCAGATATCAAGAATAACAATGTAGGCAGCACTATTTCCTATTCAAAAGACAGTCCACTCCTGCGTACATTATCGTGTTTCGATCTAATATCAATCTGACGTCATATTCTTATTTAACCTATACCATTAATTTTTTTAATTCACTCAATTACAGTTACTATTTGATTTCCCGAGCATCTTTGCCTGCCATCATGATGCAACCGACCTATAACGACTAGTACGTTTATTTATTGGGATTCTAGTATGCCATAAAAGTCGTTTGGACAATGTGGAGAAGGAAAATGACTAACCGAACAATTCGAAGTCAATGTCACATATGACAGGTCTCACTAGTCAAAAATGTGGCATTTGAGGCCATGAATAAGTGGTATATTCGCGAAGATAAAGACTGTATGTGATCCACACTTCAAATATATGGGGATCCGCAAGCTTATTTCAACACTGAAATGTGTAAACAGACTATTAATTATCAGTCAATTAAGCGCAATTATAGTTTGGAAAACAAGTGGTAATCGCATTCACTTGGCTTGATTGAATGGTACAGTAAGAACTCAGAAGAATCATGGGTATTGGTGGGCAGTAAAAGTTAGAGAGCCGGAGAACAGAAATGACAGACATTAAGAAAGAGCTGTTTAGGATGATGTGAAGAAACCTGTGGTTATTGAGGTCAGATTTGAGAAAGATGAATTTAAACTGGAAGCATAGATGAAACATTTTGAGCAAGAACTAAGTTGTTTACAGGAACATTTTGTTTACTCATAACACAGTTAGAGCTTGATTAAAAGATTGACTTTGACTCTGACACATGCAGAAGTAAAACCGAGAGTGACCTATAAAGATTATCACTAGTTAGTGACAAAAATTGATGAAACTGCTGGTCAAAGCCACCCGTTAAACTGGTATGTTCGCTAAATGATAGTGAACAGAAATAATTCACTAGTTGATTGCTAAATTTTCCAACGAGAGATGAAAATCGTTTAGTGGTAACCACCAAAAATTATCTTAACGACCACAATTCTTCATATTTGGTTAGTCTCTGGATATAAATAATTAGTATCTGACACCGCCTGTAAGTCTTAACCGGACTATGCTGGTCGACAGATCTTATTGGATAGCTCCTAAAAGCAATGAGGAGTGAGTTGGTTCATTATGGATAAGATTTTATTTTGATAAATCACACAGTGTTGTACAGTAATATTAATATTATCAGTTAATATTACTGTACAACACTGTGTGATTTATCAAAATAAAATCTTATCCATAATGGAGTTATGCTCTACCACAGTGCCCAAGTTTTATACTTATATCAATGAGTCGGTTCACATTTGAACACTCGACACACTATTGGAGCTATCTCACCAAGTACGGACTTACAGTGATGTCTACCAAATATGACCAATTTTTATTTGTTTTACTTAAAAAAGATATATTAATTCCAATTTGCACTTGAATGGATTCATTTCGTGAACGGTTTTCAAGTTGGACTAATCCCAATAAATAACCCCGTTTTATAAAGGTACGTTAAAGAGATGCAACAATTCAATCGACATAATCAAAATATTTTTACGGCTACTTATTATTAATCTTGTTTTCAAGTTCTTAATTTACTTGTAATTGCTGAAACGCTCTGAAATATTTTTTGATAATAGGACTGTCCCTGTAATCCCAATTTAGACTTTGAATGAATAATCAGATTATTCATGAGCTGCTGCTAACAGTAACTATGACTCAGTTTGAACCAAAGCTAAAACCGAGAGTCAATGGTAGCTTATCGGAAATTGTATAAAAATGTGCCTATTTACATAACTCATTGACTATAAAATCCACATATGAAATTGCAAAAGTGGGAAACATATACAAAATAACGGTTGACTAACCTGACCAACAGCACTTATCACAGAGAAAATAGCCATATCAGGAAGAACGTGAGGATGCCTTTCCACGAATTTCACAAATGTCAAAACTTCCCCGGTAGCTAAACTTGCTTGATAAAAATAAGTTACATAGAGAATTTACAGTAATTACATTAAATTAAAGAGAACATGAACAGCTCTGAAATAACTCTTCATCGAAAACTAGAAGCAGAGAATTCTATAAGGAAATAGCAGTATTTTTACATTCTTATGCAGTAAATATCAATCATTGTACAGCCAACAGGTGATCATATCGAACAAGTAAACTATACACCAGAGGTGCTTCAGTGGCACAGTGGTAGAATGCTCACCAACCACGCAGGTGGTTCGGGGATCGATCCCCGGCCGACGCAGTCCTTTACCTCCATAAGTCAATGATCAGACTGATAAAGGGGGAAGGTTGGGCATGAGGATAGCAACCCCATCCTGTAAAAATAAATACCACTGCTACCGAAACTTCAAGCCTATTGCTTGAAGCCCTATGTTCCACTGGGAACGTAAAGGAATAAAATAAATAATAATGATGATAAAAATACACCACAGGCTATCATAACAGCGCGTTGATTTATTTAACTGAATTTTAGGAAATAATAAGGGGTAAATAAGAGGACAAATTTTTGGACCACGTGCACCATGAAGTTGACGAAACTTTAGAAGAAGTGAGTTGTTGCAAATTTCTAACTAAATATATTTATTGGTAAATTTGACTGAGATCCACATCCTTAAAGTTTTATAATTAACGATTTCTGCTATCAAAAATATCTCGGTTGGTGGGACAACAGTTTTCAACAGATTTTTAAGGCCGTTTTCAGAAGTAACTACGACTACACCTACTTTCACAAAAACAGAGTTCTAAAACTCTAGAATTAGTGTACTCTAAGAAGACCTTTCCTAATGAAACATATATGTAATTTAAGTCTAATGCGATATTTGTAAAACACATTTTCACTGACTGATTTTCAGATTGTAGACTTTGAGTTACGACTCAATAAGATCAGTACATGTAGTAGGAAATTTGTACTGGGTAACTGAGCCGCCAAGCTGAATATACGTCAAGACCATAATCTGAGTACCATTTAGTGTCCATTATACCTACTGTATCCACCCTCTCAAAAGAAACACGAATGTATGTATACATATATACGCCTACACAGACTACACTTCTTAAAACGGAAATCAAATTAACGTAAACTAAGCAGATGAACTTTACTAGTACCAATACTTAGTCATATTTTAAAATCTGATATTATGAATACCTTTAGTACTCGACTTACCAGCCAGTATGAAAATGACAGACCAAAAGTTCATTTGCGACATAAGTGTGCATGGACCAACATTATGTCTTTTTAGATCTTCTTGAAGACCAGCAGTAATGCCATCAAATAGTAAAGAACACAACTGGAACATTATTGAATAGAACTGAAAAATTATACCAAGAGAAGCTCTCCAAAACCAAAGTTGCTTGTAAGCGCTACTGTCGAATGCCCCTTAAACATGAAGAGTGCCACACCAACAGAAATCATAGTCATAAAAATGTACTTTTGCAGAGGATAACGTCGTTTCCCTAGCAGAACACTCAGAAGCATGACAGGTACCGGCTTTATGGACTTTCCTACCACCTACAGAAATAGTGAAATGATGAAGAAACTAACCTGAGTTGGGTAACTGACATAACTCAAACTTGTATTGCTTGCAAACATTGCAGTAATATAGGCAAAACCACACATGGCGAACTTATATCCCTTCGCAGTAGATGGAGATTCTGGGTTCAATTTTAAAACTACAAATAGACTTAAAAGGAATGACATATATACATACCTATTTTGGCAAAAATAAAGTTCACTGCACATTGCAAAAGGAGAAGTGATAAGTAGAAATTGAAAGGCTCTTTTTCTGGACCATACTTAGTTTTAGTACTATGATAATATGTTATGATTTTTAAATTAACAAACTTACATTTTTTCTTGGTATATGCCATACACCAAGTATGATAAAAACACACCACCACAACGAATCACCAATGAATATAAATCCAGCAAGTGCATCGCAACTTTTGAAAAATCACGGGTGACAGATCACCTTTCTCGATACAGTAAAAGTAATAAACATACATTTATCTCACTCTTTGGGGTCAGTGAATCTCTTGCACACAGTTTTGTAATCAAATTTCTGCAAAGCTAGAGTGTAAGCAGACAAACGGCGCAAATGAACCGATGATTTTTGAAATAGCAACAGCTCTAAAAAATAAATCTGACCGCCCCCCCCCAACTCTATCCTTACCCTAAACCTAACCTATGCATGATGTATGCATAACGCTGAACTTTGGATGAATTTACTTGTGTATGGTATAAGCTGGGTAAGGTTATGTTAGATGTAATCTCTTAACAAACATTGTTGTTACTGTACTTTAGTTGGTCATAATCATCTTCAGGGCTTTTAGATTCAACCAATTTAAATGGTAATAAAAATGAAACTTTGCACTTATGGCGTCTTAGTGAACTAAAGGATAGGTTGGAATATTGCAAAAAGGATGATACTATTATCGTTCAGTTTCAAGAATGACTGATTTCGAGGCTTTCCCCATCGATTATTCATGTCTTATTAGTTATGGATTTAGTTTTAGGAGTCAGAAATTGTACTGTGCGAGGCCTACAAAGAAAGTTTATGTCAGTATGCATTTAGGGAAAAAAGAAACATTAATATGAGGCACATAATCCGTATGTGTCGAGTGTCCTCAAATAGGTGACATTTTGCAGATACCACTGCACAGTTTATTTATTTTTATTTTGATTTACAGCTGGCAGTATGATTCAGCATGGATATGAGCCAAATTTTGCAGGCCGACATAATATCGGGTGTGCGCGGCAGGATCACCGCTTGGTAAACCTTTATGGAAATAATTTTCAATAAAATGGTGTTATATGTTTCTTGACCTGATGGTAACTCTCATTTTCTGACATGACAAGTTGGTGTCCGCGTCCTGTGATCGGACTGCGGCACACTCTTGGCAAATTGGTTGCAATGGTTTGTCATTCAGGCAACATGTGTTGAAATATTGCTACAGTTGGCAGGTTCAGATAGTGGGAGGGTAATGCCATCTACACAGATAGTCCGCTTTATGTAGAAGCTACACTTTTTGGCATAGTATCATTTGATGAAGACTTCACAGCCTAATCTCGTATGAAGCACAGTACCATATGACAATTCAGTGTTATGAACACGTGGAAGTTACCTACAAATTCTAACAGAGCCTTCTACGAGAACAGAAGTTGTGATATAGATGCATTTTTCACCTTATGTGTGTTTGGACAGGAATTATCGCTAATTGAAGGGTTCTCATTGAGTGGATTCAGTATATTGTCGCAATGATTGGCGCAGTATGGTGTGGGTTATGTGGATTCAGTGTATAAAAAATAACTCAACTTTACCAATGTTGTACGACTGTCTGCTATGTCAACTGATAGGCTAAGTGATGTAGGTGGTTCTCATGATTTTTGCAAGTGTAGTGCAGTGGAGGTAACTGCTCGTTCAGTTGGCATCAATGTCTCATCCAATGCAATAATTCAGTGTACAATATTATTATGCATATGAATCGTGTTCATTATAAGAACCTAATCTAGTGAGCTCTGTTGTTGTCTGTCTAATGCCTGCTATCCAGTTTCCGCTGACGCTGTGTGCTCAGTGACTACGCTTCGGTGTTTTTTATCACCAATAATGTAGACGAATTTGTTCTAAAATTTCCCTTTGCATGAAGCAGTACAGATGTAGTTTAACGATTGAATGTCTGGGCTGCATTATGTGGCAATGTCGCTTTCATCAACAAAATAGGTTCTTGGGTCTTAAGATATTTCAAGTATTTATCTGTGCTGTTGACGCTGTGCATAACTGTTTAGGGTTGGGACCTATGCATCTTGTATCTTATGGCTATAGTTTCCTAAATTTGCAAATGTAATTTCTGAAGAATTCACAAAACTATGTTCACTAGGCATTATTTAGATTGTGGAGTAATTTCTAAATTACGCATTTTCAATACTTTCTTCAAATTGAACGTATTTAGTGTGAAGTTAATCTGCCTTTTTGCTTGTATGAACCACATGTAATCTTGATGAAAGAATTCCATCTTAACGGTATGTATGTTTCAGAGATTGTCTTGAAATTTGCGTATAACCCTCTATTGCTGGGAAAGATATGAGGTATGTTTACGCACTTTGTTTACTAATATGTGAAATTGTCCTTTACATCACCATGTTGTGCAGGTTCTTATATTTGGTTAGTGTTTCTTTAGGAACACTGAAGTTGTCAAATATTAAGTCAGCGAAAATGTCAATCGATCAAACTAACGGTAATCCCCTTCACCGGAATTTTTTCTGTAAATTAATGAAATGTTTAATGTACTCATAATTTATACTCCTTTTGAACTTTGTCATTACGTCGCTTTAGTGTGGACTATTGTAATATGTGAAGTTGGATTAGTGCATGTTAAGCTTAGCTGATGGGATAAAGACTTACCATAGAATTTTGGGATTTTTACACCAACACACCTACACAACATCTAAATTGATGTGCTATTCACAGTCACTCACAAAGTAAAAATAAATCTACTGAAGACAATGCTTTTGACTTCTAGATGTCGTAATGTACCCCGAGAGGAAAGCTATATCCATACGGTTACTACAGTTTGACGCATGATATTAATCCGAAGCAAAGCGGCCACCATCCTCAGTCACAGAACAAAAACTGTTCGTCTAATCCTGTCAGCAAATGTTTCACCAATTAAGACTGGATAGGGAAGACCACTGTTCTAAGGAATGTTTATTTAGAGTTTTCTTAAAAAGTATATGCATTCCAGAACTATAGACACTAAGAAGTTGCAGACATCAGAAAAGTAAAATCCCGATTATTTGAACTGAAACAAGAAATCAGTATCCACACATTTTTTCGTCCCGAATAACAGTCAATTTCTCAACTTGTGGTAACTTGGGAAAAATCACTATTTGAAAACCGCAATTCGAAGGGATTTTCTTGCCAATTAAAGTGTTACTTTTACCAGAGTAGTTCGTATACTCAGTGACTCATTGTATGTCATCCACTTTTTAAGTCATTTTGCAACATAATCAATAACTGTTAACATTGGGCTTCACTGTAGGCAGTTCGAGTCCATGTAATTACATCTAGCACATAAAGCATTAACAACCATAGATCACGATCATCCTTAAGACGTTCATGATTGCTTTCCTGTCACTTTTTATTTCCAAAAGCACATGCAAGTATTACATATTCACACTTCTAATGTGGTTCATCCTTGCTTAATTCAAGTTCTCTCACAATGTATCGAGTGTTTTTCATCTCATGATAGACGCATTCAGGCAATACTAACCTAGAAAAAATCAAAATCTCTTCAACTTCAGCCCACCTTCGAAATTCTCCTATTTCGATAAGTACTTTGCAAACCTTGCCAGTACTAACTCTGACTGTGCTTTCTTCAGTAGAATGGCTAGTAGATGTCTACACAATATAAACATCAACAAGAAAGACTGCTTCTTCCAGACTAAGTGACCACTTGAACCAGCAACTATCAAGGCCGCCAAAAAATGCACTGAAAACAACAGCTCATGCCACCGAAACATGTCCGTATGCATAAATTCCACAGCTTCTGCATAGTGCTATTTCGTTAACAGCTGAAAAATAACTGAAATACTGCAGCGACGCTTGAAAAGATGTGTAAAACAATAACAATGAAATGAATGGACTGCCCTAGAGGTAAAAACTTTTGAAACAAACGAGATGACCAATTTTAGTGGCAATGGAAATCGAAACAATGTAAAACGCGACGTTAACGAATAATCTACATCGAGGTAATTTACGAATAGCTAGAGGACAAATGTAAGAACCAGTATGTGAATGAACGGTTGGCAAACAGCAATCCCAACACAGCCAACCAACTTGGATGAAATTGGTCTTCAGGTGCCTAATCTATCCGATTGCTTTGGGCGTTCTGGATAATTCCAGTTATATATTTGTTCTTCGTACTGATGACTCTGTTACTTCCTGATAGGTATTAATAAAACAAACGCTATTTAATCTGTGTGCAGGGGGATTCATTATAGAGAGGATGGAATCGGGCGAGAAATAAGCCAGCCACACAAGTGGAAGTTTGCACCAAATCGTTCCACGATGTATAACAGAAGATTGCAAACTCGTTTTCATTCAGTGTCTGACAGTAAGGATGGTGTGCGTATTATTATTCAAGGTGTATGTGGTCACTTTTCCGGGGCAGTAACATCTGAAGCCGCCATACAGAAGGTGGAAAACGTTAGGTCTGAGCCACTGATATATAGGTATAATCGATTCGGGCTCATATTTTTTGTATTTACTTTCGTGACCGATTTTTCCAGTCACATGTAGTGGGAGTCATGTAAAAGTGCATTTCCTTTTCCCCTCTGATCCTATCATATCTATTCATTTATTCGAAGACATTTGTCCAGTGCTTGGATATTGGAGACTCTGTTCCGAAAACCTTTAGCCTCGAGAGATTTTTCCAGAGTAAATGGCACAAAAATTTTGACTACTGTGTAAAAGCTGAGTTGTCAGCGGCACTACACACCACCAGGAACTCGTGAAAGAAATTTACAAAAGCACTGCCTGAAGTAAAAATCTGTGTTAATAAAGTCATACGTCCCATGTAACCGAAGTCATAGGGAAAAGTTTTGTCCCAGTAACACAGACTTCTAAACAGGGATATGCCATGTGATTTCCTCAAAACTATTTCTTGATCACACTTCCCAGTGAATGACGAGAGTTCAGTCCTTATTTTAACACTTATGTTCTTTCTTTCACACAACTTACTGTACTGTTTCCGTTTAACGATATCAACTACAAATGCCAAGTATTCGTTTATACCACCGGATGTCGGTTAGGAATTAAATTCCTACTAGAAACGCTCATGTTTGAACGTTTTTGCGCGGTAAAATGATTTATTGATCGGATGCACTGATGCACACGTCCAGTCAAACGCCACTTTATATCTAGGATCATTTGCACATCATGAAATTTCTATCTTCAGGTGCTCGTAGCGGACTACAATTCTGGTGGAAGCTAGGTCCGAAAATTTTTGAGCGCCTAGTATAATGTAAATGTGTGATAGCCAGTCACTTGTTCAGAGGGTATTAACGGATTTCTTATATCTTTGTGGAAGGTGAAGAGAATGCCGGATTATAAAAGACATTCTGAATGCGCCAAAAACAAGTTTGGGATTGTGAGATTTTGAATCGAGTTGATCGAATTTGCCAGGTTTTTATGGCATTCTACTAGGGAACAAGGGGGGCCATATCATGAGATAAAAGATAGGTAACTCCTAACTGTAATGACCAAAGCGAACGACCTTTGTAATGAGCTAGATAAATTCCTATCAACCAACCAGATACGTTTAAAGCAGAGATGAGGAATTTGAATTTTCTAATAGAAATTTAATATAGTTTCAAAAACAGTTATTCAGAGTAATGTTCTCGTCTAAGTTTCGAGAATACGTCCCAGTTCTTCAGTGGAATCTCCTGTTATAGTCCTAGCCAAATTTTCCACATAAATTCATCTCGGTAACTGTATATCATCATTCTTGTTAGAAGTCACTATGAGCCCATCTGATTTGTTGGTCGAGGCCATTACGTCCTTTCAGATGGGTCGTTCGTCCGAGTCGCTATAGTTTGGAGTTACTATAAAATGTAGTGGGGATGATAATACATATATATGGGCTGCGATAAGTTCCGAATCCGAGTTTAGTGTGATCTTTAAATCACACCTGATAAGAACAAAGCATTTTTCCTGTTTTCATGATTTATGTCTTGCCTCAAAGACAAGACCGGCCAACCTACCCAGTAACCGTGATTTAGCGAATGCATGTAAGTTTTATCAATGACCTTAAATCTAAATAAACAGATTTTTCATTGCGCTTGTAAGTTTTGCAGCCAAATCATACAACTTATCGTTGTGTGCAATCAGGATAAAAATATTATTTTGATAGTCTCAAAGCACATGTCACCGTGCACTAGCAAACAAAAATCAGTCATTGGTGATGCATGTGAGGTTTTCGATTATGTAGTGTAGAAGACAGTCTCCGGGGATGGGTGCTTGCACATTGATCATCCCAGTCTACATGGCTAGTATGTGTTCCTTTAGGACATCAAAGACTACTTAAAGTATAAAATCGGGAAAATTGTAGATTAGTGTTTTTTGAAGATTAGTAGAGGATCGAGTCCGAAACATTTTGCTCACGAGGCAAGTTTATTGACAACTCAAAATTGGCAACAGATCCAATGTCCACCAAGTGGAGTACTAATGGAAGGTCATCATAACTGGGTTATTTACTAGCTAGCGGCAGGCAACCAGTCGAAGATGTCCAAATCATTATCCCTATAGTTGGTAGTGGTAATGGTGTCATGGAGTTTGAACTGGATATTTTCGAGTGCTTACATCAGTATGCTACGTAACCTCGTCTATGCTATGGCAAAGCTGTGTACAGCAAAATGTGAAGACGTTTGCCCGGCGTAGAGTGGTCCAAAGACTGGACCGAGCTATCATCAGAGCGACATTGGGAAACAGTAAAAGGGATCATCCACAAGCCAGTCTCAGATACCCTCTATCTAGTCACACTACAGCCCTGGACGCAATCTTCACGACTGAAGAGAAGCAGTCAGCATGTGCTGCAAGCGAATAATAAACCCGACTGGCATGGTGACACTCCTGGGATCGGACTAACCATGAGGTATACCCAGAGTTCTGGAATCTGTACAAAGCCAGTGTCCGGAGTGACAGGAGGTTATTCCACTCACAGCTTACCAGGAAACTCTTGGCAAACCCCAAAGCCTCTATCGGTTTATGTTGGAAATAAAAATGACGAACTAGAGGCATGAACTGTGGGACGTCCATGAGGTTAGTGTTTCACTGGTTATGAAAAGGTTGAAATATTCAGTTTGACTTTTGACATACAGTAAAGAAGCACCGCGGGTAATACCGCTATAATCCATAACGATTGCACTGATAATATACCAACGTAAATCCCAATGGATACAATCTTAATGAACTCCGCAAAGGTACTGGGGAATTTGAGTAAGCGCGCGTGTAAAAAAATCCTCAGATTGTGGTGGAATTCAGCCATCCATTCTGCAACAGTTATTTGAAGCCCTCTGTAGGCCCTTTTATGACCTATTCTAGGGCTTTATGGACTCAGAAAGACTGTTAAATGAGTAGCACGGAGACACCCTTTCTTCTGTTTCCATGAATAGGGATCTGCAGAAAGCCACATGTTACAGACCAGTTGCGTTATTCCCAGTGGTATCAAGGGTACTGGAAAGTCCAGCCAGCTACATCAGGCAGCACCACAACAGGGCTAACATACAGTATGGGGCACAACATGGCTTCAGGAGAAGTAGATCTTGCGTGACAAACCTATTATTGGACACCATGCTGGGGTATGAATGTTTCCAAGCCGTGTGATCTTCTTTGACTCTGAGAGGGCATTTGACACAGTTTAGCATGACCTCCTTAACAGGAGAAGTCTAGCGAGTACCGGTGATCCACATCCCTCATGGCTGGAGGACTACTTAGGTTAAAGAGAATTCTGAATCGAGGTCAATCATTTTTGACCATGCTGGCACAATTCAGTATCGGGAGCATCGTAGTATCGTATTCTAGGGCGCTTGACATTTTTGATTTTATCGGTGACATGTCATGCCATCTGAACTGCCCGTCTCTTCTTTATTTAATCGAAGGGCAGTAAGGTGCTTGGGAAATTCAGATTGGCTGCAGGAAGACCCAGAAATTCCGAAAGGCTGGGCTCTTGTCAGCTTTTAACCTTGCGGCCAGGTAGCTCAACTGCGCACCTACAGGCCACAGAATATAAGTAATTCCCGGTGTAACGTCAGAGTGAGACTTAGTTCAAACTGAAAAAGGACACAAACATGAATTAAATGAATGATTTACTGAGAGCACATGCGGTTGTACGGTTTGCACATCGACAGTGCGTTCACTCCTGAACTTTTTCTAGGGTTGTACAAGACATACGTAAGACCATACCGTGTAGTGCACAGCATCAATCCCCCTTTTGCTACTCGGGATGGGGTCTGACCTTTTGGAAGTGAAACAGGAGTGGTGGGCCTACCGAAATAAACCATATAACCGAAGACTAATGAAAATCGGTCTTTTTACTCCTAACTATGGCTGGCTTAGGGGTGACCTAACTGCTACCTATAAGAATACAAATAACCTGAGTCACTCATACAAAGGTATTCCGCCACTAGGCAATTATGGTTGCCTCGTAGCAATTCACGAAGAAAAGCAAATCACAGAGTGAAGACTTCAGTGACCTCCCACTTTTTATTCACACTTGGCATCCAGATATTCCGTTATCAGAGGCTGTGGCTACTATAACGTCCGTGGAAAGAATTAAGCGGAGGCTGAACAATCATCCAGTGACTCAAGGACTACTTCCAAACGGCCTGTCCCCTTAAGTCTAACACACTACTAATGGGTATCAACCTAAACTCGTCATGCACTACCTCCCATTATCCTTTACATTGCTCTTATGACCACTGTACCTATATGTTCACTTTTTTCACTAGTTATTTATTTGTATGTTTTAAATTCCAAATAAATACGTTTACACGTTTTTCTTTTTTAAGTCTACCATAACTGAATCTATCATTATCGCCAACGGTTATCATCTCCCTTTTACACCATGGTGGAAGATTATCTGCTGAAATAGTCAGATCTATTCACAGCAGTTATACGGTCTTAACAGAATGCATACTAAAAACCACATATAACCGTTACCAAAATCCACTCCCCTTAGAGTCACACAAAAACAAGATCAGTCGATTGGAGGGACGCACTACGCAGAATTTTGCTGTAGACCAGGAACCGTTACCTTAAAATCAAGAAGCGAACACAAAGGAATCGATTTAGTTTACACAAGTTAGTAGAAACGATATTAGATCATGGAATTTTCAATACTGCCAGTTCGGTATCCTCCAGGCGTTTAGGGTTTATGGTCCACAAATGCAGAGGTACAGCCCTTCGGTTCACCTCAATGGTTCTTTGACTGATATCATCTCACGATTTGACTACAAAGCAATCAAATCTCCACAAACCAACAATTGGAACGCATGATCATTGTGTGTGCTCAATTCAAATTGTTTGTGTGACGCTGTTGGAACTACCAGGTATGAATATTCGCCGTATTTTCCTGCTTCTGTGTGGTACATGCTAGACGCATAAATGTTTGGGATCAGTCGCCGGATACTAAAAGGAAATAGTTATGGGTGGACAGACAATATATATTGTTTCCATTCCTGAAGACCCAAGCTTACTAAAATGCTGAATTAAATCTCACTAATTCTGAAATAATTCTAACATTCTATAGTGATTAAATTCGGAATCTGTTCTGAAATGGATTCTTTAATGACACAGACTAGAACTCAGTGCTGGTTTTCAGCATGACTGGCACTAATTCAGCATCCTGTTCTATTTCTAGGCATTTCCAGGAGTAGATCAGAACCTACCGGATTTGCTTAGCAGCGTTGTTCCAGCCCTCACAGGACATATTAAGCACGGACTATTGTTATTTCAGAACGAAAAGACTTTATTCAACACCCAGCTGTTTTTTTAAGCACGACCAGCGTTATTTCAGAACATGGTGGGCAGATAAAATCTTCATTTACCATAAAAAGGCATTACCGAAGAATAGGTTAGAATAAGTTTAGAATTTTTGTAAGCTTGGGGTTATGGGCTTTTGTCTGTTGCTACAAGAGTTTACTCGTGCTGTTTGATTAACTGGAGTCTGTTTATGGCTTTCAACGGAGATTGGCTATAGTCCGTTCTAACTGACCTAGCTAGGATTTACTTCGGGTCCACTGCAATTATTTTAGGGGGAAATCTAAGGACCCTTTTATGAAGGTGGGACGGTTTTCCGTACTGAACCATAAGTCTGTCCCAAAGTGTCTGAAGTGGACTCAAAGTTCCTACAGTGTGCCCAAAGTCAGCGCTAGCCGTGGAGTCTAGCAGATTTAGACTGAGTCCTAGGAATAAAATACTCCTTTTAGGTTACTGGTAGTGTTCGGCACTTTACTAAGTTATTTTGCATGGTGAAATAATTATAACCAGCTTCTCTTCAATTTTTAAATGCAAAAATTCGACGACTTACAACTTATGTGAAACCTCTTGGCACATGCCTGTTTTTATCTGATTTCGGCAAAGTTAAACTGCAGCGTCCCAGGGGATGCAAACGCAAGTGTAATCTTGAGCAGACCAACCATAAAAATAAGGGATTTTTGTACAAAACCTGATGTTTATTTACAAGAACTGCGTAAAAACACATTAGACAGACTATCTTTGACGTGACTTAAAAATTCGTTCTAGTTTTTCTTGGTTATAGCTTGAAACCATACAGTATTTTTGGTACAAGTATGGCATTTTCAGCTTGCGATATCCGTAGCCCAAATTTTGCAGGCCGACCATTGATATCAGGTGTGCGTCGGCAGGGGATCGAACCCCGGACCATGTGGATGGTCAACGAGAGTCCTAACCGCTGTGCTACCGGCGCAGTTAAGGGGATTATCAGTTTTCAATTTAGACCAGTTTCTGTACATGTATTCACCAAGCTGACTTAAGGGGAGCTCTTTTTGTGATCCGTTTATCGCTCTTATCCTGTTTTGCAGTCTTCCCCAAAAGCCCTCGTTTGAATTACGATGGTTTCCAGTAAGAGGATCGACTACTACTTCCTAGGAGAATGTGGACAATAAAACGAAGTAAACTAAATGATGCCAACTCCAGACCTATCCCTAATCGTAACCTTAACCTTAATCCCAACCCTAATTATAACCCTCGTCGTGAACGTAACCATAATCCTAACCATCGAGAGCTATTAACACATCGAAACAGTACTTAAAAACGGGATCTGGGTGAAATTTGCTCTTTAGTTGGTGAAGAGCATTCATGTTTGCGCTATAATGACAGGTGTCGTTAGCCAACGAATAGCATACGTTCAAGGTCATTGGAGCGTACGCAACCTTGGGACCCTATAGTTTAACTTCGCCCTAATTTCTTATTGGACGCGTCCGTCGAATTCTGACACCGCTATATGTCGTAATGCAATCCAGTCGTTGAAAAATCTAAGCGAGAGTCTGATATCTACTCGTAGTCCCACTGTAAATGGCAACAACACTCTACCCCTAGAAAATGGAGCTTAGCTATAGTGACCTAGTGCCTAATTACATGCACGACTGTAATACTGTAATCTGACTGATAGGATTTAACGCTGGTTGGTAACTCTATAGTGGCCACTAATTGTATTTGTAAAAATATTCTAGACATAATTAGTAGGTTTAATTGGTGGATAGTGACTAGCAGTGGAATCCAGGATGCGCATTTCGTCCTATTTGGGACTCGTCAACTGGATGTACCTGCATTTCTCAGTGAGTGATGATGTTCCCACCGAGGCTCGAACCCAGTGCCCATAGTTTCAAACGCCAAAGCGTTATCCACTGGACCACTTGGGCCACGAGAGCCACCTCTTGTGCAACGGGTCATATTAATTATTTAATTGAATTTTAGATTTTCCCGTCGATTGATTGGACCGAAGTGCTTGGTCTCAGGTTGACATGTCGGCTTCTTGAGCAGATGCTTCGACGATGTCTGGGCATTTAATTAGTATTTAATTGGTGGATGGTGACTAGCAGTGGAATCCAGGATGCACATTTCGTCCTATTTGGGACTCGTCAACTGGATGCACCTGCATTTCTCAGTGAGTGATGATGTTCCCACCGAGGCTCGAACCCAGTGACATGTCAACCTGAGACCAAGCACTTCGGTCCAATCAATCGACGGGAAAATCCAAAATTCAATTAAATAATTAGTAGGTATTTGGACAGATGGCACTAGTTTTTTTATTATAACTTGATTCCACACCGTATTTTTGGTACAAGTATGGAGATTTCAGTATGTGATATCGGTAGCCCAAATTTTGCTGGCCGACCAATTGATATCAAGTGTGCGTCGGTAGGGCATCGAACCCCGGATCATGTGCATGGTCGGCGAGAGTCCTAACCGCTGTGCCATCGATGCACATTGTCATTGCTTCAGGAGGCGGCTGTAGAAATTCGAGTAGAATGTTTTACTTAATACAGTGTACTCCTATACTTCATTCAAAGCCAGGTGTAGCCACAGCAACTCTTGGTAGACGGAGTCAAATGCAGCTGTGATAATAGGCAGCCTTGTTTTACTCCTGTATGTACTTCGAACGCCTCGCTGAGTTTTCCGTTGTGGATCACCTGATACGTGCCACTGTCATATAGCTGTTGAATGAAGTGGATAAAGACTTGGGCACTGCACGCCGTAGTGTCGAAGCAGTTTCCAAATTACTTCCCGGTCAACACTGTCTGGTGAAGTCTTTTGCGAAGTCGATGAAGTCGAGGTAGAGGTTTGACTGGCATTCTATGCTTTGTTCGATGGTGATGCGTAAAGTTGCAATTCGATCAGCGCATGATTTGCCTTACCTGAATCCAGCCAGGTTGTTCCAGGCTGGCGGAGTTCTGCATGCAGTGCATCTTTTATTCTCTCCAGGATGACACGACTTAGTATTTTACCTGGCGTGAACAAGAGCATGATTCCACGCCAGTTCCTGTAGAGTGAGGCGTAAGTCACCCTTCTTTGGTAGTTTCACAGTGTAGACAGCCTTTCATCCAATCGGTAGGCACCTTTCCTTCCAGGTAGGTATCCGTTCCTTGACTTGCCTACTTTTCCATTCTAAAAACGGTTGTGTACGTTTCCTTGAACATCACCTTCAGAGAGTTCCAATGTTCTTCCACACAGGTGTCCTCAGTGATAACACGTAGTGTCTCCGACTTCGCTCTAATATCTGTAGCGAAGGCATCCCTTGTAGTTGCATCTTTCAGTTTCTGAATGTTGATTTTGAATTGCGGCCTGTCTCTAGTTGTTTTCATGGATTTCAGCTTCACCTTGAAGGTTCCTAGTAGTAGATGATGATCTGAGCCCACATCTGCTCCCCTCTTCGACTTTGTATCCAACAGGTTGCGTCTCCACTTCCTTGAGATTGAGATGAAATCTATCTGGTTTGTGGTGTGTCCGTCAGGCGAAATCCATGTCGCTGGCCTTGTGTATATGCTTGTGTTTGTACACGCTGCCTCCGATCGCCAGATCATTGAAAGCGCAAAAGTCTGCGAATAATTCTCTTTTCTTATTAATTTCTCCGAGCGCCAGCCTCTCGACCCATGATGAGTTCTCTTCCAGTATTATCTGCTCCCAGTTTGGCGTTCATATCGCCCATAAGGATTCTGATATCACCATTTGGGATGTCCATTACTGTTTGTAGTTGTTTATAAAACTCTTCCTTCTTCCCTTGTTCCGCGTTGTTTGTAGCATTGTGCGTTGCATTGGATAATTGTTACCTTCCTTCGTTTTGAGTTGAATGTTGCTGTCATAATCCTGCATGCGGAGATTGGTTCCCACTGCATTAGGGCTTCGGTTGCCACTGATGACATCATGATGCCCACTGCCTTGGCGTGCTCGCGGTTGTCGTCTGAGTGACCAGACTGGAGTAGATTACTGACTATCCAGTTGACAATTTTGAAAACCCACATCCGTTCCATCTGCTCTCGCAGATACCCAGCACTTCTATGCCATATCTTCGCATTTCGTTGGCTACCTGGGCAGTCTTCCCAGCCAGCCTCGTACATTGTACGGACATTCCACGTCCCCATTGTTACTCTTGCTTTCATCGAGAGGAGACACATTGGCTGGCCGACTGGTTTCCCGAAGGTGGGCTTTCATTAACCCGTGTCATTTCGCTTCTCCGATTCGAGCGAAGAATAAGATTGTTATTTGAATTTTTTGTATTTTTAATATATTTTCTGTGCGAAAAGTTTCTCTAGCAGTTTGATAGGTTTAGTGGTGTAGGGTTGCTAGCCCCACGCCTAAACCCTCTTCTTTACCCGGGCTTGGGACCGGCTAGAAAACTAGCAGGCTAGTTAACTAGGCGAGGTTGAGTGAGTGTATAGGTGTATTTAGGAATTCGACGCAGTCACTCGTAAAGGGGTCAGTTAGTTTAATCTGGTACACAAATCTGAGTTTCTACGTCGTATTAATAGTAGTTTTGTTAACTTTTGAATAAACTGTTGTTACTTTGTGATGCCGTTTTTTTCTTACACAGCCTGCTACGGACTAATACTCCAGGATCTACCGCGTCTATATGAAGCCAGATGGCACTTGTCTTATTTTCAAACATTTTCCATCTGAAATCACAGCGGAAGAATGTGTTGATTTCTTAAAATCACTGGGAGCTACAACAGCTCAATATTTAGGACATTCTGGTCCTCTAAAATATGTAATATTTCCTCTTTATTTGTTTCATTCTAATTCAGCTTTAGTGTGCCTTCGCGGAATTCACATCCGAACAACATGCGTGGAATATTATCAAAAATCTACATCAGAAGAGAATATTGGACAGACGTCTTTCAGTTGAATTTACTCAATCTGTAGAATGGTGAGAATGACTTTGTTTAACTCATTTGTCCTTATTTCACCTAGGCATAAAACAGCTGACTCAAATAAGTCGTCCGAAAAAGAATGTCCTCCTACTACTATGAGTGCTTTTTCTCCTATGTGGGATCCATCCTACAGTGGACCCTCACAGCTGTATTATGATTACCCTTCTGTATCGCACAGTGTGTTAACAAACATAGTGCGATCGTTGGCCTCCTGTCCAGCATTTTATAATCAGGTAAGTTCATTTATTTGCTGTTTTATATGTCAGAAGTTTTGAAAAAAGTGAAACTAATTTTTAAATTGTTTAATTTGCAGAGTACAAATGTTAGTTTAACGAATTGTATACTTAAGGATTTTTGGAAGCAATCGAATAATCTGTTATTAATTGACTTAATAAGTAATCGGTGTGACAACAGATAGATTCAAAGAATATTTGAGAGAAGTTGGATAGATGTGGCTCCGTATCGACTGCAGTGATGAGGTTATCTCCATTGTTGATTAGGATTTTAAATATTGTATTAATTGTTTTAGACAGACAACACAAGTTCTGGATCAAGGTTTCTTGATTGTTAACATTTAACAGTAAATCCACTTTTCGTAAAGCGAGAACAATGAACTTTGTGTGGTGGATTTAGATCATTTCGCTTTGTGTCTTCTGAATCTCCCATTTATGTCTGTATCTGTAGCACTCGACAACCACTTTCATTTACATGCAGTTGACAGTGAGACACACCTACTGTGTGGGAGCTGATGGTTTCCCAAACCTCGGTAGACGGGGTGTGTCGCTCAAAGTTCTATTTTTTAATTTAATTATTATTTTGCAGTTTCTTGGTCGATTTTGTAGTATGATTTGCCTTGAATATATATCCAGTATTGATTGATGAAGTCATGAACTTCGTCACTTTTCCTCCCATATACATTGACGTATAGTTATGAAAAGACTACCATTGAACTATAAACTATTTTCATTTGGAGACGACGTCGTAAACCAGTTAAATTTACACAGATCTTGAAATCAGTGTGTATCTGGAGGAAATAGAGCACAATGCACCTTAATGCATTTATTTTTCATGCTATATAAATTTAAAAAGCGAGTTAATTGTGTGAAATGTGATTTTCGTCTACTCATTTCATCTGTCCCAATGTCTTCTTTATTTTTTCTTCTATGCTGTGTAAAGACTTTAATTGTTGTACTGTCGCGATTCTTCATATAGTGTTTTGCTTGTTGCTGATTTATCCTTTACTTTTGACCTCTGCTGTGAAAAAAGCTAGTGGAAAACGGAGATGTCGAAAATCATGAATTCTGCTGCATTTTACGTAGGCAGACAGTATCTACTATAAGTGTGCTTTATTTTCTTGTGAAAAACCTATACAAATTTTAGGTTTTCTTTTCATGTGAATACATTTTTTATCTCTATTGAATTCAGTTGAGGCATATAATACCACAAGTATTCCTTTTGTAAACTGCAACTACTAAAATATTAAATATCTGTAATAACTTTTGTTGAGAATGAGTATACATAAATTAAAAGCCTTTACATTAAAGAAATAATCATTGGCTGGTTAAGCTTTCAGTTCTTGCCAACGTTAAATACTGTGTATACTTGTATCTCAGCAGTTTCATTTGTTTGTCTACCACTTCATCTGTATTTCGCTAAGTCTAACTTGATCTATGCTTTTAGTAAGCATATCACTTAAAATATTGGAACCTGGATCATATTTCATATTATGTAATTTGGTGGTGATGGAGGTTACAACTTGTGGTGTTTACTTCTTCGACATTTGGGATGCTGTAGTTTGAAATACTTCTTATCTTATTGTTTCATCATTCGTTTTCTTGAAACCGTTTCAACTCCAACCTTTGAAATAAATTGATAACGTTTTATAATACGGATTCGTTTTTAGTTGCTTTATCAAAGTTTCAACAGGTGTCAATAAAGTTAAATTGATGTTTACACTTCATTTAGGTACTCCATATAATGAACAAGCTTCATCTACCGCCACCTTTTGACGATCCAGAGCATTTTCCTGGGGATTATCTGGTCATTTCAGCGACAGACTACGCGAAAATGCAAGCAATAATAGATAACTTAAAAAACGTTCCAAGAAAAGATCACAATGACATAGATTCGAATGCAGAAGAGATGGATTTATCTAGTGGGCCAGAGTCCGAACTTGCTTCTGGTAAAATCTTTTTTCATTTTAAATATTTACAGATGATGAGATTAAAACGACTTCACAGCAACAAAATATTCCAGTCAGAAAACGTCTAAGAGTGCACAAAAAACTGTCATCTGCATCTTCTGCCCGTTATCCTGTAACTTCAAAGCGTCAAAATGTTACTGTCAGTGATTTGTTTGAAGCAACTACAGTCTCTAAGAAGTTGCATCTGCCAGAAGTTCTTAATGTTAATACCCAATCAGACCATGTTGTACCACATAGTGATGTCGAAGGTGGTTTTGGACTTATTCAGTCAGAACCTATAATAGAGGAGAAGTACTTCGTTGACGAGGTGCCTAAAGTTTCACAAGGGAATCAGGAAAACTACTTCTCTGTAGACTTCAAGTTGCGTAAAGGTAATCCAGCTTTTTTAGATTTCAAGTAAATGTATTGATCAACAACTTTTAGAATATTTACGTGACATTTAAATTTGGTCTTGGATGTTTCATCATCGAGCTCGGTGATATCTTCAGCGCTGGGTTTCGAATTTATGTCACCTATTATCGAAATTAGCTGTTTGAACACTAAGTAAATTACACCACGACTAACTCATGTAAGTAAGGAATGTAGCTGTCCAGCTTTAGTCTTTGATAGTTAGTTTTCAACCAGCGTGTTGATTTGCTAAGCTAAACTGTAGCATTTGTAGTTGTCGCTGAACATGTTGTCTAAGAGGACAATAAAGGCTTCTTAGATAAAACATCGAGCTCAGAAAACATAATAAAAGAAAGCAAATGCAGTGTAATTTCGCAACCACGTGTACTTCCTTGCACTTGGCAATGATCCACACCAATTGTGTAAAGACTGATATTACCATATAGTTATCAAACGAGTGACCCACTGGTTGAAACTCGGGTTCATGGACCTATGAGGCACTGCGTAGAACTTTCCACAGACATACATTTGTTCAAGTTACCACACTTCACCAGAGCACACAAAAAAGAAGAGAACAGAAATGACAAATAGTAAATATAGCCTTAACAGAGTGAACAATTCTTAGTATGTCAATAGGAGCCTCCAGTTACTGATTTTTAGTGCCCCAGACGTCACGTTGCAGGTAAATACAGGTTTAGCACACTATCATAGCATTTGCCTAACTATATACGGTATTTTGTTTGACTAAACAGGATTCAATTTTCGATACAAACCTTGTTTTACATATATGTAAAGGATTTATATATGACTTGTGATTTCTGTTTTGTAGATCGACTGTCTGATGATGAAGAAAGCGTAGATTTGGAAAATCGGATACCCCTCCCAGATCAGCCATTTACAAGAAGTCACGATGTGTCAACATTAATTGAAAATAGTTGTCCCAACTTAATTTCTGTACTTTCTGTTAATGAAGTTTTATCCAATTGCTTGAAGGTTGAGGATTATAAAAACTATAATGTGTTCGCTAAATATGATGCTGGAACTCCTACTTCCCGTTTATATATAAAAAATCTGTCACAAGCAGTAACAGAGACTGATTTATTCAAAATATTTGGTGTATTTTCAAATGGCCCTGTAAGTGATAATGATTGGAAACCAAGCATTTCAGTGGATTCAACTGAGTGCTTTTCAGTCAGACTTTTGACGGAGGGTCGAATGAAAGGTAACCGCGCATTCAACTTGTCCTTTGCTTTTTTTAACGCATTACATTTTTACTTGAGTTATGATATGTCATTCTTTAAGGCAGTTAGTTAAATTATTATTCGATAACTTAGGCGCTCAATTTACTCAAGAACACAAAACTAAAGTGGAGATGAACTTCATTTGACTCTTATTTAGCGGATCACGAGCTCGAACCCTGCTCTACCCATCCAGTCTACCTTGAGAATTGAGTAGTACCACACATCAAATCTTACTCGTAGCCTAATACATAAAGACAATCGGGTAACTAACCTTGTCATAAGAAATGGAAAAACATACTATACTCAAGAAAACAGTTCGTGATGTTGGATGCTTAATTAAAAGTCTTATGTGTAAGGTTTTTTTGAATGAAAGGGAAGACGATTGCATTTTGACTAAAAAAGAGTATAAACATTCATTGTTTCATCTTATTTACAAAATGTTACTCTTTTTTTCAGGTCAAGCATTTATTGGTCTTGCATGTGAATCAACCGCGAAACAAGCTTTAGAAACTACAAATGGTTACATGTTGTATGGTCGTCCTATAGTTGTTCAGTTTGCTAGAGGAGCTAAGGCGAAAGTGGATGAGAAAAGTCTAATACTAACAAACCAATAGTTTTGGTCATAAACAGAAGAAGAGATTATAAACTTTGTGTTTAGGTGTTTTGTGAATATATCATGTACAAATTGTAAATAAATTTAATATTTTTCTATTATGAAAACTGAATCTTTTATTCACTTAAACTGTTGTTATGTGGAGTAGTCCTGGTAAGTACTAATGATGACTTATAGTCACCGTTGTGAGCTAACTAGTCTTATGAAGAATAAGATCTATTCAGCATTTTCGATTTGTAGTCATTTAGCAGTTTGTTATTTAGAGATTAAGCATACGCGTTTATTATTACAATCAATGCAATCTTCAGCATGTCCAATATCATCATAATTAAGTCATGAGTTAGCACTTTGAAACAAATGAGAACACATTTTTTTCTTTACTAGTAGTCAAATACATTAGATTAGAAAATATGAAAATAAAAATGAAAAGAAGCAAAATAACATTTTGTTCGAGATATGTAAAAGGAGATTTTTTTCCGTTTACAACACATTTAAAGTTGTAAGGAATTTTTAAATATGATATGAATTTTAACTTGAAGGGATTTGTGACTGCTTAAAGAAAAGGCTTTGCACAATATTAGAGGTATTACAAAGATGTGTATCATTCTTACTGCTAGACTGTGGCTGACCTCGGACAATCCTACGATTCGCTTCAGCCAGTCTAAATAGTTCATGACTTCGTCGAACATGAGGTGGTTGAAATGAATCGGAGGCTAAACGACGTCGTCGTGATAGATTGATTACAGTTTGTCTAACAAAACTGCTAAGGCAACGCTGGCTTAATACTAAACCAGTCTGAAGTGGTCCAGCCTCAAATGTTCTACCCTGAAGGCGCATAATTCCAATTCTACACAAACCAGAACTTAAAGGATGAATATAAATTGTGACAGGACAGTCAAATTTTTGGCTGGTCACGTTCTGTATTTGCATACCAACTCCGTCCGGTCCACAGTGCATCGGTCCATCTTCCCAGCGTTCAAGCCATACAACTGCCACTCGACCTCCAGTAGGGTCAGCTCCAACCTCTCCTACACCTACGGCACCCTGATTTGTTCCACGAGTTATGTTGGCTATTGCAATAAGAAGAAAGTAAGACACAATATATTTACAGACAACAGAACATTTTGGATAGCAAAAATTAAAATATCAGTGGACGGTTATGCCACTCAAAGCCGAAGTATACTTGCTGTTGAACACTTGGTCTGATCTTCAAACAATTTCTTTAAAAACTCTGGTTTTTAAACTCAAATAGTATATCTGTCAATTCAGACCATATTTTCGTAGCTCAGCTAACATTTTAAACTGACGATAAGTCTTCTTTTGATTAAAAAAATAACTTGCGGAAAATCTCGCTACAGATAGGGAAAAACGGTTATTTTAGTCAAATGAATTTTGAGTTAGAGAGTGAGGAACCCTTGCGTTTAAATTCAAAGTAATTTAAGGTAAGGGCAGTGTTTTAGTACTCACATTGGGTCATTATTACTCAAAAGTATTCGATGTGCATTTTATATCTTCGCATTGTAGTATGATGCTTCACATCTGAATCATGTTGCATTATTTGAGATCAAGGTGGTTAAATATGCTGAATAGCTGAAGAATTTCATTTGACCTACTAGTTACATTATTAATTATACACTAACCCTAAAGCCAATAAACCAAATTATTCTAAACCGAACGTGAGATAACGATGAGAAGTTGGGGGTAATAAATGTTCGAGTTCACTCAACAGCTGTGTATTCAGTATTACTGTCACAAAAATATCCTAATACTGATTACTTAACCTTAGTGAACTGTAAGATAAGAAAGATAGGTCAGCAGATTAGGTAGGTGACTACATTTCATGTACCCTTGTAAGTATCTTCTTTAAAATGACGAACTGTTACAGCGTTAGCTTATCAATCAAACCGGCTAATATTTTGGTCTATTGTAATTAGTAGAATTTCATTTTAATTATTAGATTTCGTCAAGAAACAACATCAGTTAGAGAGATCATTCAAAACAAAGAAGCACTACATACTCGTTCTATCCTGTTTTGGGACTCTTCATCGCTGCACACCCGCGACCCCCCCCCTCCAGGAAACGAACCCGGGAATTTCAGGTTACGAGACCAAGCTCGTTGACTATTCATTGGGTGCGTGCACTGATGAGGAGTCCTAAAATGGGACGAAACTGCTATCCAGTAAGCTCCCTGCTTTCCAATGATCTCTCTAACTGATGATGGTTTGTGACGTAATCTAATAATTGGAATCAAATTAATCCGAATCCACACATATCCCATAATCATCTGTAATTCAATTGGTATACGCTTAATCAAATCTTGGCAGTTACATTTCATTGTTGAAACTTACATAGATTTTCACTAGCAGCACGAGAACGTGTAGTCTTCGATAAACGACGATATTCATTTTTCTCTTCATCTTTATAAAATTTATCTGTTGGACAGATACAGGCTAACTCAGTCATTGCATCAGCATAATAGATAATTGATTGAATGCCATCAGGACATTGGTCGAAAAGACCATTTTTCGTTTGATTTGGATGATTCGGTACAGAATATTCATTTGATGTATGATAACTAGTTTGTAGATTTCCTGTCCAACCTGGATGGTTATGGATATCTTTGAAACGACCAATACCACTCAAAAATTGGTGAAACGCTTCAGGTAATCTAAGCCAAATTTTCTGTTAAACAAATGAAAAATAAACAATATATAACAGGAATTTAAAATTTATACACTCGGGAAGAAATCTGAACCCAGTGACTCACAGATTACTGAGTTAGTTTTTTGACAAATGGTGTGGTGAGAGCTGGCTGCTGGCCAAATCAGTAGACAGTAATTTACGTCATCAATATTGGTTATGAGAAAAATAAGAACAAAGACTGACTCAACAACCAATCACAGCAGACTTTGTGTAGGCGGATACAATTTGCAGATAGATAATCTGAACTTCAAGAAACGGCCACAAAGAGATGAAAGATTAACGTTCAGCGAGAAACCACCAATCAGAAGACTGTGTTTGTCTGCTTACAATAATCTATAATAATGTACATGAAAATCTATAAATATCTGTTGATTTCCTAAGTAAACGATCTGTTGCCTGGCCCTTGTCTTCTGTCGTTAAAATGGATTAGAAAAAACCCAAATGATTTTGGGCCTTAGGGTTTTCCTTTAAATTACCTAGTACTATACGTAATCGAAGCTCACATGTGTTTCGTGGAGTTGGTTTTCCAGCTAAACACGCACGATCTTTTTATTCATAGGAATGTCAACAGACATTGTAAACTAATGTGTTCAAACTTTGGTGGTGGTCAGGCTTCCATGACCTACTACTTTACGGTGTACTTATCATAAACTGAAATAGAATCACATTTCAATGACAGTCATAACTTTAAATGGATGAATGTTTCTCATGTTTAAAGTCGTTTTGACATACGAAGAGCTTAGATTTTGGATTTACTGGAGTGTGTAGTCAACATACTAACTATTTCCCATTCCTCAACTTAATATTTTCCGAATTTCCAACAACTAGTAACAATGATTTTCTCTGCTTGGCCCTTACCTACTGTGTACACTTCAAAAGGACAGTATTCTTTTTCTGGAGAATCCAAGTTTTACACATTTTGGTAATTAATTTGAAATGCTACAGAAGTTCGCGAAAAATTTCTTTAAAGCAGGAATACTAAATAAATTTGACAGAAGTTTGAACTGATTTATTATAGCACTTTTGAGAAGACCTTTTAACCGAACAGTAAACTGTGATCAGATTTGTCATAAAAAATACATATAATGAAGCCATAAATATTGAACCTATATCGACTTTTTTATGGATGCTTACCTAGTAGAAAGAACACATATTGACTCTTCTTAGACTGAACTGTTAAGTTGATGGAAGACAGCTGTTTGTCTGTTACACGATGTGCAGAATTAGATCAAACATATGCCTACTAATTAGTGTAGTTGTAGCTTGTTAGTCTAGCAGGTCTATTACATAACAACTTCGGAATTTACTGCACATACTGAAGTTTGCACAACTAGCTAATACTAACAGCTTTCTTCTTGTATTAGATGTAGCTTATTACTTAGTGAGTCAGTGACACAGCGGTAGAATGCTCGCCAACCACGCATGTGGTTAGGGGTTCAATCCCCGGCCGGTGCACTCCTTTACCTCACTGAGACAGTAATAAGACCGGTAGAGAGGGAAGGTTGGGTGTGAGGCTAGCAAACCCATCCCGTAAAAATAAATACCACTGCTACCGAAACTTCGAAGCTCTAGCTTGAAACCCTATGTTCCACTGGGAACGTAAAGGAATAAAATAAAATGAAAAAAATATTATTTAGTGCAAAGTTATACTAGTGGTTTTAATGACTGACTACCCCAGCAACGACATCTACAACAGTTAGTAGATATCCCTATTAGTGTTTGCATCGCAATCTAAGTGATGTCATCTCGTAAAATTATCAAGTAGAATAATTAATCAAGTGTCACTATTATGAATCGAAAGTGTGTCACTGGTGGTAACTTGCATATGCGTTTAATTAATTTACATTTTTATTAAGTCTAAAAACAGTTTTAAAGTATGCTACTGCTGTTATAGATTACCAAATGAACTGATTTTTTCAATTAAAGTCTTTGTTTAAGAATTGGAAACATTTATTTTCTGGTACGAATTTAAAATAGGCAATTGGTTGCGCAACCAAACCATCCAGCTCAGAGAACACAACCACACCAAAATCATCCACCTGAGCTACAAATCTTCTCTATTATATCTAGATTTGAACTTCGCAGATAATTTATGTCTAATATCACACAAACTCGAAGATCTACAAACAATAACCAATAAGTTGGCAAGAGAATACAGAAATTCAAATGTACATAGAGAAAACACAGGTGATGAAGATACTTAACCAGCAACAACAAGCACCAATCACTTTCAACGGAATAAATTTGAAAGACGTCACTTCTTTCACTTATCTAGGCAGCATCGTTTCAACTATGGGCGGCACGAATGAAGATGTCAAAGCTAGGACTAGGATCAAGAAGGGCACCATTAAACTTCATCGCTCTGCAATCAGCATACAGAACAAGATTTCGATTCTCAATGCTAACGTATAGTTAGTTCATCTATATTGTCCAAGCATTTCCAACAGGCTTCAGACGCCTATCAACAGCTGCCTTGGCTCCATAATGAAGATCAGACGGCCGACCAGAAAGGATTAGCAACAAGGAACTCCGGAGACAAAGTAACCAAGATCCTATCGCCCAGCAAATGTGCCGAAGGAAATGAAGATGGGGTTAGACACACCGAGAAGACCGTTGAATGACAACACACTCCAAGCCCTAGAGTACAACCCGAATGGTGGACGAGTTCAGTATCCAAGAGTGACATAAGGGAGGTCGTATGTGGAGGGAATGAAAGCTTATGGGCAATCGCAGAGCCAGCTAGATAAGACTGTAGAGAACAGAATGAAATGGCAATGTGCTCCTGAAGTCCAATGTCCCAGTAGGAACTCAAGGGAATAATAATAACTTTAAAGATTATTTTTAACCATTTCCTATATAGGCAGTATTTGACATTATGCTGTTTAGTCTTTGGTACTAATAACCGTTTGTCGGTGGACAGACAGGAAATGGGTCAGATATTAATTTTCAAGATATTAATGCTTCACATTGAAGTCGGCTCTGAAGAGTTTGCCTAAAAGAACAATCAGAGTTTCATATTTAAACCATCCAGCTTAAAGAACACAATCACACCAAAACATTAATCTGAGCTATAAATCTTCTCCATTATTTCATACACAGATTCTTGAAGTCCATCAACAGGAATTGTCAAATCTACGTTTCGTACGTCCATGTACAGAATCGCATCCAAAGTTCGTTAGGAAAATCCTATACATGTATGTTAATAGGTCTTCACCTTAATGAAGGCATATTTTGATTTAACTGTGTTCTCTGAGCTGGTTGATTTAGTTGCGGAGCTTTCGTTGTCCTTCTAGATAACATCTTCAGTGCAAGTTTCAGTATGAAATGGACTTGGTTGAATTCTTCTGGCAACTATTGTCGTGATTGGTTGTTAATTAACGTATCTATTGATCACTTTTATTGGTTGAACTTTTTTGTCATGTGATTTGTTTTTTTATTAGTTGGTAAATTTTAGTCTATAGTAATGTGCTTGTTAATCGCTGATATTCATCTGAGTACTAGGCTTCTAGAAATTCCTTGGCATTTTCGGTGTTTCCTCTATTTAAGAATTCTACATTATCCCAATGAAATTCGTGTCCGTAGTTATCTATATGCATCAATATGAAAGAATACATATCTGCCTTTTCACAGAAGGCATATTTGTATGTGGAAATAAAAAAACAAAACAAAGTGACTTACCATATTTCCAAGAATATCTTCAATTTTCGACTGACCAGCAGCAACATAAAATACCAATAGAGTATCACCTGTTCTTGTAGGCATATGATCTAAATTATTTAATATATCTGAAAAATCTGTATTTTCCACATCGAATGGAAATAAAGGTAGTAATTCATCTTCAGTATTATTTGTTGGCGATGTAGGCGAGAAACCAGTCATAATACGATTATTTACTAAAGATGGACTACGACGATTCAGTTGACCAGAACGTTCACCTAATTGATTATCACGTTTCAATTCGTTACGTGACCATAAAGATTGAGGCATTTGATAAGGACCAATTGATAAATAACCCAAATGTGTTAGTAATAAACGTATAGAATGAAAATTAACCACTTGACTGCATAGAACAGAGATAAAACAAAAAAAAATGTACTTGGCAAATCCGATACTAAAAATATGATTAACATAAAAAGTTAATTAACAGTCTACTACTAACAGTTATCAAATAAGCTCAAAAAACATGGATAAATGTTATTTTAGATGAAGAAAAAAAAATACACATTAAGAAGTAAGACAAAAACATACAACTTGGCGAAGGAATGATTGCATAAGTGAGTACATTTTAGGACGTGGTAAATCATTCCTGCATCTATAAACCTCTAAAGATGTAATTAATTACCTGCAATGCAACTACGTGCATATATACATACACGTAATAATGTAACATGAAGACTAAGGGTGATACCCTTCCAGATTTCAGTGGAACATGTTAAACTAAAAGCTACAAATGACAAAAGTAATAAGAGAAACAGTCGTCTAATTTGTACTTCAAAGATACCTTTAATCATGTGTCACGTGAAGTGGTAAAACATTTCAGAAGCTTCAGTAAACTGTATATCTGAAAGCAAATCCATGATGTGAATGAATTTAGATGCTACTGTAAGGAAGAAAACACCAATAAGGCTCGAAGGCCATGTTTATTAGGACAAACGCATTGTAGGTACATAAATTTGGTATACCTTATCATTAAGTCTTTATTTGCATATCATTTGCAAATTGGTCGAATATCGCCATATTCGATAGCTTGTTGGATTCTGCACAGTAATATAACGTTTCTCTCACAGTTCTCTTCTTCGACTGCTTTTTCAGTGCCCCAAAATATATTGTTACTTTTCTGAACCCGTTTACTGATATACTACTTATATCTGATTATAAGTAGCACTCACCACACTACTACAAGTGTTATTTTTTAAAAAGCAAACTTAGTACAACATGAGTACCAGCAGATGTGCCACACAAAAATAATAAAACAACAATATAAGGACAATAAAAATAGGATAAATGATGGATAGCATGAAGAAAACAAGCATACTTAACGAGAGCATTCAAGGCATGATTTATGTTGCTTTCAAAAAGAGTGGAAATTGCAACATATTCACCACTGACTGCAATTTTCAACCATATCGGATCACACTCAGGTAGTCGTCATGCGCCAGCAGATGCTAACCAAACACAACTATCTTTCGTCCCACGTCATGGGTTGACCATCTATATACTTTTCTCACCCTGACATAGGGCTAGTCAACAGTGAACAGTATGGGCGACACCTCGATGACATTCGTAGTATATGTCTAAACCACTGAAGTCGGTATCCAAAGATGATGACACCTACTGGAAGGTAGTCTCTAACGTGTCCAAACACGCGCCGCCGGACCTCAGAATTACTTACATGATGATGTAAACTATAGCTCTGCAGAAAAAGTGGTGGTCGAACACAACGTATATCTTCAGCTCAGGCAGACCAGGTTTCACAGGCGTAGAAAAAGACTGCGTGCACCGAAACATTGTGAACTCGACTTCTGACAGCCAGGCAGCAGAGGTGGCCAAAAATGGCACACGCCACCCTAGCTTTCACTATACAGTTAGAGATTCTGTCCATCACACTGTCAGCACTAACATAACTACCCAAATACTACACATGATCTTAGCTCAGAGAGTATATATATATATATATATAGTTGAGAATTGAAACGCTTCTTATTTGCTACGGTCATCCGCTGGTTATATGTTTTCATTAAATTGTTGGATTTTCTAAAACTTCATTCACTAATTGTTCGAATGAATTACTATCCACTGATTGCCAGTTACTTAAACTATTCCGTAGTTTCTGTGCTTTTCTGTCATAAATGACTTCGTCCACAGAGACAATTCACTTCGTCTTGTCAGACAGCAGCATTAAAATGGACTTATTTGACTTTAATAAAGTCAGGGATGTTCACTTATTTTCATAAGTATTTGGCTGAGTTCCTTCAAGGTGTCGAATACATGTTGGCGTCAAAAAACACGAAATATAAACGAATAGTGCCATATGCTGAGTAGTTTTGAGATAAAGTGAACTACAGTGTATCAAAACTACAAAACCAGATAAAGTATTTTGGGTATATCACAGTTTCACTCTCATCCTTATGCAGTGAAATTGTGTGAACCAATTTAGTTCTAATCTTGAATTCAATATATTTGACTAGATATACAACGGCAGAACAAAAGAGCATATAGCAGCGGAATTATTTTTATTGGCACCTCGATGTACAGATATAGGCAAAATACGTCAATCATATATTAGAATCACAATCTGCACATATTTTCGGTTTGTGCTAACTTTTGTCTCCCTTTCATGTTTTCCAATTCGTTTCACAAGCATCATTCATTTCTTCTTTTTGCCATTATATCCATCTCTTTGTTATTCGATATACATATTTATATCTGTATCTATATGCTACTTATAAATCTTGTCAGTAGCACACGCCATGTATGTGCTGAAGATATTAATTAACATGGTATTAAAATAGATTATCGCTAAATATTTCAGCTTTGAGTACTTATATGTTATCACATCTCTGAACTTAAAAAACCACCTAATAAGTTTTATAACTAAAAGATACTACTGCTACAGTCATCTATAGTGATAATAATTACAATTAACAAACTTACATTGGCGCTTTAGCTTCTGTAATTGGATCAGGGTATGGAGTTTTTAGTTTCTCTTGCACAACACGTTGTCCAGTTTCTTTATCTAGTGAAGCATGTGCAGCTATTAACATTTTGAATGTATTAATTTCCTGTCTAACATTATTTCCAGTATCGCAGCCAACTTTATCTAATGAAGGAATTGTACGATCGCTATATTCAATTGAAAAACAAATAAACAAAATAAATCCGCATTAGTGACTATCAACTATTGGTTTCAGAATAGACAGCGAGACGTTTGGATATGTGGACTAATTTACTTACTCAGAAAGTTGCATCAACTATAATCGACAGGTCGCAGACAAAATCTTACCACCGATACCAAAGGGTGGCTTGGCACTTACCTAGTGTAGGCGTGATATCCGGTTATCGATCAAAGGACACATGTAACATGCAACAATGCTCTCTGTCTTATTTTATGGATATGAAAACAGCCACTGAAGACAAAGCATAGAGGTTTTGGGAGATAGCTACACTACTGGAGTCATATGGAGCAAAGTAGTAATAACAACCTTAGGCGTAGTGTAATTTATAAAGTCAAATCCACCGGTGAGGCTGTCTGACGGACTGGTTTCAACGTAGAACTTTGCACAGATGTGCAGCAGTTCGGGTCGTCACACTCCCTCCATGTAGCACACAAAACAAGAGAACAGAGTAAAGACATTCAAAACAGAGAGAGATAATAAACAGCCGGATATCACGTGTACGCCAGAGATGCTGTAAGTCGGCATATGTCAAACGAGCCTTCTGTATCCGTGCAGAGATTTCGTCAACCCATTGACCTTGGCTGATGCAACTCCCCGAATAAGTGAAGTGGCCAACACGCTTTGCCACTCCACTACCTCCCTATTTCTAAGCTAGGAGTTAATGTAGTCCAGTCCTGTAGCATCATCTTTCATTTAACAGCAGGAGCGAATCACATGCCAAACACTCGGAGATTGCTGCTCAAGGTGTTCAGAAGACTCTGCATTTTGTCAGCGTCATCACCTAGAAGGACTATATCACCTGTAATAATTCACCGAGTGAGATGGTCTAGATACTGCCTTCTGTAACCAGCAATTCTAACTGAAGGAGTAGACAGACCAAAAAAGATGACAACAGTCCTTAAAGTAACGGAGTGTCTGTTCGTGCCGAGCAGGAATTTATAGTCCATCTGGTTCGGATCCTCGAGATATTAACAACGGATGATTAGAGATTCCTTATCATACGGTTCAAAATCATTTACAATGGCGTAAATGTGTCCACCTCTTTGAAATTCTAAAAATTATCACTCAATCATTCTCTTTCGGGTATATCTTTGTCCATTATGGTTTCACCAAATTTCTTCGCTCTCTATTTATATATAGTTTGGCAACTTGAAGTAGTACACTTCTGTGCAAAGTTCTACGGTGATTAGTCAACCATATATTAATGAAAGTCTTTTAACATATGAAAATTCTTTAATAAAATGTTGGAAAAAGTAGAGAAGAGTGATCAGATTGAGATAGGATATCAATACTTGAAGTCATCAACTGTAAGTTTGCATCGTTTATATATGGCTAGGCATTTATGTTACAACCAGAAATTATCGTTAGAGACAATATATGTCAGAATCCGTCTTAGTGGGGACAATACTTTCATACATTATATTCGTCTTAATTATGATTATAAGTTTTTTAAAACAGGAAACCTTTGATTGCACAACTTTTACGTTTAATTTTATGTGCAGAAATACAGTGTGGTAACCTGGACTACTACTGAGAGGTCTCATACAGATACTTTTTGTCTGTATAATGAACAAACTCACAATTATTTTTGCCTCATTTTTCCTTCTTTATTAGGATATGATGTTTTCCCAAAGCTGCTGTGCCGTCAGGGTAAGAAAGCTTTGCAATCAACATTTTATGATAGCAGTGAACCCATAGAACACTAGAAAAATAAACTACGCCATAGAATGGGAATAATTAATGACGACTTGAATTCTGTGAGATGTTTCACCAACCAGTTTGTTATTTAACTGTTTATAGTAAATGAAAGAAATTTGAGCTATGTAAGTAAGTTATTTGTTAAATCCTTTATCAAACTATTCTTAAAAGTGATACAACAAAACAGGATTGGTGATCTGCTGAATACATCCGTCCTGTTACATAGTGCTAGATTCACATTTCGTATGTATTTAGATTAAGTAAGTTTATAAAATTACCACAAACTACGGATACTTACGCTTCGACAAGTGGGATATCTGATATCGTTGAAGGAAAATTCAAGGGACAAATATTTTCATTATTTGTTACAGTAGTTATAAGTCTTTCAAGAAAGCAACCCCATGGTTTAGGTCGGTTAACTGCTTCTTGTTGTTGAGATGTATCGCCTAACCGTGAGGTTGCATCACTGCCAGTCAATGGAGATTGACGCATATGCATAATCCAAACGTGACGTCCAAAAGGTCCTCGAACTATTAATATGGCTGCTGGAGCTTGTGATTGACAATATTCTTTTGGTTTTATAATTGTTTCAAGTGAATTTGCAGGCAATTCACATAATCCAAGAATTAAACCTGGCTCAGACCAGAAGTAACGAAATTCTAACCGATGTTTCGATGAATTTGACTCTTGGTCTGCCACCAACTTGGAGATATTATCTTCTGCTAGTTGAGAACATATTGTAGATGTCCCACAAGGTCCTGGAAATGACCCAGCCACTGACATTAATGAAGACAGGCATGCTTCAGCTGCATCACAGACACGTTTGGAAGAAGGGATGAGAGGCTTTTGACCTTTAAGAATAGTAGTTGGTGCCTCAGATTTTGTTTGTTTGCTCTAATTTGTGTAAAAGAATAACAGAATATGAGAAACAAATAAAATATCACTTAAAGAGATTAAGTGAGATTTCAAATATGTGGATATAAAACTGAAGTTTCTCTGAGGAATATTTTAAGAGGAACCATGGATACTTCTCATAAAGACGGGTTATTTACTATTGATGCCCGACAATGCCTGATCGACGGATCTCCACTGAGAATATCTCAAAATTCCGTAGCTTTCTTTCGTTATATTTCAAGTTGGTAACTGGGTACACTTAATTATACTTTTATATTCTAGGTGACAATAAAAATTGAACTTTTGGTTTTTTAGAAGCTAGAATATAGTTGTCAAAACCAATGAATTCTAATAAGTAATGTGTCACAAGGCAGTGTAGCTTTCAATAGAGGTATTTGTTTTTCTTCTGTAGTTTACAAATATGAGTGAAGGCACCAACGCCACTATGTGGACGTTTTTGTTTGTAGGCAATAAGATTACCTGGTGACTACTTCTCATCAGAACAAAGATGAAATCCTAAATATCACCGAAATACCTGTAATACTTAATCAATATTGTGAATGATCTTTAGGGATATTAGTGGTTGGGTTATCATTAGATAAGTAGCGAATAACTTCATCGAGGGAAATGAGTGAAAGTAGTTTATGCTTAGTTAGCTTATGAAAAGTAAAGGTATTCACTGTTTGATCCTATTCAAGTATAAATGAAACTAACTTCTTTTGTTTAATATTACTTAATTACCATACAAAGAAAACAGACAACCTTTGTAATAAAATGCAATACAATACAATGTAGCTTTGTTTGTGTCTCTTAAATTGTTATGACCGGAACTACGACCTAGTAGACTGTGAGCGAATAATAACTTAAGGCGCTGGCTAATCTGTCCCAATCGCACGACGACGACAACAACAATAACACCACCGGCACGCAAAAGATTGGACGTTGGCAAGACAGCTTTTACTGTCTCAAAGCAAGAGCCAGAAAAGGTTGACAGCACTTGTATACATACATATACATATGTTTAAAATGACCTTGAGAAGCACCAATGTCATTGATAAATAAAGACGGGGAACAACCAATAGGATTTTAAAGGTCATAAGTAGGATGAGAGAAAATCAGGTCATAAATCAATAAGTGGGGTGAGAGTAATACAAACAGACATGTAGAAAATTAGGTGTATATATCATAAATAAAAAGATAATTTGAAATCCTGACTAGGAATACCGTTCGAAAATGGAATTTATCATGAAGAAGTATATCGAGAAATTTTGATGATATTCAAGTAGACATAATCATTCAGCAGAGTAAGTAAGGTCATAACTAACTTTCAAGATGTAACTGATTTTAGGAAATAATCATTGTCTATAATAGTTAAGACGCATAAAAACACTAGGAATTTACTTAAAGTATTCGCAATTACCCGCCCAACTTTTCAGGAGACCGACCGCTTAACTGCACAAGCGAATATCATTCGGATCGACAGAGTTTTCAAAATTGATAAAAGAAGACCTTTGGAATATTAAAATGCTATGAAATCACTTGTAAACCTATAAATTGAGCAGTGTTCACACATATGTTAAACTTTTTTTCTTTTCCCATTCAACAACTAGTGATGCAGAGTTGACAAGTATAAATACATTAGAGTAAAGATATATATATATATATATATCAGATACCAGTAGTATAAAAAGTAATAGTGGTAATTTTAATTAATTCAAAAGCCGCAATAAATTTAAAATTATTACTTCGAACACGTACATTTAGAATTATTTAAATAAATAATAATAGTAGACGAAAATAATCAGAGATTTGGAGAGGATGTTGATTGACAAACAACTTAAATATAAGTGGTGCGAATATTAAACCTTTTGCATTACTGAGTACTGCTATTGCTGTATGGGTAATAACACGATATGATCAATTGAGATGCATAAATCAATCAATCTTCAATAATAATAATAATAATAATAATAAAGCTTTATTTCAGACAGTATGTGAACATATGGTACAAAAATTTTCAGCTTATTTAGTTTCAAAATACATTTTTCTACATACAGGATTTACATACAAAGTAATAATCTAAAGTATATCTTCATTTCGTTGAAGAATTGCACAGCGTTTACCTGGAAGCAAGTTAAATCAGCGCGCAAGTTCATGTATAGGTCATTTGATATAACTGGACGATTAAAACAATGATAAATCCTGCATTTTGGTGGAAAGCAATTTTGGTAGCCCAGTGACTTAACCAGGTCGCCTTGAGGATATTTCTCTCATTGGTACAGAGTGAAGTGAATTGGTTTGACTTATTTCGTGTAAGTCAAGATGACAATTATTGACTTGAATAATATTAACATTTTTTGATGAGATAGGCGAACTGTAATATAACAAGGTTCCAACTTGTTTCAAGTGACTGAGAAACCGAATGTTACTCTGTCGAAGCATTCCTATACCCGACCGGGTACGGACGAAGGTGGGTAGACTTAGGTTTTTCTCCCCTAAATGCTCTCATGTGACCACGCGTTCATAGCCTCTGCCACTTAGGTCCCATCCACTGCCTTCATGCGGCGAGAGTGTTCTTCACAAAAGCCGAAGAGCGAATATGAACGTCTGGTGCTTGTAACCGAAGTGATGGAGAAACAGGTCTCACCTGTGGTGTACACGGGCTCCAGAATCCGAAAGGATCGAATGACGTATGAGCGTGGTTTAGTCACCGGCAACCATGGGAAAGTAGCTCCTGATGTCGCTCCACTGACTTGTGGATCAGATTTAAAGTCAAAGTCTCGTAAGGGGGCATTAAGATGGCCCCCTGCTCCAGTCTGAACGTCCAGGCAGTATCTCAGCCCTCGCACATAATATGAGATTTTGTGTGGCGCATCTCTCCTGGTGCCCATGATGTACCAAGTTTATGTTTTAATGATAACAATAATAATACTCAGTTCCAGCAAAGATACTCGCAAATTCTGTACCAATTCATATTATGACATCAAGTAAGACAAAAGACAGAAGGCATGAGAGAGGATGAAATAGTTTACCTTACCTTAGATCTAGCACCACAAATGCCTAATTCAATTGTTTCTAAAATTGTCCATACACATTCACGATCGGATAACAATAAGTTCACATGTTGTACAATCCAAGATGATAAACAATAATAAGCGGCAACAATAATACTATGCAGTTGTCTTTTATGATCTTTACGTTCTCGATTGCATTGATTTGTGATAAATTCACATATCGATCGGACAGTGTGTCTATCTTGAAATCATAAGAACAAATTAGGCACAAAAAATGAAAAAGTAAATAAACACCAAGCATGAAGTGAATATACAAATTTCTGTGATGAATAACACAAGAAAACGTACAGTTCTATGCAATAATAAAACCATAATCAAATATTGGAAAACTCTATCTCATGATAAAGACTTTAAGGTCAGATGATTCGAAAAATGTAGATCTGTCGCTTAGACAGATATGAATAATACACCTTACTTAATTGATAAACACACAAGTTGAACAGATCTAACTCAGTTAATATATTATGTTGAATATGCTAAGCAAAAGTGTGAAACCTCAAGAAGATTGGTAGATCTTTGTTATATACACGTGCTATTGGTTGGATGTTATCAGAACTAACGAGAGAGCTTTTCGTTACACAGGAAAATCAAAAAGAGCATTGATTTCAGTTCCCCATGGATATTGACAAATTTCTAGACTTAGGTTTCGTATTAGCTGGCACTCGTCATTAAGGCGTGTCTGAGACCTTTACACATCAATTCCAAAGGCACTATAACAGGAAATTCCCTCAGCTTAGAGACTACACTGAAAACTTGGCTAATAGGGATCGGTCAGTGATAAGGACCAAATGAGTACCCTATCTTAAAGTTCTTCCATAGAGTCTTGAAAAATATTTTTTCTATTGGGGATCTCTTCAGCCTAAGGACATTAAAGCGGAACGAATGAGATATCTATTTCAAGACATTGATACGTACGCCTTTGTAAGAATACATAGTTTTCTTTTGAGTTCATGCCTAAAATCACCTTTGGCTCAATTTGGGAAATTCGAGCGGTAAGAGTGATTCTCACATCTAGATGTGATCTCGTCTATCCCATCGTATCCTTATATCAGTGAAAAATTAACATTATTACGCTTGAAAAACATCGTATTATTTTTACTAATGTTCAACCTGATATCACAAAATAGACTAATATATGAATAATAAAGGTGTTTGCAGTTAATGCTTTTTTTAATCAAAGTCTTGCTAATGGTTTATTTGCAAAAACAAATTAGGTGGAATCAATACAATTTAAAATTAATTAAGAAGGCTTACAAGTTGATGGATCAGCCGGTGTAACACGTACATTAGACAGACCAGAAATAGTTTCCAACAGATAAAGCATAACTGATGGATCATTCTTCCATTTATAGACAAGATTACCAGAAAGAAGTGGCACTAGAATATTGAAGAAACTTGATGTTGTGTCTAAAATAGAAGTCAAAATATGTTTGTAATTCTATAAAATCGAAATAATTAATTAATATTAAACTTGTGGTTACAATTATTAAAAAAAATCGTCAATCATGTTAATGTGTAAGGAATGAAGTGCTGTTTTTTTTTCCATGTATGATTTATCTTCTGCAGAAGTGATTGCAATAGGATTGCAAAACCTTAGAAATCAACACTTTTGTTTGACTTCATTGGAATTTTAGAAATCGGCTACTACTTATTACTTACTAACCATCTAAGCAATGTTCAGCATATTTATTCCTATCGGAACAAATCTTATTGAGTCATAAGAAAAAGACGTAAACAGCGAAGAAAATTTTCTTTCCGAATATTCATTTTCATAAGCTGTACAATCGTAATTATATTTAACAAAGAAATCATTAGACCAATCAGATACTGGTAAACTTTGTCCTCGAAAAATGCATTACGTAATGTAAGGTGCAACCTAGAAGGGATGACTAATTGGAAGTTAGAAAAGAGGCAGAAGTTGGCATGACGTAATAAGTGTGAGAAGATGACCACTCAGTAGAATGGATTGGAACTAGTGGAAAGACGATAAAGTGTTTTTATACAAAATCTGTATAAAAACGCAATGTTATTAATAAACAGTAATAGAGTGATAATAAAATATGCATGATGGGAATAATAAGGATAATAAAATAATAATAACCATGATGAGTGAATGGTCTAACTTGCCTTGTAACCAGAAGGTCCTGGGTTCGAATCCCGGGGCGCGTACTGCTGAAGAGTCCCGAACTAGGACGAAACAGCTGTCCAGTACTCCCAGGTTTTCCAGTGGTTCTCTAACTGATGTCAGCTCATGATGAAATCCTCCATACTATTATTACTGTTATTATTATTTTATTATCATTATTATTCCCATCATGCATATTTTATTATCACTCTATTACTGTTTATTAATAACATTGCGTTTTCATACAGATTTTATATAAAAACACCTTATCTTCTTTCCACTAGTTGCTCTTTGTATACAAATAATTCGGTCAATATGATACTATGAAAAGGAGCAGTAAACAAAAGGAGTTAGGTAAAGAATTACAAATGCGGTAGCTGGCTTTTTGTAGCCATGACAACAGGTCATATTATATTATTATACATTCAATCAATAAAGAAACAAGTGACGGTAAAATAACTTCCAATAAAATAATTAGATAAAAAGTAGGATTTTATAGAAAAAGCCTTAACATTCTTTAGGGATTGTATTTGTGAGTACCACACACACACACACACACACACACCATATCGATATTTGTCAAGTTTAGGCAGTTTTATATCGTTATTCCATTATAAAAACCTGTGTTAAAATGTCAAGCATTAAGAGTACAGTGTTCGGCTCTGAATATCGTTTAGAAAGATATAAAAAATATCGAGAATTCAAACGACTATATCAAACTACAATTCAAATTAAGAAGGAATTAAAGCTAACAACTGTCAAATCTAAAACAGTTAGCCCCATTAAAATAAATCTGAATGGAGTTATTAAAATTCGATGTTTATTTGAAAAATGTGATGTATTGGTGAAACATACATTTCGAACAGTTTGATCATGAATCTACTGACTGATGTATATATGTCATACGTAAAAAATCTGACTTTTGTGACTGTTCAAGGAATCGTAAGACCAGTGTCAAAACAGATTTCTATCTCTTGTGGTGAGTAATATTGAAGTTAGACACAGAGTGTTATGTAAGTATAGAAAGTCAATTGACAAGATTGCGTCGGTTGAGATGACTAAGACACGTGCTGTGGATGCTAAACCATCGCAGTCAACACCGAGCAGTATTAGCTGATACAGGATTGGTTTGGGAAACAACTGAGGTAGTCAAATCGAGAGACGGCATTAATCCATGGTTTGAGTCAGGTAGGGGGGGAGTACAGAATGCCTGTTTGGGATACTACAGACACCAGAAACCAATGGCTGGAGATTGTTAGTGACATCACTCAAAATCGTTATAAATGGAGCAGATACATCCACTCTTCGTAACCTCTTAGATCCGTCAAATTTCGATTATTTCTATGTAATTATTCTCTCTTGTATACGTTTCAGTTTATTATAGTTTCCCTGCACCTTTCTCCATCGCTTTATGAACTGTGCTAAACTTGAACTGCACACACTTTCGTGCAAAGTTCCACGTCCAGCATACTAAACATATGCCAAAGCGACGACCATGTGTGTAAAATTAATCTCCCGTTGGATTTATAAAAACTAATTTGTTGTTACAATCAATCCACGTTGATGGTAATTGATTCTTACCTGATCATACTACCAAGAGAAGTGTCAACCAGTATGCTTCTTACCCTTTAGTCTTCTAATTCTTTTATTTTACCTTCTATTTTTATAATTTTTATATTACATTGAATTGACAGGTAGATGTATGATCTGATTGTTTTAAATGTACTGCACAGATGTATCACATTTTTCAAATAAACACTTCAGCTATCATAGTAACAACACTATCCTTCTTGTCAAATTCTAAATTATTACTGACTAATTTAAATGAGATATCGCTTTAAACTGAAATCATCATATTCTCAAGTATCGCTTTAACAAATGATCAAATTCAGTAGAATGTTTAATTTTTCACACAAAAATACTGAAAACAATTTCATTGACACGTAAATGTCCTCCTTACAAGAAAACCAAATGGGGTAGTATAAAGAGAAATTTGCATAGGAAAAGCACATGAACAGGACAATATACATATTTTCATAGCTTCGTTCCTCTCCAGCACAAAAGAAATTTAGTACGGATCCTCAGACACAGGGTTAGTTAGAGGTATATGCTCAGAAGAGGTAATTGAAGATGAACTAAGTATTGTATACGATACCTTGATTGAAAATAACTATCCCGACAAATTTATCAAGAAACACATGACAAAGAAAGCGGAAACGGACTACTCACTATCCGTAAACAAGAAGCCTTTATACATACGACTGCAATTCAAGGTCGATATACCTAGCGAAATAATTGTGGAGAAGTTAAGAAAATCAGTTCAAAGAACTTTTAATGCTGGCAAACTACAAGTCATGTTTACTACACGACTGATGGTGATTCCTCGATTGAAAGATGAAGTACCTAGACTAGCTACTTCCAATTGTATCTACCAATTCAACTGCGCTTGTGGAGCGAGTTATATTGGAACTTGATTTTTCGTGCTCGAGAACATCTCGCAGTATGGCTAAGTAGAGGTGTAGTAAAAAACGTCAACAGTTCGATATTAGACCATCTGGTCCAAATCGGCCACAAAGCCAGCATTGAAGAATCCTTCTCTATCATCTACCAGGTACCAAATAAATTGCCAAAAACGTCGAGGTGCCGCATACTCCAAACAGCAGAGGATATTGCGATTCGCCTTAAACAACCGGTGCTCTGTGTGCAGAAGAAGCAAGTCCAGTCACTACTACTGCCTTGGCTTTCCTTCAGTGGAGACTATAAATTCATGAATTTGTATTATTATTTTTCCTAACTTTTCTGATCATTCAGTGTATCGTTATGTTGATGCTATTGAACTGTAATCCATTGATATTGTTATTGATTCGATGTTATTCAAACATTAATGTTGTTAATAACACTAATTCATTCACTATTATGTATATATAACTGTAGAATCTGATGAAGAAGAGGTTATCGAAAAGAATAATCTTTGTTCAGTAACCAGTCTGTCATTATTATCAGTAAAGTGGACTACACACTGATGATGTTTTAATTTCTATCATGATGAGCAACGAATGAAAACCTGAAAGATACCCGTGGAATCACTCTTTATCTATAGGCAAAGAAAGAATATACACCACCGGAGTGAATTCATCATAACTAAATACATGAATTATATGTAAAAGAAAATAAGATGGAGACATAACGGACACATGATCAACAATAGATGAAAAGAAGTTAGCGACACAAGAAAAATCAATGAAAAAAAAACAACTTTACTCCATTGTGACGTTGTGCGTCGGTGGCATAGCGGTTAGGACGCTCGCCGACCATGCACATGGTCCGGGGTTCGATCCCCGGCCGACGCACTCCTTTACCTCGTTAAGCCAGAAATAATGCTGGTGAAGAGGAAAGGTTGGGCATGAGGCTAGCAACCTCATCCTGTAAAATGAACACTGCTACAGAAACTTCAAGCCAATAGCTTGAAGCCCTATGTTCCACCGGGGAACGTGAAGGAAAAAGAAGACTCCATTGTGATAGTTAAGGATAGCGGCTATGAATGAAGGTAAATAATAAAATGTGTGTAAAATGCACGGTTAAATAAGCACACAAAACCCTAAAACAAAAAGAGCAGAAACTTACGAAATCTCCCAGACTCGTTACGATCATTTGTCGATTGCATCTCGTCAACTGACATATCTTCAATTAAAGCTAAGGCTACACCTGATTAAATTACAAAAAAGAAAAACACAAGAAGTGGTACAGTATTAGTTAGACTATTTACCTATCCAAACAAAAAAGTCAAATCGACTAGGTGAAACACAACCAAGTAAATTACGTCTCTATTAACAGAAATGCTATTTAAAAAAAGCGGTTTACATTTATTTCAACGTTATTTCAATCACATACTGACACATCAGGAAGAAGACGAAATAGCACCAGTTTTATTCTAGTTGCGAAGTTTTCTGGAATGTGTGCACACACGACATATTGGAGGATCACGTTTAGCATAGTTAGGCTGTAAGAATGAGCACGTTAATCATTCAATCAGTGGGTTAGAACTCTGAATGAATTGGCAAATTCGAGCGAGTTCACACAAAGAGGCTTGAATTGAATTATTTTATATAGTATTACTAATATATTCAGGCTAGTAGATAACAGCTTAGGAAATTGAGAGTAGTAATCATAAAGGTTATGTGTATCCTGAATATTTCTGAAACGTTTTCTTTTTATTATATCATTAATCTATATCGTTTGCTTGTTGCAGGTGACATTAAGATTCGATGTAGACAAGCACTTTCACTATGTTAACTGATAGTTATTTTTCAAATTAGATGGTAGTGTACTGTAGAGTAATGCGTACCGAAAAAAATATATTCAAGAATGAAGAGGATTAATATATTCTCTTTAATTAACTACTTTATAAATACCACCAATAAAGTATGAGAAAGCCTATCCAAACAGTGAATCTACTGAGAAGCAGTTTAGATCACGAAAAACGAAGTTTATTCGACAGATTATCGATAACAATTATGTGTGAATTACATATTCATACTATTTGTTTTTACAGTAATTAGGATGTATATATATCTTATCACATGTACATAAAGATAGAAAAGAAGGAAGACACTTACTTAGTAATAACTGGAAATTCAAGGGATCGTCTACAGTACTCAGTGTATCACAGATAACACTAATCATTGTACTTCTCATATCATTTAACGACCAAGGATCTTTAACACTCGGTACAATAGGAATTAAGGCTAACAATGGAAAATTGAAAAGGAAATACATGAGAAACATTTTAATAATTATATATATATATATGCTTAGGAAAATCATAATTATGAAATTTGTTGTGATAAATTTCAGTATAGTTGTTGTCACCAAACAACATCAGTTAGAGATCATCGAAGACAAGGAAGTAGTAGTTTCATTCTAGTCTGGGACTCTTCAAAGGTGCACACCTACGACCACCCACACCAGGGATCGAACCCTGGACCTTCAGGTTACAAGGCTATGCTGGTTAACCATTTAGCCATTTGAGCCAGAATCCAGTGACCTGTGAATTCTAATTGTCAATTCACAAATAAAGTAACAAAGTTGTATTGACACAATATCACAATTAGCTCAAAACGCTAATCTCATCCAATTTCCACAATAAAGAGTTTGTAATTCGTAGGAATCTAGTTGAAAAATCTTGGTCAAATATCGGGTTTTCTTCTAGTCCATAATATTAAACAGGTTTCCTTCATTACGAGAACATTCACAAACTAAGTTGAATAAATACTATCACCGCAAGTATACAAGAGTATAATAAATTCTCATTCTCTGTCATCTGATACTTTGTAACAGGTGCTGAATTCATAATATGGCGATATTTTTTATTTCCTTCACGTTCCCCAGTGGAACATAGGGCTCCAAGCTAGTGGCTTGAAGTTTCTGTAGCAGTGTTTATTTTACAGGATGGGGTTGCTAGCCTCATGCCCAACCTTTCCTCTTCACCAGCATTATATCTGGCTTAGCGAGGTAAAGGAGTGCGTCGGCCGGGGATCGAACCCCGGACCATGTGCATGGTCGACGAGCGTCCTGACCGCTATGCCACCGACGCAGTAATCTGGCAATATGGTCAGTGTTTATTGAAATAAAAAAGAGAAATTTAATTGTCTTCGGTTTTCTATGTTTCAAACAAGATGCATGTAAGAATATCACTGAGAAAACTGTTTATCAGAAATTGTACACTACTATATGGAAAGAAAGATATTAAAGAATCAAAGAGTGATACTTTTCTGTTTACCACAACTACATAAAGTTGAAAATAGGTCTAGGCCAATCTTGCGAAATGATTTAGAATATGTAGTACCTATAAGTGGTACGATATGTTTGAGGCTACTAAAAGTGAAAACATCCAGCAGATCTGATGTCATATTCTCATTATGTAGTTTAATTTATGATAGATAATGTGATCATAGCAAAACCACAATTTGAACGTCGAGTGGTGAATAAAACTATTGCGCAGTATGGCAGAAAAAAAAGAGTAGTCACTTGAACAGCATACATATAAAGCCACTGACAATGGCACCGGTCAAGTAAAATTATGATCCCACAGAAAGCATCCATTTTCTTCAGACTGAAAATGTTTTACTGAAGCCCTCCAAAAAGTATGAAGACTTTATTTACGATTTTCTGATTACCATGTGACATCAATGAATACCAAATAATACTTATTTGAGAGGGTGAATAAACAGAATCAATTCCACTAAATACACATAACCTTAGTCTTTGAAATGATTCGGGATATATTTATATGAACATAGGTGAGGATTTATTCGAGTGTGAAAGGAGTGACTGAGTGAGTTTCAACGCACAACTTTGCGCAAAAGTGCAGGCCTTCAAGTTGCCACATACTCAAGCGTAGAGCTACACTGGTTGGAACCAAGGTCCTGCAGGTCCCACTACGCCACAAAGCCCGTTTTGATAGCAGTTAGACTAAAAGCAGTTACCATTATAGTGTTAACTGTTTACACTTTGTTAGGCGGGAGTGTGTGCTGTGGGTGAAGTCGTACTGCTAGAGAATAGGAATGAAACAGTAGTAAGGTATTTCTCCCAGACAACCAACAAGCCAGTTATGCTACCTTTCCGTTCAAACCAGACGGGGAGTTAGACCCCGACAACTGAACATCTCAACTCACTTTAAGGCGGTCCATAATGTCTTAGTACGAACACATCTCCGAAAAACAAGCTTAAACAGGTCGTGTGTGATCAGCCCCAAGCAGCTTTCCCCTGGACGCTGCAGTCACGCAACACTAATTTTCCTTCTGCTTCAGGTACCCCAGGAAGAAATCAACTTCCATGGTGTGGACAGCCGGCGAATAATAACTGCTTACACACTTCCATAAGCACAGTGAGAAAAAAATATATTTTCATTGGAATAGTGAAATAAAACACAGTGATTCCAGTACCATTTGAAGTTGATACAGAAATATTTTTTTTTCTTACTAATTTTCTGGAGGTGAACTAAATACGCATTATTCAATTTTGTCTCATGAAAAAGAACAACTGAAGTAAAATGAATTTTCAACGTAGAACTTTACAGAGAGGTGAAGTAGTTAAAGCTGCCATACATCATAAAAGCACACAAAAAGCAGCATGTTGGTAGTATACGCATAAGTGTTGAAATCACTGATTACTGTAGTACTTTTTACGAGAAGAAATCAGGATACCTTTTCTAGAAGCAAAGAATTTTTATCGTGTAAGAATAATCTTTCGAAAAGACTAACATTTCAGGTGGTAGTGTAGCCTGTGTTACTGATACGATGTTGTAGTTAGTATATTGTATTTGACGTCTTCTATAAGAATAAGTTGATATGAGAAGATGAGGGGTCCTTGTGAAACAATATAGAAAACATGAACAGAAGGCAGAAGAAGTACAAAATGAGCAACATGTGAAAATGGAGGTTTCAATGTAAAGTTTATTACACTTCGCCATAACTGTATATCCATTTAGAGAGATAAACAATCTTTTTTTGATTGGACACTAGTCAGTAACTAGTGTAATGTGTCTAGTCCTATCTTTGGTGCAGACTGAATTCTAACAGTCAAGTTTGCAATGTGGCCACCACGCTAGGTGGGTCGCCATCACGGTGTACTGTGAATTGTTGGTATTAGATAAACAATCTGCTATCACATATTGTAACGGTAGAAGACAAGAGACTTTGTAAAGGAATGTTTGTTTGGAATTTCGTATCTCTATATATAGCGGAATTATGTACACCTTATCTCCAAATCGTCATTTGCACAGATCTTCCATGTTGTGCTGCTACTTCGGCCCTTCGTATTATGTTACTTTGTCGTCTTTTCGTATCCCCCTCACATGTTTTGTCGCAAGGCTGAATCATTTGCTCTCTTTGACGTCAAATCTATCTCTCTGCGCCGATGAATGTCTCTATATACTACTGATAAATCTTATCAGTAGCACACACCACAGTATTACCGTGTCCTGCTATCTCAGTAGTATCGTTGAATATGTAAAAACATTTTTAATACTAGAACTTGTTTTAAATAATAAAGTTGATCTATAATGCATATAACCTAAATGAGAATACATTTACTTACTTTTTAAATGTACCCCTTTGAAATGTACAGGAATAGAAACAAGTGACATAAGTTGGTGGATGGCTGCACGTTGAACTAATGTTGTAGATAAGAATTCCGGTCTCCTAAATAGTTTTGTAACAAAGAATAATGTAGAACAAATGTGTGTGTTTTTTTATTCCAGTATATCAGTTCTAGGTTGTATAATGATTAATTAATAACTACTTAAATAAAAATTTATAACTTCAACTTCTAGCGCGGATATCTTTTCGCAATACAAGTCAACTACTCAGTACACTGAGCTTAACAAAGTGATGTTTGAATACCCAAGGACTTATCAAATGAGAGTTAAATCCATGTGTCCATGAATCTTTTTTAGTCAATAGTAATAAAAGTAATGCTCTAGATTTCTACAATGAATACGAAAAACACTAGAAGATAAGAACAAGACATATAAGCGAACAATATTGTTTTCAATTAGATCTTCTTCAGGCTTTACTCTAATTTACATAGATTTATAGATAAAAATTTTTAACCAATGACGGTGATTTTGTGGATCAAATAATAATAATAATGTGGTAAATGTTTTGAACGCAATTAATAACGATGATTATTATGATAACAAAATATTGATAATAAGGTTTATACAGGTGGCGATAAGAATAACAAAGGTAGTGTGGATGGATGTTCCACCAACGACAATGGTTGGGGTCGCGCTAAATCACGAATCGGTAGAAGTTGGAATTCATGAGCCATTGAATCGGGTCCCAGTGACTGAATGGCATACGAGCTTGCCTTGTAACCGGAAGGTCCTGGGTTCGAACCCTGGCAGTGGGTGCGTACTGCCAATGATTCCCAAACTAGGATGAAACAGCTGTCCAGTACTCCCTGGTTTTCAGTGGTTCTCTAGCTGATATCAATCCGTGATCAACTCGTAAAAAGGTAGAATATGTATATATGTGTATGTGTAGACAATTCAATAAATAAATAAATTAGGTCAAATCTTAAAAGGTGAAGTGGACAGATAATCAGAGTTTAAATAAATATCATAAAAGTATGAAGGAGATGGAAAATAAGAAAGGGTGGGAGGGTTTTGAATAGAATTCACCTAGGCAAGCAAGGGAGAGACAAAGGTAGAACAAACTTCTTTTGTATGCAAAGACTAGGATTGTTCTCTCGAATTCCCATAGCTTCGGCTAAGTGTAAAAGACGGGTTCTGATTCCGTTCGAAAGACTCGATGGAATGCGATAGATAACTTTGAAGGCACTATTTTTGTCCACTTGGTGACCACTATCAATCAAATGAGCCAAAATAGAACTTCGTATAGATTTTATTTGACCTTTTCCGAACCATGAAGGAAGATGCTCATTAATGCGTTTGTTAAGCTGTCTAGTTGTTCGCCCTATATAAGATAAAATGGTAGAAGACACCATTTTACACATACACACACAGGCACACATCTAGACACAGGTATTTTATGCTGAGTGATATCAGTGAAATAGGATGTCCAGACAAAAGCGGAGTCAAGCCTACATTTCAACAATCTAAAGTTAATGTATGTTTTCTGTATAAATTAATCAGTAATGTGGAATAAACAGTACTGAAAAACTATGACAAACCGAGTTATTTCTATTCCAGTCAGGAGGAAGTGTACATGCTAAACTAATCAAATAAGCATTCAGCCAAAGCAGTATGCTTGCGAAATTTTTAAAACTAAAATTATTGCAAACGACCTGGTATGGTAGGACTTAAATCTTCCTCTCGAAACGCTCTCATACCGCTACGCGTTCATCCAATCACACAATACCTTCACGCGGTTGGGGTATTCATCACAAAAGTGGAAGGGAGAATGCAAACGTTTGGCGCTTACAACCAGATTAGTGACCATGCTGGTCTTTCTAGAGGAGCTGGAAGACCCTGATTCCAAACATATGGTGTACAAGGGCTCCATAATCTAAAGGAATCGAATGACGTATGAAAATGTTTCGGTAGCCTTCGACTATGGGAACGGAGTTTCACTGTCTTGTGGATCAGACTTTAAATGAAATGCTCGGACAGTGGTCCTTCAGGATAACCACCTGCTTCAGTCAGTATCCCAGCCCTCGCACATACATAATATGAGATTTTGTGTGGTGCATCTCTTGGTGTTCATTATGCAACAGGTTTGTATTTCAATAATGATAATAACAATAATAATACAAATCAGTTATTTTGAAACAAAGAGTAATCATCGAAACAATTTCTCTCTGACGAATTCAGCCAGCTTAATTAGGAAGACAAGGACTAACAGAAGCATGCAATGCATGATTTCTATACATTTGGAATCATTTCATTAAACATGAAACCATAAAATTATTCATATGCAGTTTCAAAAAGACATCAACAAACAAATCGAATCAACAGGAAACGTGACAGTGAGAGACCATGTATCTCCCTGTCTTTCATTGAGTAGGCGCCTATGGTGAAGTAATACTAATATAAGCTTAACAATATTACATTTGGGTGTCTGACGTATTTAATGATTCTATGAAGCGTGATTTCCAATATTTTGGATAGACGTAATTTATACAATTATTCTTCACCATATAACCTACACTCAAAGGTCGTTTACATTTCTGCATAAAAATAACTTAAATTTGGTGTATTTATCGACTAATTTAGTATTTCTAATTTGGATAGGGTAGATTTAACGACAACTAGTGTGATAAATTCACTAATGCATTATTTAAGTTGACGCAATTTGAAATATTATAGTAAGAAGTAACTGAAAAAGGAGGTACTGGTATAGTCACACCATGGAATTCCCCATTGTTTATTTGTAAATTGGATAAAGAAACTGATATGATCGTCTGGACAGCCTTAGATTGACACTTTCAGAATTTTTTGTGATGCATTTCTTACTTGGAGCATACAAATTATCACTTTAGGATTTGTCGACATCAACACTCCCTCCACCTGAATACTAGGGAATGAACTGGTAGAGTACATATTTATCATTTCATCTATCTTGGAATTCATATTATATTTAATGGTATGTTGACGAAATGTCTCTAAGGCAACAACAACAGAATCATATGACACTCGCAAAATTGCATAACTCACAGAGAAGGTTAAGCACCTAACTACCAATTGATAATCACATACACCGCACAACATGCACACAATACCAGTAATAATATACGGCTGTGAAAGATGACCATTAAAGAGAAAGGATCCACAACATCAAAATCCATTAATGTCATTACCCACGTCCAGTCAAAGCATCAAATGAGCAACACAGAGTTTAAGTTTACAGTCTTTGGTAAGTGATATAAGTCTGTTGATGACTTTGTAAACTTTTGGTATCCTGAATTGGTTCCAGACATTTGTCACACATACCTACCTCTAGTGTGTCATAATGTGTTAACCTTAGCGAAAATGGCATTATGTTGAAAAAAAGCGAAAATTGATCAAATCAAGATGTCTTACCATTCCATCAAGTTACTATCTTTTAGCCTAGGTGAGATATGCAAGTATAGAAAACCTGACTAAAATTCAGAGTGGGTTTATAATATACCCTAACAACGACGCTTATTGTAGCGTTGCTGCATTTATGTAATGGCATAAGTAATATATTATTTAGATATTTGAAGATACATTCTAAATTTGGTAAAATTTTTTGAGTGGTTCATTTGGACGGCTTTAGAATTCCTGTTAGTCTGTGACAGTAAATATTGCTTCGCAGTCATACCTAGACTATAGAATTCATAGTTAAACATTTTACTACTATATGCAGCATATTACATAAGGAATGCTCATTCAAACTGGGGTATTTAGGGGTGTTCTATATCATCACTAGAAATTCACGTGGCGATACTGCCCAAGGGTGATTGTAGTGTCTGAGTAGTTGGCTAATTGGTTGAAATACTATGAATATTATCTAAATACTCATAAAGAATTGGTTACAGGGAATCTAATTCCTTCATGGCATTTATTGCTATTCACATTAAAGCACATACCATCTAGTGCAGGACGATTTTTTTCTATTTCTTTGCGTTCCCAGGGGAACATAGGGTTTCAAGCTAGAGCTATGTAGTTTCTGTAGCAGTGGTTTTATTTTTTACAGGGTAGGACTGCTGATCTCACAACCAACCTCCCCTCTTTGCTAGGCTTATTACCAGTTAAGTGAGGTTTGGGAGTGCGTCGGGCGGGGATCGAACCCCGAACCACCTCAGTGGCTGGCGAGCATTCTACCTCTGCGCCACCGACGGTGAAGGATGATAAGAACAGTATAATAAGTGTAAATTAAAAGCTCAACTCACATATTTATTTCTTCTTTTAATACATACTGACAAGCACTGAACACGCGTGGTATCAGTATATTGATACCGGGTAAATCAGCACGGAATAAATCAATGATATAGAATAAGACTGTACACAAGATGTAATCATTTTTAACCTGTAGTAATAAGAAAAGGACAAAGCAAGATGGCGCGTAAAATCAAATGGGAATAAAAACTTCTTAACTAATTTATACCTTCTTAATTTTTATAAATTCTTAAAACCACACACACACACACATAGAACATAAAATACAAAATAAGAGGTATTAAAGTTTGTCATAAAAATGCATACAATGTACGCGCGCATGTATTCAAGCAGCTGTTTATGAGACTTGAAGAGAATATTGTGTATTCATAAACACTCTAATAGTAATATGATTAATAATAATAAAGTTGAGAGAATTACATCTGATATAATTTGCTAACCAGGGACTCTGCCAATGTGCGCATGTGCACATTTATAATGTGCACAATCATCACATGTGGATGAATACAAATTAAAACTATTGTGCAAAATCATCATCCAGATTCTCAAGTGATACATTTACACCAATACATTGAAGCTATCAACTGAAACAGCTTTTATGTGTCTAAGAGTACCAGTGTGCGTGTATGTGTGTGTGTGTGAGAGAGAGAGAGAGTAAACATCACAATAAATAAACATGATAGTAAAGGTGAGTGCTTCTATGCATAAAAATGTTCGCCGTTGGAAAAATGACCTATTTGAGCTCAACTACCATTGTATGAATGTAGACCTGGTAAACCAGTATGATGATTGTGAATGAATAAAATGCGAGGGGATATATTGTTATTAGTGTTCCATTCAGAGAGAACACAATATTCGTCAAATAAAGAGGAATACTACATCGATTTCAATAGAAATTATATATTCAACAAGTAAGTTATACTTCATTTATTATCTAGAATGTCATATATTACTGTTGTTTATTCAAGTGCGACTACTCGAAACAGATTTTTTCGGTATCAGGCAGCAGCAACAGCAACACGTATCGTATAAGAGCTGATGGTGCTACCTAGTCGCTTGCCCCCCCCCCCCAAACTGAAGTAAGTGGAGTGGGAATTGAACCCGTGACCCATCAGCCGGAAACTGAGTACATAAGCTAATGAGCCATATTTCCCTTTATTAATGTTATTCAGTCTGTCGGTTTTCGACATAGAACTTTGCACATATGTGCGGCAGTTCAAGTCGCCACACTCCATGTAGCACACAAAGCAAGAGAAGAAAGTAGGAGAAATGCATATTAGAGACAGTAAATAGAGGTGTGAGACAAAGGAATAGTAATAACGAAGAACAAAACAGTTTCATTGGAAATCATAAGTCACAAGGAGTGGATGCATCTGCGCCACTGAGAACGATTTTGAGCCATGTCACCGATTGTTTCCAACCATTGGTTTTTACCATCCCGAGGACCCCAACCAGGAAGTCTACACCTTCCTACGTGGCTTAAACTAACTGTTGTGGATTTCATTGACTGGTGCCATGTTTTCGTTTGACCGCCGCTAGCTCTTTTCCAGCCTGGCCCTATATCAGCTAACATTGCCCGTCGAGGAAGGCGATGACTAGGCATACATAACACATGTCCTAACCATCTCAGTCGATGTAATTTCACAGTCTCGTCGATTGATTTCCCCGCCTTACCTAGCACTCGACCGATGCCTAACCTCAATATTGCTCACCTTATTATACCACTTCACACAGGAGATAGAACGCAGACACCTATGATCAAAGACAACTAATCTTTTCATGTCTTCCACTCTCAATGGCCAGGTCTCACAGCCATAAAGGAGGACGGAGCGGACTGTTGAGCAGTACACCCGCCCTTTGGTCGATAGCCAGACGGATATCACGTCTACGCCAGAGACGGCGTAAACTGGCATATGCGAAACTAGCCCTCTGTATTCGTGCTGAGATTTCGTCGGAGATCAACCCATTGGGGCTGATGGTACTTCCCAAGTAAGTGAAGCGGTCAACGTGCTCTACCACTTCACTTCCTATTTCTAATCTAGGGGTCGGTGTAGTCCAATCCTGCAGCATCATCTTACATTTTACAGGGGCGAATCGCATGCCAAACATACGAAGATTGTTACTCAAGGTGTTCAGTAGACTCTGCATTTTGTCAGCGTCCTCGCCTAGAAGGACTATATCGTCCGCATATTCTAAGTCAACGAGATTATTCCCTGGTAGCAAGTCAATCCTTGAGTCGCTGAAGTGAGTTAGGGTTAAGTCCATTAGTACGTCTATGATGAAGTTGAATAGGAATGGGTATAATGGGCATTCTTGACGGACGCCACTAGTCGTCACCACTTCAGATGAAAACTCGCCGTAAGCCCTCACCTGGCTGCATGAGTACGAGTAGAGTGCCTTAATCAGTGCAATGTATTTTCTCGGCATTCCCTTCACAGCCAAGCATCGCCAGAGAACCTCTCGGTCGACAGAATCGAATGCCGTCTTTAGGTCAAGAAATATAATGATTGTTGGACGCCGGTAGGAATGCCTATGTTCTAGAATCTGTCGAAGGGTGAAGATATGATCAATACACCCTCTTCCTGGCCTAAAACCTGCCTCGTTTTCTCGTGTTTGTGCCTTCCGAGCACCACTTAGTCTACGCAGTATTATTGAGCCTAGGATTTTAGATACTATATTAGTCAAGCTAATCCCTCTGTGATTATCACAAGAAGACTTGTCTCCCTTCTTGTATATCGGGATGATCAGTGACCTACACCAACCCGATGGGACTTCCTCTGATTCCCAGACGCTGCCTAGAACCTCAGTTAATGCAGACAATAAACTGTCTCTACCGTACTTAAGTACCTCTGGAGTCAATCCATCAGGTCTCGCTGCTTTGCCTTGCTTCAGATTAGTGACAGCTTTAGTAACCTCATTTAAGGACGGAGGACCTGTGTCTATATCCCATTCAGGGAGGTGTTGGATGTCCGGCAGGCTAAGTGTGGATGTGGGCCAATTAAACTGCTCCTCGTAGTGTTCTTTCCAGCGTTCCAGTCGTCTATCCTGGGAGCTAATCATGGTGCCATTTTTCTCCGAGATTGTTTCGCTTATCATTTGCCTTTTGCCACCTGTTTCCCTGATAAGCCTGAATAGTTGTCTGGTGTTGCCAATCGCTGATGCCTTTTCCATCTCTTTCGCTTTATTAATGTTATTACATTATTATTATTAAATAAGTTTGTATTCCTTACTTCACATAAATATAAGAATAATTATTACATATTTCATGAGATTAACTAAGTTGGATTCGTGAAATTTCCATGCTGAGAAATTACTAGTATGTTATAATGTAGATCAAAGCATAGTAGTAAATATGTGTTATGAGACAGTGGGCCACACCATTAATATGATAGATTCATAATACACAGCTAGTTAGTGAAACAGCATTCGAACTATTTGTTTTGAATCGATTTTTGTCATTCCCGTTGATTGGTTGGACCGAAATGTTCGGCTTCTGTTGACCCCTGGTACGGATGCTTCGACGACGTCTGAGGATTGGTGGATAGTGACTAGCAGTGGAATCCAGGATGCACACTTCGTTCTATTTTGGATTCGTCATCTGGATACATCTGAAATCTCCATTAAGTGATTGTGTTCCCAATGAGACTCGAACCTAGAACTCATCGTTTCAAATGCTAAAGCGCAATCCACTAGGTCAATTGCGCCACGCCAGCAACCTCTTGTGTGACAGGCATTATTTATCATTTGTTTTTGAAGTTAATTTTAATTTTCCCGTTGACTGATTGGACCGACACACCCAGTCTCTGTTGACACATCATGATTAAATAGTTAAAAAACAACAGCTTGATTCAATGAGCCATGGGTAGCATACAGTATAAAAGTGCCTATGATTCATTTGCCTTTTCTACTGTTTTGAATATCAACTTCATTTGAACACTTCTCACGGATAAACGAGTTGTTATTATATATAGCTTTAGGAAGTTTTTTTTTTTCGTAATTTTAATTACATCCTACCGATAAGAAACAGTATACATTTTCTTATGACAAGTAATTAATCATTGATCAAGTTTGAGAACTTTTCAGTGTATTTTGTTGCATGTTAAACAAATCTGAAAAATTCACTGGATTTTTTTTTCCCTTCACGTTCCCCAGTGGAACATAGGGCTTCAAGCTAGTGGCTTGAAGTTTCTGTAGCAGTGTTTATTTTACAGGATGCGGTTGCTGGCCTCATGTCCAACCTTTCCTCTTCACCAGCATTATTTCTAGCTTAACGAGGTAAAGGAGTGCGTCGGCTGGGGATCGAACCCCGGACCATGTGCATGGTCGGCGAGCGTCCTAACCACTATGCCACCGACGCAAAAAATATCATGAAAAGTAAACATGACCAATAAACACCCACAGCGGTTAATACACATATCTACATTTTCTATAACTTAAATGCGAACACACACACATATACATATACATTTATGTTACGTTAATTTTAAATATTGAATTGTCTGATATAAATGTCATGGTGGAAAAATTAAAAAAATTTTCTGTTAGGGATAGTGTACCAGCATTTTTAAAGCCATTTATTTATTATAAAATCAATATTGCCGTACCCGTTATCCAAGAGATGGCTCTCATGGTTCAGTTGGTCTAGTGGGTGCCTCTGGCATTTGAAATGATAAGTGCTGGGTTCGAGTCTCACTGGGAACACCATCACTCATTGGAGATTGTAGGTACATCCAGCTGACGAGTCCTAAATAGGACGGGATTGGCATCCTAGATTTAACTGTTAGTCACCATCATTTACCAAATAACATTATGACTATGATGATTAAAGGCACTCGATAAAAAGACCATAAGTTTTGAACTTGACGTATTGGCACTAGAATAGACCGGTAGTCACACACACACAGTCTCCGGATTGATTAATTTTACTAACTTCGTGTTAAATACACATGAAGTGTCTGTTGTCTTACAGTCAGACAGATTAATGTAGGACACTACAGTTCATTGTCAAACTTTGAAAAATGTTAACAAAAAAAAATCGACAAAAAATAAAGATGGTACTACACTATGATGTGAAAGGGATATCATGGGAGGAAAAATTACTGAGTAAAAGTTAATGAAAATATTCAAGAATGATAAATTCTTGATATAAGAATAAAACTTGAACACTGTGGTAGAGTATAATTCCATTATGAATAAAATTTTACTTTGATAAAATCACAGTGTTATACAGTGAAATTTACTGATGACAACGTTTCGAGCACAAATTATTGCTCTCTTGCTTCGTTTATATACATGAGTAAAAATTGATTAGACATTAGAATAAAATCAATATAAGACTTGAGTGAATCAGAAAGGAAAATAAAGTACATTCGGAAATAATATTACTGTTATCAATGAAATACAGTAGGATGGGAAATAAGATGTTTTTATAGTAAAATAAATAACTTGTTAGAATGTTATAATGTGAATTAAAATACATTTTAACATTATTTATTATCCTCTGATTTGACTGGTAATAATATCTTCCATATCTCTGGTATTTCCGTTGAGTCACTTCTATTGCATGTGTTGGGTGTAGACTCGATGAAGCAGGATTCAGTAATCAAACTGTCTTTCCACCTACCTATATTACTCTTTAGAATTTTGACTCTGTCTCACCCTATTGTGTGGTTGTGTGTTAATGCATGCATTGAGATTGCTGAGTTTTTTCTTCTAAATTACACATCTTCGTGGGGTCAATTATTCTGACCTAAGCTAAATTCTTATGTTCTGATAATCTCACTACTCCTGATCTACTAGTTTGACTTATGTAGTTGACCTTAGACTGTGTGATTTTATCAAAATAATGGAATGATGTGCGTCGGTGGGGTAGCGGTTAGGACGCTCGCCGACCATACACATGGTCCGGGGTTCGATCCCCAGCCGACGCACTCCTTTACCTCGCTAAACCAGAAATAATGCTGGTGAAGAGGAAGGGTTGGGCATGAGGCTAGCAATCCCATCCTGTAAAATAAACACTGCTACAGAAACTTCAAGCCACTAGCTTGAAGCCCTATGTTCCACTGGAGAACGTGAAGTAAAAAAAAATGGAATGATAAATTCTCTTGAATTTTAAGTAATGTCAACGAGCACTTTAGTAGACTAATTCTTCTAGGTTATGAAAAGCGCATTCACAAGCAAAGCACACTATCACAGAATTCAGAAGAATTGCCTTGGATTTTGTGAATTGATTTTCACTGCTGAATGATCCTTCTATAATTTTTTTTGCATTCCTTTGCTTTTCGAGTAGAGCATAGGCCTTCAAGCGTAAGCTATGAAGTCTCATTGGCACTTGTGATGTTTTTTATGCGTTGGGGTTGATCGTCTCACGCCTAACCTTCTCCTTTTACCAAGTCTACTATAGGCTGAGGGAGCTTTAGGAGTGCATCGGCAAGGAATCAAACCCGGACAGTGTGTATAATTGGCGAACATTCACTATACCACTGAACTATACACGTTTACAAACAACATTAAAATTTCGAAATTTACTTAAAATACTGAATACAATATAAGTAGGTAAAACTAACCATCGGATCAATAGACAAAGCATAATACAGACATAAGTAAAATCTTGTCAAGTATTCTTCAGCCAACTGACCACGTCGAGCATAGATCATTATTCGACAAACAATCCCAAGAGCTTCAGCACGACCAACTTGAAAACGATTACTATCGACAAAAGTAGCTCGTTGACTGATCACGGTAACTGAAAACAAATCGAAATTAAAGGAAAGCTGAAACTAAGATAAGTAGCAAAAATTAACAAGAAACATGAAACATAAACGTGTTAGTCAAAGTGATACAGCTCTTACATAGCCTATAGTATTACTCATAACAGACAGAAACGTACATTTCAGTATTTTCGACTTAAACAACAGTTTCACAACATTTGTCTCATAGTGCTTTTAAAAGACTTTCTGTGGATCAGTGATTCCACCAAAATAAACGAAGTTGATAAGACAGTATTATTAAGAATAGAACATAAGAAGAATTCAAATACACAGATAGTGTAACAACAAAAGTAACAGTGTGAGCGGGTGTAAAAACAGACCATACAACTAAAAGGTCAAATATCGGATCAACGAGAGAATCAATACCAATACAAGAAGATATGATCATAGGGAAATCCGTGGGAACAAATAATCACGGCGATGGTCACCAAGTGAGATAAATTCTCAAAGCCCAGTTATATATTGAAGTTATAGGTGAAGATAATGAATGTTCAGAGGGACAATGAAATCATTACCATTAAACTGTCCAACTCAGAACATACAACAACACCAAAATAAATGAAAGAAACTTGGCTAAATGGTCATTTAATAGACCTTAAGTGCGTTGGTGATTCAGGGATAGAATGCCAAGCAGCCAGGCACGTGGTACAGGGTCCAATTTCCGGCGGTGCACTCCTAAACCTAGCCTAACCGGTAATAAGCCCGGAAAACGAGGGAAGTTAGGCGTGATGCTAGAAACCTCATCCCGTAGAAAACACCACAAGCACTAGTGAAGCTTCAAAACTTAAAGATTTCCCACTAGGAAAGCAAAGGGATGAAAAAAGAATGACTTTAAGCAAGTGGAGCATATTCAACTGCCTTTTGCAAAAGAAATTCCTAAATATTAAAGGTCAACCCAGCCCATGGTGTAGTAAAACTCTTATATGTATAATATTAACACTTTTTGTTTGTATAACGATTCAATTAAACTTTAAAAAAGATAGTTCATTCAGATACACTTCATCCATTATAAGTGCTAATAATCTTCATTGATTATACCACAACCATTGCATCTACACTACACAGTAGGCTAATTACTTCTGTTCTTAAACAAAATCATGAGCTCTTCTCATTCTTTTATAATTAATCAACAACTACACGATAAATAAAAGTGCTCAAAAATAAAAAACACAAATATATATAAGTATATGTGGATTATTGTGATGAGTATGTTTGTATTCAAATATGAATCTGTTTGTCCTGAAACAGTGGAACTGTATAGAGATCACATGAGAACAAGTATTTTGAAGTCTCACATATACACACGCATATTAGTTCTTGATCTATATGTATTTGTTCGGTTACAGAAGCTTAAAATTACATATTACTTCAATATGCCAAAGATATGGGAACGGAAAGGCTTCCATTCATCCAAAACAGATTACTTTCAGAAGACAGGCGCTTTCACCAGGCTGTCTATTGGTTAAGAATAGTGTAGAATGGAATTTCAACATGCAGTTGTATGTATACCATCTGGATTACTAATTGACAAAGAATGAATAAATTTGTAGAAAAAAAGTGGGTGATATCAGAAACACATACGTAAGACAAAAGAACAAAAAGAACAAATGACGGAGATTAAGAAAGATGTTCGGGATTTGAAAAAAATCTGTCCTCTAATGAACGATTGTCAGCTAAACCTACAAACGTCTACAACCACTGATTCGTAGCATTTCGAAGGTCCACAGTCAAGCAAGTTTCATGTCCTTGCTTAGTTTTTAAGTTGATAATTATTAACTGACTTCACCAAAATCCTTCTGATCTAGTTCTACTTCTGTTAGCATTATTCATTAACAAAAGTGATGGCTAGGCATGAACTAAACTATGTAGGTTCCAACCACCATAGTCGCATAAAATTCTCAAATACATGAACTTATTTACCACCTTCTTGATATATTTTAAATCATTATCATGCTCCATGGTTGGCAAAACTTCGGAGTTTCTTAATTTGTTTAATACGTACTAGTTTGTATAAGAAACATATACAGCCACTGTAAACAAAATAGTAGTGGACAGTCTTTTCATTCAACTTCAGTACACTTCAGAAGTGTACACCGACGAACAAAGGAGAGGTTAAGTTACAAGAAAGTCTAGTTACTAGCAGTCATATTTATTCTAGTATATGGATTAGTTATAAAATAAAATTTAGTTAGGCATAAATTTATCTTCACTATAGAATTTGTCAAAACAAAAACTTCAACATACTATCATCAATTCGAAAACGCTTCGCCATCACCCAAATAATTGGTTTTAAATGTTTATTCGAATGTTTCATACAGTAAAAATAAAACAAAAGGCCTATTAATCAGGATGATCATGACAGTGTAACTATTCGACGACAAAGTAACAATTCAAAAGTTCAGTCATGATGTATCAAGAACGCTTCACCAACTTCCCAGAAAAGCAATTTGGTTTCTAATTCCACACTTCAGCAAAGAATACAATCTGATGTATGCTTGTTTAAGGCATATTATGCTTTTATAAACAGAGTGAAAGTTAATGTTAGATGGTTGGAGGCAATCGGCAAGAAGCCTTGGACCTAGGTTTTGTGCTAGTTGGCACTCGTCAGCAAGACGTATCTGCAACCTTGAAGGAACTCATGTCCCTTCTGAGATTCGAACCCACAACCAAGGCTTCCTGCCGATTGCCTCCAACCGTCTAACATCAACAATTCAAATTGCACCGTGTTGGCGAGCCATCTAGAATGGTGGCCACATTGCAAACCTGACTGACAGAATTCAGTCTGCACCAAACAAAGGACTGGACACATCACACTAGTTACTGGTGTCCAATGGGAGTGAAAGTTATTTTACCAATTATGTTATCTCCTAAAAATACTTTATTCAATTTAGAATTCAAATACAATAGACAAATGTTTGGAAATTGCTTGACTTTCTCCTAACCTGGTAACAATTGTAGCTGGCTAGGCATAATGAATATCCAGCTTCCATCTGTCAAGCGATGCAATCACTAAAAATGCATATAATCTTAGAGTGTTGATTTGGATCAAAGAGAAAATGTAGGCTTCTCCATTGGTATCTAACAGTTACTGGTAATAGACTTTAGTCGACACAATATTGGCTGCGATGCGTTCATACCGCTTATAATGTGGAAAAGAAATTACATAATAAGTGGGACACAAACAATGGAGTTTTCATGACAACTGGTATTATCAATCTCTTCCTCTTTATCACGACTTTTATTTTTTTAAAATTTTGATTATAGCTTGAAACCACACAGTATTTTTGGTACAAGTATGGAATTTTCAGCATGTGATATCGGCAGCCCAAATTTTGCAGGCCGACCATTGATATCAGGTGTGCGCCGGCAGGGGGTCGAACCCCGGACCATGTGCATGGTCGGCGAGAGTCCTAACCGCTGTGCCACCGACGCACACAATTTGGCGACAGTGTCGGTGTCCATTTGTGGTACGAGTAGTTGGCGTTGATCAAAAGCCGCCGCCCGATAGGGGGCTCGAACCCCCGACCCTCAGATTAAAAGTCTGATGCTCTACCGACTGAGCTAACCAGGCCAAGTTATTCGTTCATATACTAATGTACAGTTTAGTGACTTAAACTGATGTAAGATTTGCATACACCGTATCACCAATATCTTTTTGGCCTTAATCAGCTGCTTTTTTTATTCCTTTACGTTCCCAGTGGAACATAGGGCTTCAAGCTTCAGCTTTGAAGTTTCGGTAGCAGTGGTGTTTTATTTTTACGGGATGGGGTTGCTAGACTCATGCCCAACCTTCCCTCTTTACCAGTCTTATTACTGGCTTAGCGAGGTAAAGGAGTGTGCGTCAGTCGGGAGCGAACTCCGAACCACATGCGTAGTCGGCGAGCACTCTATCGCTGTGCCACCGACGCACTAGTCAACTGCTAGTGTTAAATTATTATTATTAATTACAATGTAAATATTTCACTAAAATTTCATGAAAACCTGGAAAGTTACCAAAGTGGTGAACAAAACCTAAAATCAATAAAGTGATTTTCGTGCATCTGTACAACAAATGTGAATAGGTGTGAATGACCGTAAATTCCACTAAAAAAAACAAACTACGTAAGTTTGAAATTAGCCACAATATGAAACTACTTCGACACTTTAATTCATCACATTTCACTTCTTATAGTTCTATTAGAATAGAAAAGTTAAGGGATTAATTTGGTTTGCAAAAATGACTCAACGACTATAAGCGGCATATTACCTATTTAACATGTTGACATGGTCGTACATATACCACCATAAACGTCTACATAAAATATATTCTCTCAAAAGCCTGGTAGAAGAGACTACAGACATTTAGTTAATAGAATATGTCTTCTTATATAGAATACACAAGTTTAACTGGTGACATAAAAAACAAAACACAATCCACAGGTATTCCGAAGTCTATTCATATGAAAAATAAACTGATTAAACCAGTACAGATAACCTTTTAAAGACAATGAACCAAGTTCCATTTTTAGAATATTTCTTAAACACCAAATAAACAGAGATAGCAACACAAGATGTAAAAAAGTGCATAAATATGCATTTTATTTGAAAAGCAATTTATCAACAGAAATATCTGTAATATAATAAGACAATAAGAAATGTGAGACTAGCAGGAGGTTTGTGATGCGACGTTTAAATGTAGAACTTACAGTCTCTATCTACAAAACGAAATAAAATGTTAAATAATATGGTGTTTCTGATACAACATATACATAAATAAATATAAATAAGACATCTGGAGAATAGTGTTTATTCACACGATAGGTAAACACTGAAGATGTTTTTATACACTCAATTCTCTTAACTGAAATATTTGCAATAGGAGAAGCATTTCAATGCTAAATGTGATACCATTTTGGTTGCTTCCGACGTTTTTCAACCTCGTGCAAAGTAATTCGGTAAATAGTCCATGTATGATACTTATATTTAAGAAAAACTGACGTTCCACACTCACACATACATACATGATTCATTTACAACAACAACTGCACTTGTAAGACGAAGAAAATTATTTTCTGAAATAGATTAGAAAAATTTAGATTTGTCAAAAAAAGCGGCAACGTAGTCACATGGGAAACAGAAAAACTTTTGGTTACAGGATTTCATCATGAGCTGACATTGGTTAGAGAACCATTGGAAAACCTGGGAGAACTGGACAACTGTTTCGTCCTAGTTTGGGACTCTTCAGCAGTACGCACCCACCGGGGTCAAGTCAAGTGAAAGGTGCTGGATATATATATATATACATAGAGAGAGAGGGCTAGTAAGTACTTTGGAGAAAAGATCACTCTCTACCAAAGTGGAGAAAGGTTAATCCCCATTTCTATGTCAACACACAAAGAGGGTTGCAGTCATTCGTAGGCTATGGCTTTAAGCAAAAGCAAAATGTTTCTGGAATTTTCTGTCTGTTGACTATTATGAGGTCTTTAAAAATGTTGAGTACTTGTCATATCAAACTAAAAATGCAATAAATAATTATACTCTTAATAGGAATGTAAATTTTAAGACTGATTCCTTTGTATATACTCAAATATTATAATGGATAATCATCTGTCATTTCTTTCTATGTGTTAGTGAAATGGCAAACAACTTCAAAACTCTGATTATCTATTTATTGATTAAGGGTAATGGTGACAATTTTTCTGTCGAGTAGGTTTTAGACATGGGATTTCTAGTTCGCCTGTTGATTTTACCCTACAATATTAGCATCTCTTAATCCAATTCCTAAAACGATATATATGTGCGTCGGTGGCACAGTGGTTAGGACTCTCGCCGACCATGCACATGGTCCGGGGTTCGATCCCCTGCCGGCGCACACCCGATATCTATGGTCGGCCTGCAAAATTTGGGCTACCGATATCCATGCTGAAAATTCCACACTTGTACTGAAAATACGGTGTGGAATCAAGCTGTAAATCAAAATAAAAAATAAAAATAAATATATTTCTTTTCTATGCTAACATATATCGGCCACTATTAGTTATTCCTAAAATATTTTCAAATGAACTCTAAGAGATATTTGTTTCCCAGTCACCGCTGATTAGTAAATCGCACTTGGGCATGAAAAGTTTCTTTGTAGTATAGCTATTCTGCACTGTTTGGTATAATGATACCAATAAATCTATGTCGTAGGTGATTGAGTGAATACAATTACTCAGTATTTAAATTGCTCTAGTCTATAAACATCTGGTTTATAAAAAGAAATCTATATGTATGCTGACGTTAATACGTTGATTATTCACCTACTTATTTGAATTGATTGTAATTAAAAAAGCATCTTTTTTCATTCCGTTACTTTTCTAGTGGAAAATAGGACTTCAGTTTCAGCAGAGGTGTTGTTTTTACAGGATGGCGTTGCTAACCTCCCTGCCTCCTCTTCCGGGCCTAATAGTGACTAGGTTAGCTTTTAAGAGTGCGTCGTCTATGCGTCGAACGCATACCTCCTGCATGACTGACAAGGCACTCTACCATTGGATTACCGACGCACAAAATCGTTAGTAGAGCGTGGTTTTGATCGACGGACCTCTGGGTTATGGGTCCAACACGTCATCATCACACGCCACTGCTCAAAAAGAATCTAATGTAGTAGAAATGATGCTATATTGCCCTCCAAATGTTAATGTAATTACACCGTAGCATTTTAAAACACAAAAGATAGATGGGGAAAATAACATTTAATTTTTAAATATTGGTATGCGAACTCAAACGTAGTTTAAAGGATATAAAAAATGCTTAGGAACTGTGTATAAAATATCTGTAAGTTTGAGGCAGATGGTATTAAAACTATTGATTATTGGTATTAAAATAGATGGGCAATTCTTTCTCATTCAGAAAGTAGTGATTTAAGAAATACGAATTCCAGTGTACATACATGTAATCTCTTAAAAGTAACCTTAGCAAGTTTACGCCGTCTCTGGCGTAGACGTGATATCCGGCTATCAACCAAAGGGCGTGTGTACTGCTCAGCAGTCCGCTCCGCCCACCTTTATGGCTGGCTGTGAGACCTGGCCATTGAGAGTGGAAGACATGAAAGGATTAGCTGTCTTTGATCATAGATGCCTGCGCTCTATCTCCCGTGCGAAGTGGTATAATAAGGTGAGCAATATTGAGGTTAGGCGTCGAGTACTAGGGAAGGAGGGGAAATCAATCGACGAGACTGTGAAATCACATCGACTGAGATGGTTAGGACATGTGCTACGTATGCCCAGTCATCGCCTTCCTCGACAATGGGCAATGTTAGCTGATATAGGGTCAAGCTGGAAAAGAGCTAGCGGCGGTCAAACCTAAACATGGCACCAGTCAATGAAATCTACAACAGTTAGTCTAAGCCACGTAGGAAGGTGTAGACTGGCTTCCTGGTTGGGGTCCTCGGGACGGTAAAAACCAATGGTTGGAAACAATTGGTGACATGGCTCAAAATCGTTCTCAGTGGCGCAGATGCATCCACTCCTTGTGACTTATGATTTCCAATTAAACTGTTTTCTTCTTCGTTATTACTATTCCTTTGTCTCACACCTCTGTTTACTGTCTATATTATGCATTTCTTCTACTTTCTTCTCTTGCTTTGTGTGCTACATGGAGTGTGGTGACTTTAACTGCCGCACATAGGTGCAAAGTTCTATGTCGAAAACTGACCGACCGACCAACCGAACCTTAGCAAGTCATTTACCTTTCTAAATTTCGTAAATCACACACATTTGAACTATACTCTAGGAAACAACAGGTTGTAACAGTAGAAGACAAGACATGGAAGTCAAGGTATATATACAACTGATCAAACAGCTATATATATATATATATATATATATTCCGTTGGCACACAATTTCTGTATCACACCACCACAAGGTGAATCGTGTCAATAAGTAATATTGGGTTTAAGTCATTCAGCGTCGGTGCTTTAATGGTAGAATGCTCGTCCAGGTTCGATTCCCGGCCGGTGCACTCCTAGACCTCACCTAGTTTACTAATCGATAATAAGCATGGTAAAAGAGGCAGGGTTGAGCGTGAGGTTAGCAATCCCACTCCTTATTTGCAACACTAGCACTACTGAGACTTCGGGGTTTGAAGTCGTCCTATATTCCACTCAGAAAACAAGGGATGAAAAAGGTTAGGCTGTTCAATGATGGCTTCATATTGCTTCAGTGCAGAAAACACGACATACTGGCATAAAAACAAATGAAGTAAAAACATTTTCATGAAAAAATCCCTTATTATCAAAGACAAAGGCAATCGATCAACTGTATTTTGTCGGCTTCAACAAGCAATTATTCTTAGTAGTTCAAACGAGGTGATCTATAAAAAAGGAATACGCCACAGTCAATGGCTACTACAGGTAAGCTCACAGTCACACCATTAATGACCATACACTTTCATATGGCTTTTCTCATTTTGATGAAAATAATTAAAGAAACAAAAAACAATATTCTTTATTGATATCTCGACAAATTTTATTTGGAAGACAAAAAGATTGAGCAAAGAATAATCCTTTTCAACAACTTCTTCATTAGGTTCTACAGTTATATATGCATAATAGTTATTTGAAGGATTTCATCATAAGCTGACATAGGTTAAAGAACCATTGGAAACCCAGGGAGTACTGGACAGCTGTTTCGTCCTGGTTTGGGACTCCTCACAGTACGCATCCAGCGCCAGGACTCGAACCCAGGACCTTCTGGTTACAAGGCTAGCGAGCTCGTAGACCATTAAGCCACTGGGACCCGATCCAATGGCCAGCCCATGAATTCTAACTTCTGCCGAATCACGACGTAGCGCAACCACTTCGCAGTTTCCTCACTAGTAGGGTACTGCAGGTTGAAGGTGAGGACAGTTACTCATCGGAAACATTGCTAAGTGGTTGAGCTATGTCGTGAATTGGCAGAGGTTAGAATTCATGGGCCATTGGATCGGGTCCCAGTGGCTTAATGGTCTACGAGCTCACTAGCCTTTTAACTAGAAGGTCCTGGGTTCGAGTCCTGGCACTGGGTGCGTACTGATGAGGAGTCCCAAACTAGGACGAAACAGCTGTCCAGTACTCCCTGGTTTTCCAATGGTTCTCTAACCTATGTCAGCTCATGATGAAATCCGCCAACCAATCAAACAAAATCCCTACAGACCAATACTTGTAGAATTAATATTTATTTGCTTTTAAACAGGAAGGTGCTTCGGAAACCCCAATGTACTTGGGGAAAATCACTACAGTGCCAAAGACACTTTTTTAAAAAAAACCTCACACAGTCAAAACAAAGATATAAGATTTAGTTAGCTATCTATATATATCAATTAAAATTTATATTACAGATATAATAATTATCATCAAGTGGTGCATATTAAAACTTGGAAAGCACAAACAATTTTCATCTTCCCCATGAGCTAAAAAATTATCTCTGTTACTTCAACTACTATGTGCATCAGTGAAATTTAATAGGTCTTATTAAGAGAAAGGCATACAATGCATAAACAACAAAGGATGAAGTGAATATATAAAAGTGAAGAAAACTAAAGTTATGAAAGTAACTAAATAAACTTACCCTTTTTTCTCACTAATGGTGTAAAAAGACATGTATACATCATTCAACAAAATATGAGGGATGTAATATAATACAATATTATGTTTATAAATAGTATGTGCATGATGGATTGTTTTACTGTCAAGCAGTCTGTCGCTTAGAGAGGTGAACCATTGAGAAAAAAATAACTAAGTTAGAAGCATACAACTTCTAATGTCCAGTCTTCAACTCTTTCACATCAAATGTTTGTGTAAATCCAATATAGCATCTAACCCAAAACCAGAATCTTAGTCATATATAAGCAACTTGTAACCACCTAATGCTAATAAAACGGAAAAACGTTACTGATACGAAAAAAAAGTTGCTTACCATTTAAATCTTGTTTAACTCCTGTTATTGACGCTTCAAACAGCCATGCACCGAATAATTGTAACAATGAATTTATTTCGGGTCTTTTAGGGTTCAGCACAATGGGAGAATCTGTTGATAGCCATGTTGTAGCTAAATTGCGTAGTTGTTCAACTTGTGGATTTTTGTTGATAAGTAATGATAATAAAGGTGGAGTAGAACTTAGCTTGTGAGTGACAGACTGTCCACTTGATGAAATACTTGACGACAGTACTGATCCTTGGGAGCTTGAAGTTTGTGATGGTTGAAAGGTGCTTGTTAAAGATGCACTACCGTCTATAGGAGTAACAGAGTTACTACTAAGAGGAGTATGTTGATATCCTGAAGTGCTGCTAGCTGGAGTAAAGGCAGATTTTGAACTTCCAGATGTTCCAGCAGAAGCAAGTATGCCAGCAGATGTGACAACGCTTGCTAACCTAGATTTCCCTAGATTGAAACGAAAATACGTGAAATCGAAATTAGACTGATGAAGGACACAAAAGAGTATATAATATCTAAAAAAGATATGAAGTTAAACAATCCGCATTTGACTCATGTGACTGTGTGTTGGTAAACAGAAAAAAGGGGGCTGTAAAGTTTCATCTGAACTCAAAGCGCTTGCATCTAAATTCCAATACACTCAAAAAGTACTAACAAGAAGAACTCTGTTTTAATGAAACAAGTATACAAATATGGGTTTCTAATCTTTAGTATCGACTGAGGTTGATCGATCGTGTGTGTGATTTAGTCACTAAGATCAGTGACACGACATAATGTAGTGCATCGAAATTTGATTTCACCTGTTGGAAGTTGGAGGTTCTGGATCTATGTTTCGTAATTGTTGGTATTCAACAGAAAGGTGCATTTAAAAATTATGCAGAAAATTTTGCTCCTGCAAACATCAAACTTGTTCCACTTACTGATAAAGTCAAATACTTGAATTGTAATTAATCGTCGATATATGGTGAAGATAATTACCTGGATTCAACTCAACCATTTGTATATCTTGGTTTTTTTTTAAAACGAATTACTATTTAACTTACCATACGCTTGTGGTAATTTTATATAGCAAGTTATCAAGTCTTCTCGAATAATAATATCACAGCTATGTGAAAAGGATAATCACCATTTCTGTCCTATAAGAATTCAAGAGTTTTGAAAGCTATGTGAACTTTTCAAGCTAACAAGGAAGTCAAAATAACAGATCTCTATTTGTATTGTCCCACAATCCAATAGATGGAACTCAGTTATCATGTTATGACCTACACTTATTGTGTGAGGGCTGATGGTACTTTAGACTGTAGCAATGATACTACAATGATCAAAGATATTCACTTTAGTGGCTAAATATAACTGTAATAAGCGAGTATATTATCACTGACGAAAATTCCTTTCACTTTGGAGACAACAGCTAAAAAAAATCCAGAACCATGAACCTATGAGTAGAGAAGTGCAATGGTGCCGTAGAGTAAATAGTGTAAACTGTTGTCCGCAGTGCATTAAAGTTAAGACTCTAATGGTGGCTAGCAGTGGAAATTAGGAAGTGCTTTTCCAATTTATTTGTAACTTGTCTATTAAAAGCACTTGTATTTTAATAAATGATGATTTGTCTACTGAGAGTCGAATGCACGGTATACCAGCATCAAAATAACATTTACGAAGCTACAGAGTTATGAAAACTACATCCTGAACCATCATCTCAGGCACAGACGTGATATCCGACTATCGATAAAAGGACGCGTGTACTCCGCAATAGTTCTCTCTGTTCTTCTTTATGGCTGTGAGACATGACCATTGAAAGTGGAATAAATGAAAAGACTAGCTATCTTTGACGACAGATATTTGCGTTCTATCTCCCATGTTAAGTGGTATAATATAGTGAGTAATATCGAAGTTAGGCGTAGAGTGCTAGGTAAAGATGTTAAGTCAATCGATCAGGTTGTGAAGCTCCATCAACTTAGATGGCTAGGAGTTGTATTGTGCGTGATGAGGCATCACTTTCCTCGGCGAGCAATGTCAGCCGACATTGGATTAGGTTGGAAAAGAGTGAGGGATGGTCACACCAAAACTTGGTATCCGTCCATGAAGTATTAGACAGTTGGTATGCGCCACATACAGAGGTGTAGGCTACCTGGTTGAGGTCTTCAGGATGCTAAGAACTAATAACTGGAGACTACTGGTGATACTGGCTCAAATTAGTTCTCATTGGCACATATGCGCTCGCTCTTCGTGATCCCATATAACCACTAAACCATCATGTCCTTCCCACGTTACTACTCTTCCTCCTTCACATTTATCTTCATTATAGTCCTTCTGAATCGCTTTTTTACCTCTTTCGTCTACTCTTGTGTGCTACATGGAGTATGGCAACTTGAGCTGGTGCACTTCTGTACACTGTTCTATGTTGAAACTCAGTCAGTCAGAAATCTTCAACAAAAAATACACTTCTTGTAGTTTACTGTCATTCTATCAAATTGACAGGTCCCTCTGCATAACAATTATGACTTTACTTTGAATTATAATGTTGTATTATTTCATCAATATAACTCTAAATAAACGACTGATAGAAAAGCACAATTGCCACTTACTGGTTGCTTTTTCTGTAGAAAAACTACCTGCAACTACACGTGATCCAGCGTGAGCACCTGAAGCACTACTAACAGTAGTAATAAGTGATTTTCTGATTTCCGCTGTAATATAATAAAAGTTAGTCACAATCATTATTTTCAATAATGGAGAAAAAATTGTATGGCTACATTATTAATATATATTTATTCATAATTTTGATAACATGTCAGTATCGTATGTTAAAACAATAATCTATGACAGAACACAGATTCATTTCATGCTGTCGCAACGTTCTGACAGTTTCGTTACTTTAAAAAAATTAAATGATTTCATTTGCAGAGCTGTTAATATTGACACAGATGCCATTTTCAGCTCTCTCTCCTCTCGAAAGAAAATTTTAACTCCGTATATTTGTCTTCATGTCAAGTGATCCACAACGGAAAACTCAGCGAAGCGTTTGGAGTAAACACAGGAGTCAGACAAGGGTGCTTATTATCACCAATGATATTCCTAATTGTGGTGGACTGGATTATGCGTCAGACAGTAGGAAACGAGGAAACAGGGATATCCTGGACCGACGTGAAGAACCTAGAAGACCTGGATTTCGCAGATGATTTATGTTTGATGTCACACAAAATCGAAGACTTGCAAGCAAAAACCGACAAACTGGTCGAAGAAGCAGCCAGTGAAGACAGGACTGCAGGTGAACATAGACAAGACGGAGGTTATGAAAATAACCAACCAACAACAACAACAACAGCAACATCCAGTGCCAATCACTATCAACAGAAGGGATTTGAAAGAGGTTACTTCTTTCACTTATCTAGGGAGCATTGTCTCAACCACAGGAGGAACGGACGAGGATGTCAAATAGAGAATCGGGAAGGCGAGAAACTCATTCACCAACCTGAAACCAATCTGGAAATCTTCGTCACTCACCATCAACAACAAAATTCGGATTTTCAATACAAACGTCAAGTCAGTCAGTTCTTCTATACGGGTCAGAAACTTGGCGGGTCACAAAGAATATTTTCAACAGGTTGCAGACCTTTATCAACAACTGTCTTCGCTCCATACTGAAGATTAGATGGCCGGAAAGAATCACAAACAAGAAGCTATGGGAACAAACGAAACAGGAACCAATCGCCCAACAAATATGCAGGAGAAAATGGATACGGATTGGACACTCTCTGAGGAGGCCGCTGGGTGACATCGCGCGTCAGGCCATAGCTCGAGTGGAACCCGAAAGGGAAGCGGTGAGTGGGACGTCCAAGGGTGACATGGAGGAGATCGTGTGAGGAGGAGATGAAACAGTATGGAATAACATGGACGCAAGTGAAAAGAACAGCACAAGACAGAAGCAAGTGGAGGCGTGCAGTTGAAGCCCTATGTTCCACTAGGAACCCAAGGGAACAATAATAATAATAATAATTTTTGTCTTCATTTAGAATGCACTTTCTTTGAATTTGATTTTATTCCATTGCGTTCCCAGTGGGACACATAGAGCTTCAAGTTATAGTTTTGAAGTTTCAGTAGCAATGGTGTCTTTTATCGGATGGAGTTGCAAGCCTCACGCCTAACCTTCCCTCTTTACTGGGATTACTACCGGCTCAGTGAGGTAAAGGATTGCGTCGGCCGGTGATCGAACCCTGAACCATTTTACTTGGTTGGCTAGTGTTCTACTACTGAATCACCGATGTAAAGTTTAATTCAAAAAAGGTGCTTCCCGAATGAAATTCAACTCAACGTTAATACGAAAGACAATAGTCTAGTCAGTAATGAGATCTCTAATTCGTAAATCTAAAGACCAATAAAAATTAAATACTAGGGAAAAAAAAGCGAAAAACAGATTGAATTTCTGTCCTGAACAGCATCTGTCTTCTTCATCATTCAGATAAAGAATAATTGCTTCTTTATAAAACATTCATGGGGAATATGTCAACTTTAACTTTTAGTGAAAAAAAAACTGAAGATGGTATTTCCATTGACGTTGAAAAATACGCAGATGAAGTCTTTTGAGACGGAAGAGCAAAGAAAATATCAGAACAATGCGAAACATGAAAATCTTTAAACTTTGAAAAATTATTTGAATATACGCTAACAGTTCTGTTATTATTATTATTATTAAAAACGCAAACTCGGTACATTATGGGCACCAAGGGAGGTGCCACATAAAATCTCATAGTTTGTGCGAGAGCTGCGATACCGCCCGGATGCCCAGACTGAAGTACGTGGTTGTTTTAAGGAAACCCCTCCCTACTGAGCCTTTGACTGGAAGTCTGATCTACCAGACAGTGGAGCAGTGTTCCCATGGGACCCGGTAACCAAGACATGTTCCTACGCCATTCGATCCTTTCGGATTGTGGAGTGCATGCATAGAATCAGGGTTTTCTAGCTTCCCTAGGTAGACCAGTATGTCAAGCAGCTCAGTTGTAAGCGTCAAACGTTAGCACCGGCCCTTTCAATTTTGTAAAGAAAAACCTTGCCACACGAAGGCAGTGAATAGGACCTACGTAGCAGAGGCTAGAAACGTGTGGCCACATGAGAGCATCTCGAGAGAAAGACCGAAGGCTGCCCACCCTCGGTTTTATCAGGTTTTTTATAGGGGCAAAGTAACACGTTACCATATCGATGTGGATGAACATGCCGGGGATCGAACTCCGAACGTGCAGAGTGATAAGAACGAGGATGAAGATAATTGAAAGAGAAATGAGTGAAATTACTGATGTGGCTGACGTCAAATGGCTTATAGAAAATCCTTGACAGTTAGCTTAAATCCCCGGACTAGCTTACTTTCCGCCCAGATCGGAAGATATTTAGTCAGGCGACATACGGGTCGACTATTATTTTACTTAAATATTTTGTACATGCAGCAAATATTTGCAGTAAAACACGCTGACAATTCGATACCGCATATAAACGTTTTGTCCAGAACAGAACTATTATTACTATCATTATTGAAAAAAATACATGCTTTCTATGCTAGAATACAAAGATATGGAGTAAACGTATGAACGAAACAGATTTCACAATTTGATAAGTTAAATATAGAGAAATGTTGCACAAAAATGTCAAATCAAAAACAAGCATTCCATATAAGTTTATTTGTGTAAATTTCAGTTGTTTAGGAATAATATAACCAAAGGGGTTTTGCATAATTACATTCATGAGCTTTTGTTATTTTGATTTAAATTATTCTTTGAAGAAAATTACTGGTAACCTGAAATGGCGCTGAACTACACAAGGTTTTAGACTGCTGATTCATTATATTTATATTTATTGTTCCCTTGGGTTCCTAGTGGAACATAGGGCTTCAACTGCACGTCTCCACTTGCTTCTGTCTTCTGCTGTACTTTTCACCTGCATCCATGTTAGTCCATACTGTTTCAACTCCTCTTCACACGATCTCCTCCATGTTACCCTTGGACGTCCCACTCGCCGCTTCCCTTTCGGGTTCCACTCGAGCTATGGCCTGACGCGCGATGTCACCCAGCGGCCTCCTCAGCGAGTGTCCAATCCATCTCCACTTTCTCCTGCATATTTGTTGGGCGATTGGTTCTTGTTTTGTTTGCTGATTCATTAATTTACACTAATCGTATTACAAATTAGTTAAAGGTTTACAATATCTTATTATTATTTATTTTTATCATTGAATTCCTTTAAGTTCCTAGTGGAGCACAGGGCTTCAAGCTTCAGCTTTGAAGTTTCGGTAGCAGTGGTGTTTATTTTTACACGGTGGGTTTGCTAGCCTCACATCCAACCACCCCTCTTTACCGGCCTTACTGCCGGCTTAACGAAGTTTAGAAGTGCGTCGGCCGAGGATCGAATCTCCACTACTCACCAGCATTCACTATTATAAAAAAATTTGTATATTCCAATGAATGGAGAATATTGTTTCGTTTTTCATTCATTAGGAAATACAAAACTTTTATAATAATGAATATCACACATTATATGCTCAAATTTTTTCAAACCATTAAAAGTGAACTTGGTCTGGACAAATATTACTCACAATCATCATTATTTCCACTGGGTACATCTGTCGAATATCTGTTGAACAGATTATTCGAAGGATGACCTTGAAATATTCTTCCAATAGGTCCATAAAGTTCTGGTGATACACCAACATACGGATCAATTCCAATAGTAAGACTTGGTTGAATACCTAAAAATCCGTCTACAATCATTGAAAGACCACGTAAAGCTTGATGGTATATATAAGGTAAGTAAACACATGTCCATCGAACTCTGTCATTATGAGAATATTTTCTAAATTAAAAATAGGAGAGAAAAAAATGAAGAACATTTTGATCATATTTTCACTGTTACTATTATAAATAAACTGAATAAACAAACAGATAAATCAGTGAGAAACTTTCTACAGAAATGCATCAATTCAAATCTACACAAATAAATAGACAGTAAATATGTGTACAGTGTTATAACAGTAAAGTATGTAAAAATGAGAAAGAGTGACAGAGAGAGAGAGAGGAGGGAACAATTAACTAATAAGTTAGTGAATTAACTCCTATAAGAGTGAACGAATCTACATCACTTTAACATCTGAGGAACTCAAGATGTGGTGAGAGCTGGCTGCTAGCCAAAGTTGGTAGACAGTAATTGACGTCAATGTTTATGTCCCCAATATTGGTGGTGAGAAAATGAGAACAAATGCTTTGCGTAGGCGGATGATCTGACACAGCCACAAAGAGATGCAAGGTTAACTTTCTGTGAGCAACAACCAGTCAAAAAACTGTATTTTCTACCAACAATAATCTACAATAATGTACATTAAAATCTAGAAATATGTGTTGATTTTCCTTAATAAACGATCTGTTGCCTGGCCCTTGTCTTCTGTTATTGCAAAGACATATTATCAATAATGCGCAAGCTTATAATGATGAAAAAGTTTGATAATTAGAGTAATTCTGCGCCGGTGGCATAGTGGTTATGACCCTCGCCGGCCATGCACATTGTCCGGGGTTCGATCCTCTACCGACGCACACCTGATATCTATGGTCGGCCTGAAAAATTTGGGCTACCAATATCATATGCTGAAAATCCCATACCTGTACCAGAAATACGGTGTGGAATCAAGCTATAATTAAAAAAGAAAAAGATGACTTCTTGAATGTTAATTATTTAGTGTACCAATATAATACAGTAATGAGGAGGATATTCAGAGATATTCTTGAAATGAAGGACTACGAAAGCTTCGCAATTAAATCGACCAGCTCGGAGAACACAACTATTTCAAAATCATCCACCTGAGCTACAAATCTTCATTATTTCAAAACCTTTGTTTAAACTGTAATTCTAAATTTCACTGAAAAGGAAACTTTAAGCCTATACTAGTTGGAATTCATGGGCCATTGGATCGGTTCTTAGTGGCTTTATAGTCTACGAGTTCGCTATCCTTGTAACCAGAAGGTCCTGAGTTCGAACTCTGGCTTTGAGTGCGCACCGATGAGGAGTCCCTAACTATGACGAAACGGCTGTCCATTACCCCGTGGTTTTCCAATGGTTCTCTAACCGATGTCAGCTCATGATGAAATCCTGTCTAATAAGATAAGAAAAGTTTAGTAACTTAAGCAACTAACTCAAACGATTAAGAAACAGAAACTATTCATCTGCAATACAACAACTAATCTGTATCGTTGTAAATAAACATACAAGTTACTGAACCCATGTCCGTCACAGTCTCATATGAGATTTACGCTTCATCAAATTTGTAGACATATCATTAGAACCTTTGTCCACTGTCTCAAAAGCTTAACGTCCTACACAACAGCAAAGATTCATGTTATAACAAAAACCGATACATACAGTACACAATTACTATAGAAATAAAGCTTCTGTTATTTAAAAAAAACTAGTTACATTATTGAAATATGCTTTTACCGTCTTAATATAAATCAAGGAAATAAGCATGATGTAACTCACTTATACTCTTCAAAAATTGGTGTATTGCATATTAAACGTTCATGACTCAAATCTACAGGATTACCAATTAGATATAGTATACGAATCCAGGCTTCTTTCACATTTTCATTTGGCATATCAGATGGAATAGACTTCATCAAAGGGGTGAAGCCTATAATAACATAATAGAATAAACACATCAGGTATTCTCAAAATTAACAAATACAACTGACAAGATAACGGAAAACCAGAAAATACCAACAACTTGAGGTGGTAATCAAACTTGCTTACAGAACTGAATGCAACTGCTCAACCTAAAATCCTAATTACAGGATATTCCACGACAAAGAAGTAAGAATGTAAGTGGACGCTATCATGAATCTTAGTAAGCCAAATTAAGTTTTAATGTATGCCAGCTAGCATCTAGGTGTCAGTGTACTAAAAAGTTATGTATCCTATTCAAAACTCTTATTTCCTTGTTATTAGATGGTTGGAAGCAATCGACAGGAAGCCTTGGACTTAGGTTTCGCGCTTGTTGGTACTCGTCAACAAGGTGAGTCTGTAATCTTGAAGAAACGTATGCCCCCCTTCTGAGATTCGAACCCATGTCACAATCAGAGACGTTACCACTGAGCTATTCGGACTCGCGACTGACCTCCTGCAGGACTGTATTGGATGGTTTGATTGGACACTAGTCAATAACTGGCATCATGAGTCTAGTCTTTTGTTTGATTCGGACTGAATTCTATTAGTCACATTTTAAACTGGGCTGATAGAAATCAGTCCGCATCAAACAAAGCACTACACTTGTGATACCAGTTATTGACTAGTGTCCAATCAAAATTTCTTATTTGATTATCTAAAGAAGTTTAGAACGTACTCATCTCGAAGAAAAATAATACTGTATGACGAGCAATACTCAGTAAAGAATTCTTTACACTAAACAACTTGTACGCATATATTATGTGACATCAGTAACCTACCCTTTGTTTTAGTTATCTCAGTAATTAGGTTTCAAGCCTCTTTATTTAAACACACAACTAATATAGTGCGGGTATGAGTAGATGCACCACACAAAATAAGCAGATAATAGTAAACGAGAAATAAAATAGTTATGTGGAAACAGAATGAGACAGGTAAGCATACTTATCTGGTACATTTAAAGGAGAGTTCATTACTTCATACCAACTTCAGAATTAGTGAGAGTAAACAGATTACACAGTCGCCATTGATTTCGATTGAGTTATATGTGATAAAGTCTCGACCTAATAAATCAAATGACCTCTTGGATACTACCCAGAGTTGTAACGCAACAACGGATGCGAACCTATGACAACTATCCTTTATTTAGTGGTGAAAATTTGTGTGTTGAATACCTCTTTTATTTTCCCATCCAATTTAAGATCTAGCAAACAGTGAACGGTGTGGAAGCCCCCGAGACAGCATTTTTAACGCATGTACAAACTATTTGTGTCGGGGTCCCAAGATGACATAAATTATTGAAAGTGAATCAAACATGCTCTGTCCAACTTAAAATGACATACATGATTTCATTACTGAATGCAAGCAAATCTTTTGTAGACAGAGTTGTTCGAACACACGGAGTTGCAACAGATTCTCAGCTCAAAGAGGTTAGGTTTAACAGCCTCTCAGTTAGACATATCTACAAATTTAAATCAACAGCGTAATTGAAGAAGTGCACAAATCTTGCTTATATACCTTACTTTTCAATTTACTATTATCTTCAAGTAATGCAATAACTTATTAATTACCAGTGATTTTGAAACAGATCCCAACGGCTTCGTTTTTTTGTTTACCACACTAATGAATCATCGCTTTGTCTTTCATGGGTACGATTGGTTCACCCTATTAAATAAGTGATAATCCATCGATAGCGCAAATCACACAGTAAAACAAATACGAACTGAACAAGAAACCACATAACTACAGCTTACAGTGGTGTTTCGTGGGTAATAGGACAACTAACTTAGACTCAGTACGGAATAGTTGGGTTGCATGCAGTCAACTGTTGGTAATTCAGTTATGCTATGACAAGTCAAACATACATGGGTACAACGTTGATAAACTCATTTGAAACTAGTCATGTGGCTATCAAGTGACCATATTATATCTACCTAGCGAAAGACATTATATTTAGGATATCAAAAGGTATCTAACTACTCATCTAATTGTTTTAGTAGTATATTTTATAAACTAAAATATGCTGGATTGCACAGACATTTCAAACATAATGGACAACAATGTTACTCATCCACTGCTGGTTGAATCTATCTTTGTACATAATTCAGAAATGCCCAAAATAAAATATAAAACATTTAACTTAACACAAGCTAATTGCTATTTCATAGATTAATAAATAAAAAGTCTTATTCCTCTTATTTGCACTATTCAACACTTAACAATTAAAAAAATGGGTAGGAAGAACTAACTCAGATAGACGATGGATAAAAAGTTTCCGTATGTGACATTGTTGAAAAACAGATGTAAACATTTTAGAGGAACTTTGTATTACATAACCTTCGGAGTTCAAGTCTTCAAACCATTTTAATCTTTTACACAGTTTATTAACTTCCAGTCAGTATATGCGTAGACTGATGAAATAATAAATACTGAAATGTGTATCTGTTGTGTAAAGATTAATATAATCTACCTTTGTAGATAAAGTGAAATTCGTGCATTTGACCTGATAGTTATAACTGATGTATTTAAGTCAATAAACTACAGTCTACCTCTTATAATATGCATTTACACAAGAATATAAGCAATAAATTAAGATATTACCATTCATATCCACGGATTTATTCATGATACCAAGTAAATTAATTGATAAGGCAACGGAAACACGAGACCATTGTCGAATAAAGGCGTAATGATGTCTCCATACTTTTGAACATTCTCTAAAAGCAGCCCAAAGTTGTGGTTTCGGAAAACAATTATTACATGCACTTAACCATGTATTGAACAACAATGTTGAAACACAATCCGATGTAGCTTCAAGTATAGCAGCAGGTTCTTTACTACCGCGAATATCTATGAAACTGGTTAAGAAAGTTGTGGAATTTGATCCTCCGACATTTCCTGACCCTGAACTGGCGGTATTAGTCATCTGGGAATTCGTTGTAGATGATGAGCCAGCACCAAATGAAGAATGAAGCAATCCTGATGGCTGATATAAGGGAGATGATAAAATAGAATGACACACTATCAGACAAAATCTCAATATAGAATCCCAAGAATCAGATGTCAGTTGAGCAGGTGTTGCACACAAATCTTCAATAGTACGAGCCACTAATCTGGTGATTTCTAACTGTTTACTCAGTAACCCTGATAGACTGGTTGATTCAGTCGCTAAAAAGAAATTCAAAAAAGATTGGATTAGACAACCTTTAATAACAAAGAGTACCATAAGGCTATTAAAACATACGATTATAACTAGGAATACAAGAATAACATTGATTGCTTACATCTATACTTTTATAAAAGATAACCGGGTGTCTACATTAAATTCAAATAGTAAGAAAAAAGACTAAAATATGTCATTATAATTTAAATGCAGAAAATATGAATCATACTTAATATATAAGGACAATTTGTAGGTCACGTCTTCTTATTGTTTTATATATATACTTCATATTATTATTATTGTATTTTGGGAACTAAATGCACCGAAAATTTCCGTACTGTGTGTTCACACATTGGAATAAAGCTTTATTATTATTATTAAGCCTGAAATAAATATCACAATTCAAAAAAGTCGAGTAAACTGACTAAAAAAGTGAACGAAACTCCATTACGGTTTCAGAAAAACCCCAACCACCAGTATTTACACCTAACAGAACAATTTTATCTTGTTTCAGTAAAAGATTTAAAAACATTCACCTGATAGTCAGACTACCATAGCAACCAGTGAATTATATGAACAGTATCATTTACTGAATAACTTTTTGAATATAGAGTGGTTCAGTGTTATATCAAGTTGCATTTACATGTTTCAGGTATGTTTTCAATAGTTCTGGTGTTTTCTCTTTCTCTGTAGATGAATATCAGAAATTTTCAGATACATTCCTAACACGGACGCTTGATAGTGATTCAATGAACGAGGGTTCATTATTGATTTAAATGAAATTTTATTTTCTTGCTGATTGATTGGACCGATGTCCAAGAGGAGGTTTTCGTGGCCCAATTGGTCTATTGGAAAACACTTCGGATTCTGAAGTGATGGGTATTAGGTTCGAGTCTCAGTGGGAACATCATCATTCACTGAGGAATGCAGGTACACCCAGATGACAAGTCCCAAATAGGACGAAATGCGCATCCTGGATTCACCAATTCCCATCACTTTTCTTCAGATTCATCTTTCTTAAATTTAATTAAAGCTAGTGTGCAAGTAATGATGCAGCTCAGCAAGCCGGTACAATCCGTGAAAGTTTAATGATACTGCTGACTTATCGGAGTCGATGGAGTCGGCTTTGAACCTGAGACAAACTATTTGAAAGTCATGGGTTACATCAGCAACCTGCGGTAAGAGCTGTTGGGTTAATTTTATCATTTCAAACAAGTTTTTATTAGGATCTCAGAGAACAAAATGTTATTTACAAGGCTTCAGTTACTCTTAAACATTTCTTGCGTAACTGTAGTTGGTTTAGCAAAACACCTAGTACGTAAATTATTTAACTCCTAACAGGAGTGTAGACGTTATACCATACAGCACATTTTAGTGATATCTTTTGTAATTGAAAGACCTTAAAGGGATATCGATGTTGTGAAAAAATTTCAGCTTTAGTTAGTTGGATTTAATATCAAATGAGTATGACAGAAAGACTATCAAGTAATATGTACGCTTTCAGTAAAAATCACAGGTCTCTTTAATGCTCTTCCATTAGACTGTGAAATACATTTCTGTTTGGAGAACCAACAATGCCACTTGACTCTTATATTTTAGGTAGGATAATTAGGTTCTACTACTTCGACCATGGGCTTTGTAACCCCCAAAAGTGAGACAATCAGAGCTGACAACTCGCACTGCATACAATGAGACAACAGTAGTTTTAGTAATACTTTCGCCTAAACAGTATCTTCACTTGTGCGTTACCTGTGCTTATTTAATGTATCAATTGCGCAAGGATAATCAACCAATTTGCTCAATTCAAACAATCATACTTTGAGGTGTTTCGGTATATTGCATTTCTTATCATCCAAAGGACTCGGTTTTTTTAATTTCCATTAAATTGTAATCATTAAAACCAGACTTTCATTTAAATTAATATTTTATGAGAAATGCTCAGAATGAGAGGTAAATAAAACATAAAACAAATTCTTTGAAGAAGGAAATAAAACAAACCTGCAGAGACGTGTAAACCTTCTGATAACTCGTTGCTAACTGAATATTGTGGAACTGGTAAACTCTGACCCAATGTTGTAAATATCACTTTAGGCTGATCACCTAACGGTTCTGTATCACGTGGAAGAAAATAATATGCCAAAGAGAATAAAAGGGACTTGAGAAAACGTAATGGTTCTTTCTGAAGAATCAATGGGATAGGTGCATTGGAACTGTTTGACTGTGAAGAACGCGTTGAAGAGTTAATACATTTAATCCAATAACAATAAATATGTGCACTGTGTTTTACAACATCCCAGTTTTCGGGTGACATAGTCAATCCATAAGTGATGGCCTATCCAATGAAAATAAAAAAAATTAGTTGAAATTAGAATTTTTCAAAGTAATTAGTAGGCTCTATATATACAGTTGACAAGAGATGAGGATGAAAATGATGTACTTGCCATTTTTTCGAGGGAGGGGGGGGGGGCGGAGAATCAAAATATTAAAACTCTAAAATATTGGTTTCAGGAATAATTTAGTGTATTTTGAACTAAAAAGTAGGCTTGAAACATATTTAATGACTCCACGTTACATTTTATTTATTAACTACTTATGTTTATGCACTTAATTTGTAAAAGGCTCTTGGTATGAGTTAATATAAACAGTTATGCTTGGAAGAATTCTAAAGGGAATAAGGATAGTCTACAACAACGGTTTATGATAAAAAGTCATTTTTAGCAAGTACTACAGCTGCTTATGATGCAGGTACTACTGTTTTACAAACAAAAAGTAGATTTTTTACTGTCTAAAATTATTCAGTTTAAATACACAAATGCGTTCAAAAGTCAGGAAATGGTATGTACTCGTTTTCCGCATTACTTACTCTACTTTACTTCGGCTATCTCCTACGGGAGGATGAGCCGGCTTCATGAACATCTCGAATAAGAGAGTTCATGAAGTTTCATGGGAATTTGGTACGAGTGATGTCCCCAGAATCGCTCGGCCTTTTGTTTGAGAGTGCAGCTCTAGCCTTTACACAACCAAGTGTGACCTACAAGGCAGTAGGAGTGGAGTAGGGAGTCCACTATCCATTGGCAGCCGGTGACCGGAGTTCGGTTCATACGCCTTTTTGAATGAGGCCAGACATCCAGGACATCCAACAAGCCCTTTGTCCATACGTCTGCCGGTGAGCTCCAGTGAGCTTCATACGCCAGTCGTTGGAGGTTTGGAATCAGGGTTTAGCCATCTCCCCCAGACTGTCATCCAATGGACAGTCAACCCGGTGAAGAGCGCCGGGCATCCGCTTTCGCCCTCTCACTTTGGTGAGAAACACCTCCGCCACGTGAAGGCAGTGAGTAGGACTTCTTCAGGAGAGGCTATGTAAGACGCCCGGTCATATGGGAGCATTTCAAGAGGTGTGCGGAGGGGTGACCAACCCGCAGCGCAAGGCACCCACCCCCGACCATCCTGAGGCTTTAGAGGCCGCATTGACGAGTATCAACTTTGAGAAATAGTACTTGAAATAAAGTCCGTGAAATGACTGAGGAGGTTGAAAAATTTCAACAAAATGATGGATGTGAATGCACATACCTTCTATGCACATCTTTTGTCATTCGAAGATAATCTGTTTGTTTCTCTAAAAAGAGAAAGTCATTTTGTCATATATTTTCCCGACTTTTTGTCTCATAGTTCTTTACAAATTAATGGTACTTTATAAAACATGAATTTCTTAGAACAATTAACAAAGTATATATGCATATGAAGTTTTGATTCCTTGGTTTGTGTGAATCGCTAATTAGTGGGTTAGTTAGTACCAGAAATCTGTCTTAATACAAATCTCAGAGTCGATAAATCGTATCACTACTTTGACATTCACTCATATTTGATTATCGATTTACAGCCTACTCCTTAGTCAGAGTTAGCCGCTCAAAAACATTTTCAGCCTGTGAGTGGTTAAGTAAGTTCAGTGTTTATCAAAACCACTGTCAAACTACTTGTTATGCCTACATAAAAAGCTAACGTGATAAATATGCTTTCTCACAATTACCAGTATATTAGGGTCTCACCAAATCAACACTAGACAAAAACAATAATGACAAAGACACAAAATGAAAACAAAGTAATGAAGTAAACTCACGTGCATAACCCAACGTAATTCATCTGGAGAATTAAAGCGTACTATTGAGTTTGGACCAGAGAAAGAGGAACGCTGATTCGATACTGAAGAAGCACTTTGAGTTACAGGAATAGAATCACTTCTATGAGACAGAGATCCATCATTCTGTGTTGCATCTGTGGAGTTAGAGACACTATCAGATGTTGGCAGGAGAAGAGTACATGAACAGTCACACTAAAACAGAAGTAAAACGGTTAGAATAAGTGGAGACACGAATAATAAGATGAAACATGAAAATTCATTTGGTGCTCAGCTAGTTATCAAGCATTTTCTTGATAATATTATGCTTCTTTGTTTTAAATTATTCACCCAATAAAAAGTCATAACAGAGTATATTAGTTACAGAGCATATAAATTGAGTACATTCACATTGACACAAGTTAACCTTAAGATATAATTTGTTAGTTATGGTTGACATACATTTTGACAATATCTGGAGTGTTATGAATGAGAAATAAATTCCACAGAACGACCATAATCTTGAAGAGTATCAATAGCATTGGGATTGACGTCTCTGAGCACACTTTTATTCAAATAAAAAGTTTAGTATCACCATTCTGATTGCAAAACAGGCTCATTTTGAAAATTCAAGCAATAATATTTACTCTATCTTCAATAGTCTTTATGATTATTGTTTGGCAATAAATTAGTGACCGGAAAGATATATCAGTTGATCTACTTTCAAAAGTGAAACCAGTTAAAAAACAGCTAAAATGTATGCTAACTCATATGAAGAAGAGTATATATCAACACATTGCACACCCTAGCCAAGAAACTATTGAATATAATAGCTTACTTTTGCTGAAATCCGACTGACCAAGAGATTTTCTTTAGTAGTTAAGTTTTATAGGATAAGTCCTACTGCTTGTAAATTGCGATAATTGGCTAATAAAAACAGCCTAACCGAAAAACGATTTCCTAGCCAAAGCTTCTAATAACTAAACCGTGATGATTTAATATCCCATTTTTTCAACTAAAAATTTACCCCTCCCCCCATCGCCAAATTTCTTCTCAAACTCGTAATTTCAACATTATTGGGACCCATTTATACCTATAATGACTTCTCTTCCCGGAATTATTGCTAAATAACATTGAACTTCATTAACAAAGAGATAAATAACACCCTAATTCATCAACAATCAGAAATTACTTCAGTTCAAAACACTGTCCAGATGGTACCTATGTCATCGCTTCTCTACAAGTTGAATAACAGCGTTCAATAAAACTGGTCGAAATGATGTGTTACTAGGAAATTAAAACGTATTTGGATGTTTGTGTCTAAATTGTAGTCCATTTAAAATAATGTGTATTTGAATGTCCTAGCAAAATGATTGATACTGCTAAACGATTACACCATTTAACAAAACATCAACTTACCTTCACGCTCATGACTGTATTAGTGGCTATTGAGTTCGCCACGTCAATAGGAAACAGACGCAAAAAGCTCTCATGTTCCATAAGTTGAGTATATATTATATTCAGTTCGGGAGACCATTCTTTATATGCATCTAGGAATAAGAAATATATATATATATAAATTGGGAAAAATGACTTCCAGATACCAGAACATATTTCATTCACTGGCATAGCAAACTCCTTCACTTCGAAAAAGTGAGAGAAAGTCCTGTTTGGTCATTTGTCATTGACTACTCAGTACTTATTGCCATGACTGATTATCATTGAAACACTAATACAACAATAAATCTTTGATGAAAAACGAAATGGAAACTTATGACAAATACTTCATAGTTTCGAATAATCCTTTACGTATCATATAACTTCCTTTCTAAAGATGGTTGTGTTTTAGTTGAATCAAAGTTATTTCTTGAATCTCACACAGACACTTATTTGTACACCAGACCTAAAGGATAATATTCTCTTATACCACTTAAAAATTAGTGGCCTGGACACATGAATCTGATCGAAATACGTTGTACAGACAGTAGTGAAGTTATGGACAACATATTTATCTTATAAGTTCCTTTGAGTTATGCACATCACCTAGGGTCGGCAGCAGTCTCTAGGAAAATTGCATGGAATAAGAGCGGTATCTAAAATACATTAGAGCATGAAAAAAATCCCCAAAAGTTATCTCCAAACATGAAGATGAAGAAGCACCTGTTCTAACAAGTCTAAAATCTTCATAGAAGCAACGTGCTTCCATTAAGATCATACAGTTGTTAAAATGACCATTTAAAAATTGTCCTTATCTAAATGAAATCACGGGAAAAAGTCAATCAATACGTGTAAGCTAATTTCAAATAATGCCACAGAAAGCTAGCTTACTTGAATCCATTTTATTGAATATATATATACCACGGATAGTTGACGGAAAACAACTGGTAACGAGCACTACTATCCAATCAATTAAACAGAAGAATTATCTGAAAATTAATACAATAAATAATATGAGTTGGATACCGAGAAAGAATAATGTAGTAACTACAAATATGCCCCATAAACATAAATGGCAAATAGTGAGAATGCAAGTAAGGTTATTAATTTACTGCACCACTGTACGTTTGATATATTTCTATCCCATTGGTGTATCGGTCCACATGTACCAACTTCAGCATGCTTCATATCAGTACATTAAGGTGGGAATCGAATAATGAATGTTAAGAGAAGTAGTAACGACAAACAGGTTAGGAAGAAGAAGATTTGGAGTTTTATGAGCACTTATGTCACCACAAACTCCGCTATACTAAAATTATAAGACGTGAGGTTATTTTACACACCACATGGACATTCATGCGATAATATTAGTGACTACTGTTGTGAGAAGTCAAAAATTGAAAACAACGACAAAGACAGATGGTAGAGAGATTTACGCAAGATGTTTGTATGACTGCCGAAAATTTGCAAATATTGAGTTACAATCCGCCTTGATTGTATTGAATGACGGCAAAATGATTTTTAGCAAAAGATAATGCCATATCACGTAAACAAGTTCACTAAATATGGATATACAGTAAGTTCGAGAATGACTATATAAAACGTGTGATTCTAACACATTTGCGTTGAAAACAGATAGCCACGATACAGTCACACTAAGAAATATCCACGCAAAATAAAAGATACCACACTGTTTATAGTGCTGCTGTACTGATCAAATTTAATTTTCTCATGGGACAACTTGTGTTCATTTAACACTGAGTGAAGACACAAATTATAGCTACGTGCATATCGTGAGTGCTACGGATACACCGTTGAATGAAACGCATTGATACATCATCACTGACCATTGTCGTTCTGCCATGAGTCAGCACTGGTACCAATGGGAGCTTTGATCGAAAACTTGGAGTTTTTTATGCCACTAACTGTCGTTTCACACACACGGAGAAACGAACGTTGAAAAATAGACTTTAATACAGTGCACAAGCTCGTTATAACTAAATGAATATGTAAAATACACTGAAAGGTTCATTTGTAAGTAACTAGTTTTGCACTGGACTGTCAGAAGCACTCAACCTTTATTTTCACCGAATTTAGATTGCAGATACTAATTTTAGTGAGTGTGAATTTCATTTACTATAATATGGGGATAATTATATAGTAAACAACAGAATATAATCTGTTCTACAGAACCAGACCCTGGCGGTTTGCACTGACTTTCTCGCCTTTGAAAATATGCTAAAATGTCGTTAAACATGAGTAATTCTATAGTGATTACTACTTAGAAACAACCCTGATTAAGCTAAATGCAAAATAACTTGCAAAGAAGAATGATATTGTCAGATTTCACTACCTACGTATGCTACAATCTACATGCTTACATGGCTTATCGTTTTAAGATATTTTCACACATCCGTATGTTATATATTAGACCACCATCTACGTAACACGATAATGAAATTTATTTTAAAATAAATGAAGGTATTAATCAATGAGATATTTTATTAGCAGTTACGAGAAGGGTACTATTGATAAGAATTACATTTTGCAGGAAAGTCTGTCACTAAACACGTACTATCTTGTAAGAAAACAAAATTCACTGCATATCTATGTGAAATCGATTTCTGACAGAAAACAATCCACTAAATAACTTTATAAAATAACTCTGCGGTGACGCAACACTTATTTTTTGCGCTGTCAATATTGAATATCCAATACAGATTTAGTTTCACATTATAAAGATAGTATGCTCTTGTGGCCTGTGTTAATCCTTGCAAAATATATATCTGCAGAGAGCTCACTTTTCTTTGAATGCGTTCACCGATGGAGCTGATACTACTGAATCAGGTAAGGAATTTTAGTCATTGACCACTCTGTGAGAGAATCTAAATTCTGCACGTATTTTAATTGTCCTCGCTTTGAACACCTTTTTGCGGTTAACCCGTAAATGTACCGTAGAAGCGAAGAAAAATGTTAGAAATTTCAGTTCCTAAATCACTCTTGGGTATACGATATGCTAAAATAAGTTCGCCTATCTTCCTCGATATGATAGCGGGAAGAGATTTAAAAGTTGTTCCATCCTTTTGTCATAAGGATGGTGTGGGACACCACTAACTAATTTGGTTCCTACCCTTTGTACTCTTTCTAAGATACGTCCTACTTTCCTGATTCATTGAGCAGCCGCTTGTATACAGTTTTCTAGATGAGGCCTGACATATGTTGCGTACAGTACTTTGAACATAAACTCATCTAATCGTTTGAAAGCTCTTCGAGGTGCCCATAGCATTCGAAAAGCCTCAGCTGCAGCTGTATTGCTATTTGCAGTTGTTTTCAAATCTTTGCTGACAATGATAACTAGGTCATTCTGTCCGCTAACAACAGGTAGTTCTGTGTCTCCTAGGGAGTATGACGTACTAGACTTCTAACCTAAGTGCATTACAGCGCTTTTCCTGGAATTAATTTCCAAACTCCACAGGTTCGACCACTCAGCTGATTTATCTAGATCAAATTGTAGGGTCGACCTATCCTCGTTATTATTTACAGTTTTCCAGATCTTAATGTCGTCCACAAATAATAATGAAGATGAAGTAAGAATCTCCGATGGTTCATTAACGTATTATAGGAATATCAAGGGTTCTGAGACCCTCACTGGATACTGCTTTCCCCTCTGATAATACAACGTTTACTCTAACCTTCTACCTTATTTCCATTAGGTGATCCCTAAACCACTCACATAGGCACTGGTCTAATCCGAGACCTTTAGGTTTACTGAGGAGATATAAGTGGGATACTTATTAGGTTATATTTATATATATGTGCGTCGGTGGCACAGTGGTTAGGACTCTCGCCGACCATGCACATGGTCCGGGGTTCGATTCGCTGCCGACGCACACCCGATATCTATGGTCGGCCTGCAAAATTGGGTTACCGATATCCATGCTGAAAATTCCATACTTGTACTGAAAATACGGTGTGGCATCAAGCTGTGATCAAAATAAATAAATAAAACTTTATCGAATGCTTTACGAGGATTGATAAAGAAACGCCCAACAGAAGGTGTTTATCGCTGGCCTCAACCCAATCTTCCCTAGCCAGTAGTAGGTTTGTCAGGCAGGATCGTCCTGGTCGGAATCCATGCCGTTCCACCGCCAACAAGCCATGTTTTTCCAAATGAGCTAATAGCTGATCCCTTATAATTGTTTCTAATACCTTTGCTATAATGCACGTCAGACTTACCGATTGCCTGTTCCCCTCTTCGAAAAAAGGGCCTATAATGGCATCCTTCCAGTCCCTGGGTGGCTTAGCCTGGGTCAGAGACTTTCGAAAAATCTCCGTAAGTGTAATGTATGTTATATCCGCCAAGGAAATTAACAGTTTAGAGTGAAGTCCATCCGGCCCAGGTGATTTACCCGGGTTCAGTTTACGCAGTATTTTGAGGACCTTTGTGTGCTCTACCATATTTGAGTGCATCTGAGTAGCCATGACAGTGACCTCGCCATATCCCTGAATGGTGCGATCAGATGAGGAGACGTCACAGGAGTATTCAGAGAGGCTTTCAGCATTTCCCTTGTCCGACTCAGTCGCTTCTCCACTAATGCTTATGAGTGACGGTATACCACCGCTATTTTTAGTACTACGTTTCACAAAGGAGTACAGCCCTTTTGGGTAATGAACACAACCCAGTACTACCTGTTTCTCGCACTCTATACGACTCTCGTCAATCATATGCTTACAGAGAGTTCTAAATTTTCCGCAGTCCTGGAAATTTTCCCTTCCTGGTGTAATAAATTGGTCCCATAACTTCTTACTCCGTCTTAATAGCCTCCTCACTTCACTAGTGGCTTATGTGGTAGCTCTCAAGGAGTGCATCAAGTTACTAAAGGTGAAGTGACACAATCTAGTGTATTCCTAAATCCCACCCAAGCTTCCTCGACAGTTCGACATGTATCAACTGACCAGTCAGCTACAGTTGCTGCGTTCCGGATTCCTGGTATATCCACTTTCCAAATGTTTGGACGAGCAGATGTTGACCTGTGTATGAGAGGATGAATCTTGAACGTAAAAGTAATGACTACGTGGTCACTGCTGCCAAGAGGCGAAAGGCACTTAACGTTACCAAAGTCCTCCTCCTGGCGCGCCAATACCAAGTCTAGAGTAGACGTATCATGTTTCGGGTGATACGTTGTTGGTGTGTGCATATGTTGCACATTCAAGCACTGTCAGTGTGAGCTCCTTTTTGAAACAGGTACACAAACTAGTGGAGTTTAATTCCCCTTAATTAAAATGTGGAGTGTTAAAGTCACCAACAACCAGACCCCTATTTCTACTAATCCACGCCAAGTGATTAAGAACAAAGTCATCAGCTTGGCTAGCATGACTTCTGTAAATAACCCCAATCGTTATAGTGCCATTGTTCAGGTTAATTACAGAAATTGCCATTTCAATGATGCCGCTGTCATGAGCTTCCGATAACGCTGATCTAATTTCTATGTCATCCGGTATGTATAGAGCAGCTCCCCCCACCTTTCCGACTACATACTCTGTCTGCTCTAATGCAGATGTACCCAGGTATGAGTGGAGTTAAGTCTACACCCACTAACAACCATGTCTCAGTGACAGTAATCACATCAGGTTGTAGTCTTTCAGATAATTCTCTTAATTCGGCGAGCTTATTCCTAAGACTACATGCGTTCGTATAGCATACTGAAACGCCCACGTGTTCATCCGGCCTATGAAGAGAGGTCTTGGCAGCATCGGCTTCCTAGACCTCACCACCCGAAAACCAAATAGCTTGAGGTCTTTTTCGCCTTTCTCTAGCCTGGCTCTTAGTTCAGCTACAGCTTCCCTTCTCTCGATTCTATCTTCCAAAGGCCAATCAGGCCTTATTTTTAAGCTTTTATC